GTGTGTCTCGATGAATCTATGGAACTGCATTCACTGAATCACAACTGAATGGCTTTTTAATAGCCTTCCGGCGCCTTAAAGTCTCATCCACAAGCCAGATGCATAATGCACAACGCCTGACCTTTGGTTCAGGAATGTTATAGAATCGCTCACATTCACTGTTTACATGCATTGCTACTCTCAGCTACTCTCAGCACTATGCAGCCCGCCATTTATTGCAAATAATTTATTTGTTAGATAACTGAAGCTATGTCCTGGAAAGAAGAACATCTCAAAAGAGGAAGAGGTTTAAATCCAAATTTCTAGGGGTTTGACGTGAAGTAATAAACAAACAAAAATATACAAACTTTTGCATTTATATGATAGTGTAATGTGTGTTATATCCTATGTGTTACTGGGATATATGTAGTTAAGGTGAATGAATATATTCATCAAATTCCATTCATAACTTTTTGCAGAAAATAAGTTGCTTTAGTCTTTCGCCTGGTCTCTCACCGGTCGTGTAAAATTTTCGTTCTAGCAGATTTCAAGTCTGCTACCTTCGGTGAAAGGAATAAAGAGTGCATATGTGTTCGTGCACGCACTATTCCACCACAAACTGTTAATTTCATTGAGATAGATCGCTGTGAACGACATCGGTCAGAGATATTAGACTGAACATGATTAGATATGAAATTAGATTCGTATTAGTTCCACAATGTATCCATACTAATATTATAAATGTGAAAGTGTGGTTTGTTTTGTTTGTTTGTTTGTTTGTTGGTCTTTCTTTCAAGGCAAAAAGGCTTGGCGGATTGGTGTGATTTTTTGCGTAGAGATAGTTGGAGGGCAGGAGAGTGACATAGGCTACTTTTTACCGCGAGAGATTATCTCTTTCCTACGGGAAAACACGTTATAATACAATCTAAAAAAAATTATGATCAGAATTCACTTTTTTATTAAAACTTGATATTAATGCTCTTTAATACAATTCATTAAGTACCCCCCTTAAAAGAGCGGATAAGAGTTTGTATGAAACCTAGCATTTTAGAGATTTTTTTGTAGTTATAGTGCGAGCGAAGCCCCGGTTCTGCTAGTTAAGTGATAAACATAATAATAGCCTATGTGCTCCACTGCTGGCACCGACTTCGAAAATATCTGATTAGGTATCTATTCTAAATGAAAACCCCCGTTTAGTTAATTTTTATATTTTAGTGCTTGGACGTCGGTTTTTTATAAAGTTTTTATTTAGAGCTATTTTTGAAAGTAAAATGTACTTGGAGAAGTAAACATTTCGCACACATTCCATTGAAAATTACTTATATAACGTTGGTAGTTGTGTAAAACAGGTAATTTATATAAGTTTATGAACCATGTCAAAATATACAAAAATAAAATCATAACATCCATAATAATAATGTTTACGCTTGAATAATGCATTGGAGTAGGCGGCGCGCGGCGCTTGACAGTACCGGGCCGTACGGGGCATATAGATGGGGGGTTGGGATACTACGGAACCCTACATTGCGCATGGCCGGAAACGCACGTGGCCGTTTTAATATATCAATTACTCTTAGTAAATATTTAATGCTTATTGATAGTTCTACGACAATCGATGTCCTGTGACCTATATCGAATCGTACTGTTTATTCGAAAATCGTTTTACAATTCCCGAAGATATCGCGTAACATACACGAAACGAAATTCTACTCCTGACTAAGTATCTTTTTTTTCGAAGTCGGCCATAGACGCCTTATTTAGATTTTCGATATTCATTGTTCATATTGCCCTTTTTAACGTATCACTCCTGAGTACGGGACTCCTTTCAATGCGATAGGATTCAAGCCATAGTCCACCACGTTAGCCAAGTGCAGGTTAGTGGTCTTCACTTGTATTTCGAATCTTGCTAGGTTCTCTTAGACTTGTAGGTTTCCAAACGACGTTTTCCTTTACCGTAAGACAAGTGGTACTCATGTTGAAAATGATTCGCACATGAAAATCTCAGAGGTGCGACACCCCGAACTCACTTCACTTGGTTTCCCAAGCAAGTTCCTTACCACTGGGCTACCACTAACATATTATTCATTAATAAAGTATTGTTTAATTGTTACGTTCTATAGGTTCGGGGATCGTAAATTAAAGCACGTCTTTTGCACTATTGATGTTTTATTACTTCTGATTAACAAGAGTGACTTTTGGAGATTCACTAACATGCGCAGTATATAAGCAGTTCTGGTTAAAATCAGTCACTGGATACTAATGTTCACTATAACACTTCCACTATAGCCTCAATTAATTTTTATATGCATAAACAAATAACATTCTATTATTCAAAAATTCAAAACCTTTCTAGTCATTTCGAATGTTTTTTTCCTCTCTCGCTCTTACACTCGGCAATTTATAACTAATAGCCTAAGAGCCCATGAACCCCAGACCTTCGTTATTTTACAAAAGCTGAAAGTTTGTCAGCACATGCTCCCAACACAAGTCATTCTAATCACGAATCTCTTCTTAACATTTACATGCTTGTCTGGCAAGGGTTGGAACTATCAAAATGTCTGGCTAATGAGGAGACATTATCTAATTATTACCCAAGTATTATATATAAAAATCAGCTTTTATACTATAACGTAAGTAGAATTATAATTTTATGAAATGGGTGTCTGGTAAGGATTTGCTACGATGTTAAGTGTCTGGCAATGAATGACGTGATTTTTAAATATTATTTTGAAGGTAATACCAAAAAATCGCACTTTATCATTTGATGAAATTAGATCCGTATTTTATACACCTTTAGTATCGTTTACAAGCCGAAGCCATGGTAACCCAAACTTCATAATGGTCCATCGTTCTTACCTGTGTTGGGAGCATGCGTTGACAAACTTTCAGCTTTTATGAAATAACGAAGGTCTGGGGTTCACGGGAGTTTCCGTACCTGATACGTTCGTAACACGGTCATGGTATGAGACGGTGTAGTGGGCAGACAACTTTATTATAGCAACAATAAAACCAGCCAACATTAGGTGAGCGAACGCGGTTGACATTTCGCTATTTATATATATGTACATAAGTTGTCGTCGTCGTCGTTAGGATCGTATGTGTGTCACGGCTGATATATATATATATATATATATATATATACTAGAGTTCGCTCAAAGATCGTATTGCAATATGCATGTACTTATTTTATTGATGCGGATGTTGTTTCAGGGAGTTATAAAGCAGAATTATACTAAAAGGTATATGATTAAAGAAGTATCAAGTAGGTACCTTAAATGTAAAAAGAAACATTTTCAAAAACAAGTTTTTATTTAAATGCTCAAAAACAAGAAAATAATCTTTGAAATAAAACAAACCCATCAATTTCTTACATTACACAATTTATATATACCTAACTAATTTAGTTAACAACAAACACCTAATTTAGTAAAATTTGGCATGCTGATACCTTATATTGCCGTTCTAACAACAAGTTACTTTTTATCCCGGAAAAATGAACGGTTCGCGTGGGATAGATCTGTTTGTGCTTTAGTTACATTTAATGAAGTTATAAAATAAAACAAATCCTATATCTTTAAACGAGCAATTCTTGTATACATATAAATATACGAGTATATATAATCTGAATCTCGGAAATGGCTCCAACGATTTTCAGTTTCGTGGGCGATAAATCGATCTAGATTAGTCTAATGTCTGAGAAAACGCGTGTTTTCGAGTTTTCATGCAGTTTTCTTTTGCATTATTCCACGCAAAATATGGTCGGTAATTTGCACGCTCTGGTGTAAGCATCGTGGTCAAGCGGCCATGGTGCAAGATCAACAATCACAGGTGTCCAGGTTCGAATCTCGGTCGCATACTTTTTTTTTAATATTTATTCAAGTTTTTAGTTTAAAAAAAAGAAAATTGTAGCTTAGGCCAAAAACTCCGAGCGGAGCTCAGTAGCCCAGATACTAAATGTTTAAAAATGCCGAGGTCCTTGTTTTAAATGTAGTTATTCTTTGATCGAGTGACGCGTGTTACAATACTTGTCGACTGACGGTTAGTTTGTATTACTACTACCCGCAAAATTAGAAGATAAATCGTTTGAGATATTGTTTTGTTCTATAATGATTCTATTTTATAAATAATAATAAGTATAACTCGCGTCATCTAAAAAGAACGCTGGCTGTCAAGCTGCGCAGAAGCGATTTATCGGTCAAATTGGTGGTAAGAAGCGGGGCGGCTTGGGGCGGCGGGGCACGCGCCGCATGCTTGCCGGCGCGCTATTGGTTCATCAGTTCGAAATACCATCGCGCACACAAAAGTTTTTAATTACGAAATGGTTTTATATATAGAAAAGAGAAAAATTGTTTTTGGTTTTACAAAGAGAGAGTCTAATAATAATGCAGTTAATAATTAAAAAAAATGTATTAAGTAAACGTATTAATTTAATTTGTAAGTATATTAAACATTCTGCACTTAATCAAACATATTTTAATAATGAATAGAATTCTATTTAATGATATTCTATCTAATATATTTTTAATGTTCCTACCAATAACTAATATATGAAGCCGCGAGCGAAATGCTATGAAAAGTAAAATAATAGGCTTAGTACTTTTGTGCGAGAGTATACCCATGCGCAAACATACCCTCTCCACTTTCTTCCAGCGTTCTTTTTAGATGACGCGAGTTATATTCATGTTTACTCGTATATTAAATGTGCATTAACTATGTTTCACTGGAAGAAACTGACATCTAAGATACAAGCTCGGCCTAGTTTAGATGTTAGTGATCATCGAATGAGTATAAGATTGTATTTATATCATAATTATACATGTAAGATGTAGATTACATCAGTGTTGTATTTTTATCTTTCTCATGTAAAAGAATTAAAAAACTCTGTTGTGTTGCGACAGTGTAAAAAAAAACGTTTATTGAATGTTAAGTTATGTAAGTTATTGTTTTTTCTTCAAATAAATACACAGTACACTCTGTCTATATTATTCCTTAGTCTGAGGTTATTATTTTGTTGGTTGCAGGGGCGCCGAGCTAGGCGACGTCAGTCTGCTGCGTCGGATGCCGAATGTCGAGGTATTAGCTCTCAGGTACGTACGTAACTTAACTCCTGACATTTTAGGCATTTGTTTTTGTTGTCTTATTGCAATGTAGGAGATATAAACTTTCCCTTCCCCTGCGACCGGTAAGCCAGCTGGGCATGAAACCAAGAGACACACTGGGAGGCGGCTCACCTCGGTGGGCGGTGTGCCACTCGGGTTGCTCTAGGTATTTCTCTGATAGCAGAGAAGGCCGTGGGAGCAACATTTTGGTTGTGTGTTCTGCTTTGGTAGGGCTGCCGTCGAGGCGTCGTAGTTGTGTAAGTGATCCTACAACGCCCTATTAAGACGGAGGAGGTTCCGTTAGGTTTAAGTTGGTAAAACCAGTACGGTTTTTATAGTCGTTAAATCGCACATATGCAGGTGGTATGCGTAAATACATATCCCGATGTTAAAAAAAGGAGTTTTAAACTCCTCTGCTTATTCTTGCACACAGCTCTCAAGTAATCTACGAAGCTCGACTCCTGCAACTTTAGGTACTTTGGATACAAATGTCTGACTACAACGTAGGCGCTTTTTATCCTCCTACCTATCCTGTCCGTCTGTTTAAAACAAATCCATTTTTAACCGACTCGACTGCGGTGAAGCTCAAAGCAGGGTAATCCTTATGCATGTACGTATGTCTTATACTCTATGTTCCCTCGTAGTTACTAAACGGCGGAACCGATTTTGATTGATGATGATTCATGTATTCAACCCTTTTTAAAGTCCCACTGCTGGGCACGGGCCTCCCTATAATACGAGGGGGATCAGGCCATAGTCCGCCACGCTAGCCAAGTGCGGGTTGGCGGATTTCACATGTCTCTTTAAAACTTGCTTCTCTCAGACATGCAGGTTTCCTCACGATGTTTTCCTTCACCCTTAAGTCAAGTGTTAATCATGTTGGAAATGATTCGCACATGAAAATATCAGAGGTGTGGGACCCGGGATTTGAACTTCACGCTTCATTTATGATAAACTTATATTTTCACTTCCACTTGTCTGAACGGTGAAGAAAAACATCGTAAGAACCCTGCGTGTCCGAGAGAACCTAGCAAGATTTCAAAAGACATGTGAAGTCCGCCAATCCGCACTTCACCAGTGGTGGATTATGGCCTGATTCCCCTCATATTGAAGAGGCCGAGCCCAACAGTGGGTCGGTAAAAATGGCTGAATACGATACAACATAAACAATTAGCCAATACGAGAATTGAATCCACTATTGTGTTGTAAGTACATACGTACAATATCGTGGTAGGACTTTTATCACGCCACTAAGGATAAGGTAGCCAGCGCCTTAATCTAGTCCTCCCAGTGACAGCGCATCAGTGCGGTTCTGCATTTTTGTTATAAAACAGCTGGGCACCGTTTTCCACCAGGTGGGCTGTCTGCTCACTTATTACTGAGCGCTATACAAAAATAGTATACACTTGAAAGTGAAAAGAAAATATACTAATAGATAGACAACCTACTTTTGCAATAATAATTGTGTATGACTGGACAAAACACCTGACCAGAGATCCGCAGGGGTCAACGACCCTTTCCATTTCTCTGAATACCAGCGATTATGCGCACGCGCACGCGATGCTTCAGACGTAACTAATCAGTATAAGTGAACTTTATTGCTTATCAATATTTGCGGTGCAATTTCGGTTATTGCGTGAAACGGCGTGTAATAGCGTGTAATGGCGGGTAAATACTTCATTATAACAATTCGGTAACTCGTTTGTATCACGCGATATATTTTTTACTGAATGTTAGTATGATTTTAGTAGTAATTGCCTAAAGTGTACCTTAGGAGATAGATATACACTATTATGGAATTTTACGTAGATTTTTTTAAGACCTACAATTTTCTAGTAAATTGTTTTAATTTATCTCTCAAGGTTTAGCCAGCGTCAGCCATATAAATTTCTAAGGACGACTCGAAAGAAAAGTCAAAGGTATCTTAAATGTTGACCAGAGTACTTAATAAGTTATCACTTCACCAAATTTCGTTGAAATCGGTTCATTACTTTTTTCGTGAAACGCGCACACACAAACAGACAAAAATTTTAATAACTATTGTTTTGGGGTCCATATTGTGTACATAATAAGTTACAGGCATTGTTTTTAAAAAATATTTCATGTACAGATTTCTCAAAGTTACTGCTTTATTATAGTATAGATAATAATTATTGCTACGATTGGAGTGAATTGATTTTTGATAAAGTAAGAATTTTAGTGCCTAGAAGACGGTTTTTTTAAAGTTTTTATAAGCACTTTGCCTTTCTAAAAGTACTAAAGCCGATTCTTTTGACTAATAACTGTTCTTTCACAAACAGAAAGCTGCACTGTGATTGAATGATCTAAGCTATTATTTATTAACTTGTCGCTCGAAAAAATTGCGGAGAAAACAAGTTAGTTATATGTATAATCTTTATCGATACTTACGAGTACATACTTGTATGCGTGTAATAATAATCTTTAGTTTTTAGAATTTTTATCTGTCTGTCTGTCCGTCCGTCCGTCCGTCCGTCCGTCTGTCTGTCTGTACAAAACATTCGTATAAAAATGAAAAAACAAATTCTCATCTGCTTGAAATTTACTATTTGTATTTCTTGATTGAACTGATAAACTATATGTAGTTTCATGTGGCAATTTTTTTTGAAGGGTAAGCATGTTTGTATGGACTTATTGGCTAAAAAAACTTCTTAAACTAAACTTTCCGACTATAGCCTGATATCCCTCGCAGCGAGAAGGAGGCCTGAGCCCAGCAGTGCAGCGTTAAAAAGGACTAAACACACATAAAATGTTTATATTTTAGGTCACGTTACAACAGTAGCCTGATAATCCAGTCTCTATTACAGCATCAACAAAATCCGCACGCTAGTAGACTTTGCGGGCTGCCGGCGTCTCCGCGAGCTGTACGTTCGCAAGAACGAGATCCGCGACCTGTCGGAGATCCGCCACCTGCGACACCTGCCCGACCTGACCAGCCTCTGGCTCGATGAGAATCCCTGCACTTTACACCCTGAGTACGTATTGCTCTGTTTTTGCTTCAATTAGCTTAACTTGAAATCTCTCTCTCTCTCTCTCTATATATATATATATATATATATATATATATATATATATATATATAATTTTTATATTTGTGACTTCTATCTATGTATTTCAGGAGTATAAGTACCTAAGTAAGAGTATGTACATAGATTGTACATAATTAAATATATTATCTATGATTATAGTGAAGATGCCATGACATAACTTGTAGGACATTTACTTGTTAGATCTCGTCGTTTCAACTAATATGCATTATTTATCATATCTTGGTTAACAGTTGGTGTAACACATTCCAGGTACCGGATGACCGTGTTGAGGAACCTGCCAAATCTAGAGAAATTGGACAATGTCGTCGTGCATCCTGAAGAAGTGAGTGAGAAACAGTGTTATATGATGGATTTCTGCTTTTTCTCGAATAAAGTTCCGATAAGAAGCGTTTGTTTGTTTGTCTTTCTTTCACGTCGTAACGAAGTGACGGACGGAACGAAGTGAAGTGACTCCGACAGGAAAAGACGTTTTAATACAACCAAAAAAAATATCAGATTACTTGAAACTTGGTATTAATGCTCTTCAATACGTTTAAGAAATACGTGTTTTAGTATTTTTCGAAATTCATTCCATAAGGGGGATAAAAGTTTGTATGAAACCTACCTTTTTAGCGTTTTTTTCTGTAGTTATAGCGCGAGCGAAGCCGCGGGTTCTGCTAATATAGTATAAAACGAAGTTCCTTAATTTATTCAGTAGATACCTATCTATGGAAGTATCTTATAAGTATTTTTAAGTAGGAAAATTAGCGAGAATGGTTGTTAATCAACTTTAAATCATTATATATCCTAAACTGTTATATAAAATGAAAAATGATGTTAGAAACCTAAAAATGATTTTTAAATACCTAGTCAACTCTACCCCACTTGATATAGTTTGTCAATTTTCTTTTTTTCTTTCTTACATTATGGCGTCCAAAATCGGCGATTTGGATTTTTCCAAATTTTTATACTTTTTATCACATTCGCGCCGTCATGACGAATGAAACGACGTGTAATTTATTAAAATCGGCCCTCGCGTTTGGTCCAACAATTGCCACAAAGGTACAAACCCACATATATACATAGTACATACATATGTATGTATATAGGGTGATAAACACATTACCCTCCTTTGCGTTGCGCAGTCGGGTAAAAAGCCATGCAATGTCTTAAACTTAAGCCAGTCCCATGCGAAACAAATATCAGTGGCTTAGGAGGCACGGTCATTCGATATTGACTTACATGTCATTTGTAACATTTGCGGTGATCAACCAAACTTAATACCGTGGGTTGGTCTCATATACAAGCGCTACGGTTATCGGACCCCAGTTCCAGTTATATATATATATACTAGTATTGCCCGCGGCTCCGCCCGCGTTCAGATGACCAAATATCAAAATTTTAGGTTTTTCATTTAGTATACTCTTACGTTGCAGTTTTTGTATTTTTTCTCAGAAATGAGACATTTTCCCGCGATAAAAAGTGTCCTATATGTTGACCCGGATAACCAGCTATCACCATACCAAATTTCATCAAAATCCCTCCAGTGAGTTTTCTGTGATGCGGTAACAGACATACAGACAAACAAAAATTCTAAAAACTATAGATTCGGCCTCTGTATCGATAATAATGTTTATTTCAATAAGATTTTCCAAAAAATATTTAATGTATGTATAGATTCGGCTTACTTAGAATTTTATTTTATAATATTAGTATGGATATACATATATATCCATACTAATATTATAAATGTGAAAGTGTGTTTGTTTGTTTTATTTTGTTCTTCTTTCACGTCGAAACGGAGTAAAGGATTGGCGTGAATTTTGGTGTGGAAATAGGTGAAGGGCTGGAGAGTGACATAGGCTAATTTTCACCGCGGGAGATTATCTCATGCCCACGGGAAAACGCTATATAATACAACCCAAAAAATGTTTGTGTTTAGAATTACTTGAAACTTGGTATTAATACTCTTCAATACAATGAAATAAATACGTGTGTTAGAAGTTTTCGAAATTCATTCCATAAGAGGGTAAAATAGGGGAAAAAAGTTTGTATGAAACCTACCTTTTTAAAATCTCAGAACAATCTTTAAGCGAAAAAAATAAAATAAATATATTTCCTATTTTTATTTTAAAGCTAAATATCACTTTCTGTGTATTTCACATTAAAAATGACAGTTTCATACAATCTTTTATCCCCTATTTTACCTACTTAGAGGATGAATTTCTAAATTTTTTTCTTACCTGATGCCTATGTCAAAGAACATCCCCTTCAAGTTTCAGGTCTTTACAATCAGCGGTTTAGGCTGTACGTTTTGATCCGTCCGTCAGCCATTCAGGGCAAAGCATTTTATATCTATACTAATATTATAAAGAGGTAGTTTGTGAGATTGAGAGTTTGTGATGCTGTAGGGGGTAATCTCTGTATCTACTGAACTGATTTAGATAAAATTTGGGAAGAAGATAGCTTGAGGCTCTGGGAAGGACATAGGATACTTTATCCCGGAAATCACCCCTTAGGGCGGTGGCGGGAAAATGGGGATGAAAGTTTGTATTGGGAAGCAAGCAAGGGACGAACCCGAGCGAAGCGAGGGTGAGCTGCTGGTGTAAAGATATAGGTAGATAAATTGTTTAATATAATAAATTGTTGGGTTTGATTTAATTTAAAGTTTACTGTGTTCTTTTTAGAGCATTTAAATAAAAGCTTATTTTGAAAACTGTTCTTTTACAATTATTTTATTTTTTATTCCCTATATTTTCAGGTACAAGAGGCGATGCGGAAAGGCGTGCACATACCGGATTCCGACGACGAGGGATACCCCCAGCAGGTGAGTTTGACTGCTGACATAGTATTATACTTGTTGCTTTACTTTCTTTTATTATCGTGTGACGTATGTAAATCGTTAAAAATACATTATTATGTATGAAATGACATATCGAATGCTCTACAAAATATTATTAAAATCGTCCCTGCCGTTTAGGAGATGATCAGTGTCATACCGACTGCAGCGTTACCTACCAGGACCAATTGTGTTTTCAAACCATCCAGGAGCACATTAAAATATACATAGATACCATTAAAATATAAATATATATAGATGCGTTATGACGCTTAGTATGGAATATAATTATTCAAATTATTTTCGTGAATTTTTCCGATGTTTTAATATTCAAGAGCGCGTGACGATCAGACCTTCCTTATTTTATAAAAGTGGAAAGTTTCTCTGTGTATGTCCCCAATACAGATAAGAACGATTCCTGACTATGAAGCTTGGGTCATGGTGGCTTTGGCAGGTCACAAAGGTGTATAAATGTTCAGTTTATATATATATATATATATATATATATATATATATATATATATATATATATATATATTAGGGCGACCCAAAAAAAAGGATAATTTTTTTTTTCATGTCTCGTGTGAAAATATGTTAGTTTACTATGTTTTAAGAGTCCCCTCCAAAGGACAGCTCAAAAAAAATTTTTTTTAAATTTCCTAAATCCTCAAAAATCGATTTTTTTTTTCAAATGCTTTTTCTCGTAATTTCATTTCTTTTTACATGAAAAATTATGAAGATCCTGAAAATTTCAAGTCAAAATTTAATATTTAGAGGTCGCTACAATTTTTTTAAGTTTTCAAATCGAGTACTTTATATCTATTTGAGCAACTTCTTAACATGAATGAAATTCTTAAAATGAAATTAAAGCACGAGATAATTTTTTTTTGTTTCTCGTGCTTTAATTTCATTCTTTAGCATGTGAAATTTAAGGAAAAAAATATTAAGTTTGTTAATATTCATGTCCTAATATATATATATATATATATATATATATATATATATATTATATATATTGTATGGAATAATTATTAACACGTCTTCAATTGTCAGACAACCTCCTGTCATATTGAGCATGGCCAGATACGCGCCGGGCCGGATTTTTGGTTTTTTATTTATAACTTTGTAAAAAAATAACATAAAAATTTATAACTTTGTAAAACTCATTTATATATACGCACCTAAAAGTGGACACGTCCGGCTGGCGAATTTCTTTGTACTTGAATATAAAAAATATAAAAATTTGAGATTATAAACTAATTTTAATATTTGACAGGACCGATTTTGGCGGGATTTTTACTGGCAAATAGCTGATGCTATAAGGAGTAACTTAGGCTACTATTAATTTAGAATAAGAGTTATTATTCAGCGCAAAAAAAATGTAAATGAAATTGGGTACAATATCCCTGTATTTCGTCCAACATATAATACATTTGTAGTATATTAAATGCTTCTTGCATGTCTCCATGTCATCCCTCGCAGCAGGAGTCATATGGACAGTATCGCAGACAGCGGTCCTGCGAGTCCAGCCCCGAGCGTGAGCCCGAGCCGTACTACGCGCGGCCCGCCCCCGCCCCCGCACCCGCGCCCGCCCCCGTCCACCGACACGACCAGGTAGGACACCTTATAGGTTCATGTATTTTTATGGTAAAGTTCTATTAAGATGTGTGTATTTAAAGCAGGGTTCGGAACCGGTTTAAGGGGGATAGCCACTGTGACTGCCGACAAATGAGTGATTTCGGGATTTTTTTGCCGGGATAACTAAGGAATATGAGGATCGAATTTTTTTATTTTATTAAATGTATTCAGTGTAATTTTGTGTAAAAATTTATTGAAAAACACTAAATAATAACAAAAATTCAGTGTTTCTGTATAACCTGAATATAAATTCTCCCTTCACGGTGGTTTCAGACCTTAAATTTTTTTAAATGTTTTTAGACCTTAAATTATTCCAATCGGACACGAAGTGGTCACAAATGGTCGATTAATTTTGATAATTGGTTAACATTATTCAGGTATTATTAAGAAAAATTAAAAAAAAAACAAAGTGGACTTTTTTTGATTAGGACCTCAAAATAATAATTTAGCAATATCTAGCAGAGATCCTGGAAAGTTACGAAATACACGGTCAGATTGGTCAGTAAATGAAAACGAACGGTTTAGTAAACCGAAATAATAAGGGTTAACGGTTATTCGTAGAGAAAGATTAAGTTATATAATCAACGGGGTAATTACAGTAATGTACATACAAGAATCTTTCGACTAAGTAATTTACCATTAATGAAGATTCGCCAAATATAATCGCACAAAAACTCATTTTAACCGTTTACTTTACGATCATGGAACCCAAATTTGTCAAAATCCGTTTTCCGACTTTTAACCGGTTACAGAATATAACCGAAAAGCCTTTCGGTGTGGGGTCAATGACCAAAACTGAAATAAAAATTGAACAGGTATCCGAACCCTGATTTAACGTTATTAATAATTACTGTGACGGTCTGGAAGTAAATACTCATATCTCCGAAACACGTACGTTTTAAAGGCGTTTTGTGAATCTGTAAATTCAATTCAATTCTTTTGTTTCTTGGCTTCTAGAAGTGCCATTTGGGCACAGTTTACTTCACCAATGTCGCGTAGAAAGTATAAGTCGTGTTTTATCTGTAAAGTTTGAATGACTTAATGAGTTAATTGAAACGCAACATTATATACCTTTAATGTGTTTGACATCTGTCAAATTGTACTATTTTATGCTTACGAATTTAGTACTATAGTCTGATTTTTAATTCGGCGGAATTCTGACATTTTAGAAATGTAGTCAGCTTTGAAACATTGTCACTAAAAACGGAAAGCATTTTAGCAAAATAAAAAAATAAACCTTTCTAGAATTTAAGGTTTCAATTAGAAAAACTAAAACTTAAACAATTATTGATAACTCTAAAATGGTAATTATTTTTTTATTATCATATTATCGAAGTTAGAATAATTATTAAGGAAATTATTTTTCTATTACAGGAATCCCTGTTCAATAATACATAGGTTGCAAGCCTTTTTTTTAGGAAAACCCCTTTGCTTGTAAAATCTTTGCAATTGGCAAAAAGAATTGGAAAGTCTCAAAAAGACAGGTCCACAACGATCGTTCACGATTTTTTATTATTGTTTTTGGCAAGAATGCATAAACTATATTATAAAAGAAAAAGATAAAATGTGCCCTCTTAATGATCTGATGGATAGTGTGAGTGATTCTTTTATAATCCGAGTGGATGATGACGATAAAGATGATATAAGTAATAATGATTATATAAATATTTTCATTTCTTATATTTTGTTTTACTCAGTTTTTTTCATTTAACCATTAAAAAAATTACATTATAGTTAGTGTGCATTGAATGCACAAAACAAAGACTATTTACAATGTCATACATATAGTTTACTTGATCTAATTCTGTTTCATATTTTTTGTTATTTTATATTAAAAAAATACAAAGCAGAAAAGGTTTATGATATCTGAATTGTCAAAGAATGACAGCTGTCATATTTCCGTCGTTATAAAAATCAGACTATAGATGACACAAATATAATTTTTAATTTTTATTTATATGAAAGGCAGTGGTAGCCCAATGGTGACGCGCTCGTTTAAAAAACCGAGTGAATCGGATTCAAATCTCGAATCCCTCACCTCTGATATTTATGTACATGTACGAATCATTTTCAACATGATTACCACTTATTTAATAGTGAAGGAAAAGATCGTGAGGAAACCTGTATGTCTATTAGAACTTAGTAAGTTTTCGAAAGACATACACAGTCCGCCCTGTACTTGTCCAGCGTGGGGTACTATCGCCTGATCCCTCTTCGTGGTGACCCCTATATGAAAATTCAGGGACATATTTGATTGAACGCCGTCCGGTAATAATCAACAGTACATATTTTGTTCTTATCTCAGATATATTAAGACAATATTTATCAAATTTCATATGTATCAGATATGGGTGTTTGCTTGAAGACTGTTTTGTTTTTTATTTGGATTATGAAATGTTCATTTAACTGCATTAATCTGGGCATGTTGTGGTAAGTCTATTTCTTTTTCTATATATTTTTAATTTATAGAATGTCAGTAGGTTTTAATGAAGAAATAGCATGGATCGCTTAAAATATTTCTCTAATCGTGTATCCATACATATTATACATTATTATGTTTGTTTGTCCGATCTTTTCTAAGAAACAGCTTGATTTGATTTAATTTAGGGTTTTTTGAAAGTAAATGAAATCCAAAAAAACTATCACCATTTAAGCTTTTTTTGCATGTTGTACCTATGTGCCTTATGTTTATTTATATGAATGAGTGAATATATAGTTAATGATCTATGGGTTAGAATTAAGATGTTATTTACATTAATTAAAATTCATGATATCATTATAATATTAAAAATGTACATATATCAAAACAATATTTTAAAAAGTTTCAATTCTTCTTATAAAGCAATAAAGGTCTTAACCACACCACCCAAAAAAAAAAACAAAAATAAAAACATTGTATCTGACCGGCATTTGAACCCCGACACCTGTGATTGTCAATCTTGCGCCTTGGCCGCTTTACCACGATGCTTACGCCCGAGCGTGCGAAATTAGCGACCACATTTTGCGTGGAATAATGCGAAAGAAAACCGCATGAAAACTCAAAAACACGGATTTTCCCAGACGTAAGACTAATCTATCGATTTTTCTCCCTCTAAAACCAGAAACGTTTCCGAGATCGCCGGTATAAATAAATATACAAGAATTGCTCGTTTAAATATATTAGATTTATATAATCAGTCATGTTTATATTTAAAAATGCATGAGTATTACCAGCTTAACACGTAAATGGTCAGACTGTATAATATATTTAAATATGCATATACATATATAACTAACTTGTCCGTTTGTATGTGAATGTATGTGTGTCACTAACCCGTAGTGGGCGCAGGGCAGCGACAGCTCCGCGGAGGCTGAGCCCGCGCCCGAGCCCCCGCGTTCGCCGCTTGCCCAGGTGTGTGTCTGTCTGTTTGTTTATGTGTATTTACTAGCGACTCACCCTCGATTCGCTCGGGTTCGCCCCTAGGTTGCTTCCTCATACAAAATTTTATCCCCATTTTCACTCACTTAAGGGATGATTTCCGGGATAAAAACTGTCCCATGTCCTTCCTAGGATCTCAAACTATCTTCGTATCAAATTTCATTTAAATTGGATCATTAGTTTCGAGGCTATTCGGTATAAACAAACAACTCTTTCCTCTTTATAATAAATAATATTATTATAAGTATAGATATATTTGTATAGATATACATATATGTATATGTATATCTATACAAATAATATATACATATATGTGTGTGTGTATGTATGCATCTCGTGAAACCATCTCCAAGCAGTAGCTAAAGATAGAAGGACATGGAAAACTACTGCTGCACCCCTAAGTGCCATGACGGAATAGTAGGGCAACTTCATGTATGTACCTATGTATTCTAGCTAAAGGTATTTTTCCCACGAGGCTATTAAAAGCCTATCCTATCCTACTAGTATCTCGTAAGTAGCTGCTATACAATTTCGGTATGTTTAGCACACGACGCTCGCACGCTATTCGAGTCGAACATGCGCATATACAGTTGAATTGAGATCCTCCTTCTTTTTTGAAGTCGGTTAATAAAATTGACGACCGAACATGAATAAAATATAAAATGTGTGCAGGAAGTAAATTTTTTTTTGGATATTCTATAAAAAGTATGAAACTTATTACAATCGTTTCCATGTAGTTTCCCGGAAGGAACGAATGTTCTACATTTATTGTTTCTTTTAATGCACAGTGCACTCAAAATCTTCTTTTTCGCCTACTCGTTAAATAAATATATAGAAGAAAGTCCTCATCGCTAGAATCACTTGACATTGTACTTATTGGACTAATCAATAAATAATAAAAAAGTTATTTACAAAAATAAAAACCCTGACTGCGATAAAATCGAACTAAAAAGATGAAAACAAGTTGACGAAGGAACATAGTGTTATGCAGTCTGTGGTCTTGTACATATGTATATTGTACATGTTTTATAACAGGTGCGTGTATGTCTCCGCAGTCGGGGTTGTATTTTTGTAAAAAAAAATGTTTTTTTTTTGCATTTCTCATTCCATTTAAACGTATAAGTTGTATATATTTTGTAAGTCATTTATAAAACCCTTTATTTTGATACCCCATTCGATTGGTTTGTTTTTAAAAACACACAAATTTTAATCTTTAACAATTTTTATATAGTCTATGGCGCTCGCGTTATCAAGACGAATTTAACGACGTATGAATAATGGAAATCAGCCTACGCGTTACGTCTTAAAACGCTACATAGGGACAAACATACATACATGTATAGAGTGATAAACACATTACCGTTCTTTGCGTCGGGGAGTTGGGTAAAACATCCTGAAGACTTGTCTTATTCTATTATATTATCAATGAATAATTTTTCCTTAATAAAAGGAATATATTTTTACAATATGATTCAAACAAATATAGGTAAGGCGAGTTTATTGTATGAAATGAAATAAAATAAAATAAAATTAAACTTTATTCAAGTAGATTTATACAAGCACTTTTAAATCGCCAATTTTAATTTAAAAGACTGTCAGTGTAGTCAGTCTGTGGGAAAGTTACCACAGGCTTGGAAAGCAATTCTGCTGAGAAGAGCCTATGAGAAATAGGACAGTTGCTCTTATATAAATCATCGACTTTCGTCCATACAAATATTATAAATGCGAAAGTAACTCTGTCTGTCTATCTGTTACCTTTTGACGCTTAATCCGCTGAAAGTATTTAGATGAAATTTGGTATGGACATAGTTTGCGACCCTGGGAAGGACATAGGATAGATTTTATCCCGGAAATCATGCCTTAAAGGAGTGAAAAGAGGGGTGGAAGTTTGTATGGAGAATCAATCATTTCTCAAGTAAGGGATATAAAACACATCATACCTATGTGATATGTATATATAGTCAATCTATTTCATACTAAGCATCATATATATACATAGTATGTAGATAGATATAAGCAAAAGTACTTCTAAATATGTAGTTGAATAAAGTTAATTTGGATTTGTTCCATGACTTTCCTTCTTATAAAAAAAATCATGTAAAAATGCATAATAAACGAATTTTGTATATCCACAATTTTCATTAAAACACGCGCTAAACACGTGCACATACATACATCCAGATCGCAATTTACTCCAATCGGGAATAGAACCCATTGTAATATTGCTATTGGTGATACATGTTCAGTGCCCGGCGTCGCCTGCGCGCCGCGTGTCGCCCGAGCCCGACGAGCGGTACGACCACCCCGCCATGACGTCCTCGCAGTACGACGTGAGGACACTAATAACTAATACCTTATGCCTTTATATACAATACCCTTTCACACTATGTTAAAGAAAACTATTTTTTTTATTTCAAGTAACTTAAAATCATTACTCTCCCGTGTCTATAAGTGCTGTAAAGCATTCAAAACGTTGGAAAATATGTTAAATAAAATCGCGATAAAATAGTTTTATTTAAAATTAAAATGACAAATGCTTGCATAAAGGGTCTAGTTGTACTTCTACGGCGAAACTGCAACCGATAGGAACCTATATCGTACCCAATGTTATATTGTAGAGGACACTAACAAAGTGATCCAGTAGATATTAGCTCCATATCATAGTTAATTGAGGAGCTATTTGAAAAAAAGTGCCCGGGGGCGAGTTTTTTTCAAAGCGATATATGTTAGTATATTTCAAAGCTAGCAAAATAATACTAAATGTAAGTGTTATAATACGCTTTGTAGTTTATTTTATAGCTGTTTCCTATGTGCCAAGCCTAAATAAAAGTATAAAAAAATGCAAATAAAAATTTCGACAATCGATTTCTATCAGATATAATTAAATTACCACTTTAAAAAAATACATAATAATTGTCTATACATTGTCTAACAGCATGCCAAGTTTTTTGTTTTTTTTCGAATTAATTTTGATTTTTGGTTCCCGACGTGTCGAATGCTTTACAGCAATTATGGTCACGAGAGAGAATTTTTAAAGGTTTTAGACGTCTTCAAGGTCATTCATTATATAGTTGTTATAAGCAGCACTTACCTACATATGTATTACATACTTTTAAGACGTCTAAAACCTTAGTCTCTAAAAATCGGAAAAGATAGTTTTATTTGAAACAAGCGACTTACCCTCGTACGTTTTAAATATAAATAGTTATTGCAAGTGTACCTTAGGAAATAGAATCATACCTACTTGATATTGCGGACATTTCTGTAAGTCTTTAAAAAGTCAAACCTTGTTAAACCCTACTTACATGTTTAGCCATGTAAATTTCTTAAGATGTTTCGAACCAGTGATTGGGTTTTCCTGTGGGAACGAAAGATTTTCCTGTAGTAGAAGGTATCCTAAACGTTGACCCGGTTGAAACGGACATACAGACAAAAAATATAATTCTTGGGTTTTTTTGTGTTCTATATTCTGTACACAATACGTTACAGTAATTGTTTTTAAAAATACTTCATGTACAGATTTCGCTAAGTTACTGTTTTATGATATGTATAGATGTCAAATATTCACGTACATCTAAGTATTATTACACAATAAATATATTAGATTGTAGTGAGACCACTTCTGCGCCGACGGTTTTAAGTCATTTTATATGATTAAAACGATATACGTAAATGATTTTTCAAAATAAATATTAGTGTGAAAGGGTACTAATGTTTTTGTCGTTGTAACTAAGTATTAGCAAGGATCATTAGCAGTTTTATGTCTTTAAAGGTTTATTTTATTCTAGCTAACCTTTGCTTTATAAAAATGTCGCATTTTCTAGATACTCTTTCTTTTTCATAGAAATGAATTCAGAAGAAGTCCTACTTGCTAGTACTTACTCTTTTATTTATCTGTATATATATTAAAATTATAACAGCATCGAAGCATGTAAGTGATTTACACTAATAATATTTGTCAGTTTTCAAAATATCCGTCTTAGCTTAAATATAACAGAAACAAGTCCGGGATATTGTCATAAAAATATAGTCTCCTGAGTAACAAGGAGGGTTGACGTCAGGCAGGCGGCCGGCCGTAAAACTTTTGCCAAAGCCTTTCAGCAGTACAGAAGATGTACTGCGCCGACCCCAAGTGATTGGGAAATGGGCAGGGAGAAGAAGATAGTCTCCTGAGTAAATCATTATAATGAGTGTAACAGTCAGTTGGTTCCCTTTATTTTCACAGATTTAATATTCATATATTGGGTTTAAAATATTTAATTTAAAGTTAATACTAATTTGATAAACAAAATGTATTGCAATTGCCAGCCCCGAGGCGGCCCGCGGTCGCCGGACGCCGCCTCCTTGAGGCACTCCGTGTCTGCTCAGAGCGTGAAGGTATCTATATTAGTTATAATATCACTTGTATATAGAGATACATTAAAATATATTCAATATAGGCTATGGTGAAGGAAGACATCGTGAGAAAACTTCCATGTCTGAGAGAACCGATCAAGTTTTCGAAAGACATGTGAAGTCTACTTGCATTTGGCCAGCATGGCGGATAATGGCTTGATCCCCCTCACATTGAAGGGAGGCTCGTGCCCAACAGTGAGACGTCAAAAAGGACTGAAAAACAAACATTCAATAAAAGCAGTTCTAGGCAGTTCATCTTTTTCCATTTAAATTAAAATTATGAATCATAAAACTCTAACTAAAATACTTTTGTGACTTGAGGTATTTTAAATGTTACTCTAACTTACCCTCAAATTACATTTAAATTATATTGGTTCTAGAGATTCACACTCAAAAGATATTAACGTAAATAATATTTAAAATAATAATAATAATTAAAAAGGCACGTCTGAAATGTGTTTTATATATATACTTAATACAGTTGTAAACACATGACAATTAACAGCAAAGAACAGTTAATTAAAAATTGCCGTGTGTAAGAGAGGAACGAAACGTTCTCCAGAAAGGAATCGAATCGATAGAAAAGTTTAGAATTTTGTAATACTAGAATGTTCTACGTTTATGCATATAAAAAGCCTGGCAGTGTGTCGAAAGATCAGTTCAATTTTGGCGCTAAGTGAAGACTGAGAAGTAGTACGAAAAAGTGAAGAAAAGTCATAGTGAAAGTGTAACTAGAGTGGAAATTAGTGACTGAGTTTAGTAAGAACTGTATATATACTCCGCGTGTTAGTGAATCTCCATAAGTCACTCTTGTTAACCAAGAGCAATAAAAGATCCGTAGTGCAAAAGACGTGCTTTAATTTCCGATCCCCGAACTCATAGAACGTAACAATATATGTGATGTTTTACGATACGGAACCATCGGTGTGCGAGTCAGGCTCACACTTTCATGATTGTTTATTTAATATAATTTCTGTCTGTATGTATATAATCTTTTATATTTCCAATATACATGCATATTGTAAAAGAAAATGGAATCAATTTCAACACTAACCCTTAAACCCTTAAAGGAGTACGCGTATGCCAGCAACGGTGAGTGGCGTCACAGCGGACACGCCGCGCTCACCTCGCCGCATGCCGACCACTATAGTGACCGGGGCGACAGGCGAGTGCACTACACTATACTGCACTACACAATATAATACTATACTACACTATACGGTACGACAATGTATCATATTACACTACACTATACGGCACGACACTGTAAAATACTACACTACACTATGTCATACTATATTATACTAGCCGTATCCGCGGCTTCGCCTCCGTTCATACTTCCGATATAAGCATCAGTTTTACAAAAAATTATGGAAGTCTGTCTGATTTGTTGACATTTATGATTATTGCACCGCTCTCTTGGATATGGGCATGACGATATATAGCCTATATCCTTCCTCAATAATCTGGTTTTCTAATGCAAAGAGAATTTTTCAAATCAAATTAGTACATTGCCACACTACACTATACTGCACTACACTATGTCATTCTAAATTACACTATACTGCAATATAAATTATTAGTTTCATTTACGTACCCACGCACGCACTTACGCACACATAAACACACACGCACGCCCAACTTTCTTCTTTATTATATGACATTTTCTTTCCGTGCAGGAGTGAGACGTACTCGGTACGCGGCGAGTGGGAGCGGGACAGGGAGGGCGCGCGCGAGCGGGACAGGGAGAGCGCGCGCGAACGGGACGGCGGCGGCAGAGAATACGCGTCCGCTGTCATGGCGGAGCACCGTGGCTTCACACGCCGCCCCGTCGCCAGGGTAAGCTGTTCTTTTAATCTATACAGATAAGTTAAATTAAAGTGTTTGTTTGTAATGTCGAAATAACAACTTTTTACTAAATACATACATATGAAAGTATATACAGTACTTATAAGAAACAAACAATTTGTAACATTTTGTCTAACTATTTTGTCTCCGAAACGACTGAACAGATTTTGACGGGACTTACACTGGTAGATAACTGATGTTATAAGAAGTGAGTTAGATTATTTTTATTTAGAAAAATTGAAATTGCAAAAAGAATTCTCGTACTTAGGGACGCACTTGAGCGAAGCGAAGGTAAATCGCTGGTTTTCAATAAAGTAGTTAGCGTGAGATCTCTAGGACTCAGGTGGAGGTTCTGAGTTTGTTAACTTCATAACTTTCTTCCTAGCCTAAGAATTATATACGGCTTATAGGATTATTTACTTCACCCTGTCTGTTTGTGACATTCGTTTTTTTTATATTAAACAGAATAAATTTAGATTATTTTTTTATTAAAAACTTGCGACCTACCTTCGCTTCATTCGGGTGCATCCTTAACCTTAAATGGCTTACAAACGCATAAAAAACAAACTTCCAAAGAAAAAATCTTTTTTTACGCCAGAAACCTTCGCAGTCGTATACAGAATAACCAACCAGAGTTTCGTCAACAATCGGATTATTGGTTTAGGATTGGTTTAGGTAGAGAACAAAACATTAATTTTTTATTTATATAGATTTAAATAAAATGTATGCATAGCAGTGGTTATGTAAATATTGTCGGTACAAATGTTAATTAGTAACGTTACGTTTTCCAGAACTCCAACCTACTATCAGCCGTGCTTTGCCTAGTGAAGGAGCTGGACTACCCGAGCCTCGAAGTCGCGGAGATGGCCGTGAGGTATGCTCTTTATGAACTATACATGTACTTACATGTTTTTAGCCCCTTCTAAATGTCCCACTGCTGGGGGTGGGTCTCTCTTCAATACGAGGGGGGATCAGGCCATAGTCCACTACGCTGGCCAAGTGCGGGGTAGACTGAGCATGTCTTTCGAAAATTTACAAGGTTCTCCCGGAGATACAGGTTTCCTTACGATATTTTTCTACACCGTAAGACAAGTGGTCATTATGTTGGGAATGATTCACACATGAGAGTATCAGAGGTGCGAGACTCGGAATTTGAACCCGCTTCACTTTCCCAAACGAGCGCGCTTTTGCTTTTTAACTATATATATATACAAGTTCATATGTGATATTATAAAAATAATTTGAGTCCTGTGAATCTTTTTGTCAGCTCTGATGTTGGAGTCAAGAGATGGGTAGTGGAACTCTTTAAAATCTTCTATTAAAACCTTTAAATTTGGGCTCACTTGATTCGTTGTGACGAACCGCATACATTAAAGTTGTTAAAAACTTTTTTTTTGATAAACTACTAGCTACTTATTCTGCTAAGTTCGGTAACATCTAAAAGACTAACGGTACTTAATATACTGCTTTACTTAATAATATGTGTACTAAATTTCATACAAATCCGTTCAGTAATTTTAGCATAAAAGACGAACAAACAAACACACAAAAAGACAGAAACATTAGCTCAGTTTAAAAACCCATACAGTAGGCGATCCCCCGTTCAATTCAAGATTCAATAGATTGTTTGGCGTAGTAGACTGTGATATTACGTCGCCTTAGCGCTTATTTGTTCAAAAGACCAATACTTATTGGACTTTACAGACAGGAAACAGTTTTTCCTCTATTTGAAAAACAAAGCTTTATTTCCAAGATTTATAAACATATAGATAAAATACATTTTTTGGGCTTTTTAAAAGTAAAATGCGTATTTAATACTAATGGAATTGATATTTAAAAGTCAATAATTTTGTATTAAAACTGTTTCGGTGAATTGGTCGCTTGGATAAATAAGCACTGAGACGACGAATAGTATTTAAAAAAATTAATTATTATATTATTATTGTTTTTCTTCAAACTATATTGTCCACACCCCTTCCTTCTTTCAGTTTGCCAATTTCAATTGCCTGGAAAAGATAGCTGTTTTAGCGATAAGGCCACCTCTTATACATAGTCCTATTTCTATTTTCCTTGGACTTATTTTTCTTACTTTTGTGGTAAATGTACAATAAAGAGTATTAATTATTATTGTTACATATCAGGTGTCGCATGGACGAGCTCGCGAACAGCCAGTGACCCCACGCAGAGGCCGAGGGCTGAGCGACTCCCGCGCGCCGACTCACAGCTCACTAGCACTTGAGTTGACTGCTTCTAAACAAATAAATCAAATTAACAGTTTTTTGCTTTTAGCGACACATGGAGAGAGGATATGAGAGAAATTAAAAGTTCACAGATAATCAAAATTTGATTAAAAAAAAACATTTTGCGCTAAATTATACACTTTTAAATGAATAACTCATTTACACTCAATTGATTTGGGTTGTGATACTCAACTCAATAAAAGTCATTTGAACTCTATATATAATATACATTGATACAATATTAGACAGTATGTGTGGTGTAATAAGAACCTATTTCAAGTGCAATATATATGTACGGTGGATGATCAATTTTTGGCGTTAAAAGTTGGACCAAATGTTGATCTGTTAATGTCGATACGATGGGTAACGATAAACCGTAAAGCTTCATATAGAAGGTAAAGATTATATGGAAGTTGGCCCGTGTATTGGCTATTAATGGACCAAAATTGTGATTTGGCCCAATCGTGTGATATATCTTAGTGCAGTACCGACGATTATAAGCTTTCAATGTATAATGCAATAAATGTGCAATTAGAATGGACTAATTTAGTGTAAATGATAATAAATGAGTGGGTGATTTTTGGTTATTGACGTTTTCGAACAAATGTTTGGTGGTGGGCCGATGTTGGTCCACTATAAACTATAAAAGGAATAATGTACATGACGGCATGAATGAAATTATTTTTTTTACAGATTTAACTGGACAATAATAGTATTAATCGGTTAACAATGTAGATATTATTTGTTTTTAAAAAGATAAATTTTCGACAATTATTTTTTGTATAGATTCTTATAATTCCTTTTCTATATACACGTTAGGTATATCTCAAGAATAGTTGCATATAAATAAAAAAGACCAACCCTATTTAAATAACAATTCTATGCAACACCAAAAAAATCACAAATATCCCGGATGGTAATTAGTATTAGGTATACATACATACATACATAGTAAACAACAAAAATATAGTTTTGTTTTTTGCTTGAGAATTGTTATAAAGCTTATTCTAAATTGCAATAAAAAATCAAGACAAATCGTGACTATCTTTTTTTCAACCAACTTCTGCAAAATGCAGGAGGTTCTCAATTCGGATGTATGTTTTTTTATGTTTGTTACCTTAGAATTTCGTCATTTATTAACTGATTTGGATAATGATTGTTTTGTTTGAAAGTGTATACTATATGTATACTATCAAGTTGTCCCATTTTAATTTGAAAAAAAATACCAAGTTGGGCTTGCACCCCATCTCCCAGGTTCGCCCATGGCCTTCGCAAGGTCCCAACCGCAGTAGGCCACTAGACTTGGTGGATTCCGAAGAACCACCCCACGAGACTGCTGCTGGGAATCGCACCCCACAGCCACCACCTGGATCACACCTTAGATGTAAAGGCGTTGCACACTCCGAAGAGGACCCAGAAACAAGCCTGACTGCTCTCTCCATCGCTACCAGTACACGCCCGAAGACGACGTAGATAATAGTGGAAACGTACGTAGTCTCAATGTTATTTCAGACTACACCCGTGAACCACTTGCAACACCGCAACAGCTGCTAATGGGTTGCCGATTTGATGTTGCCCGGCCTTACGGCTAGGATGATCCGCGGAAGGCCGGAACGCAGGTCCTGATTCCGTTCGAAACGCGCTGCGACCCCGGCGAGACTCACCCCCTGTTACAGGAACACGCACGCACGAGGCGCACACGTGCACGAGCATCGACCAGGCCTGTTATCGGCCGCATCCGCTTCCCGTCCAAACCCTACACGCTCCTGTCCTCAGAGCCAATCCTTATTCCGAAGTTGCGGATCAAACTTGCAGACTTCCCTTACCTACATTATTCTATCGACTAGTCTCTTCGCCTTGGCGACCTGTTGCGGATGTGATTTTAAAAGAAAATATACTCCAGGTTAACAAAATTTAGAAGCTGACGGTCTAAGTAGAAATCCAGTATTAGAATCTGAAGAAAATATAGATGAACAATTGAAACTTGTAAATTTGATCCAATTTGGATGACATTTTAACAGATCAGAATAAAAATATAGAAGTACAAAAAAATAAAAACAAAATGATTGAGAGACACGGTTTATAATTTAAAAAAAATAAGGATCCGAGAAAAAATTAATCTATCAGAAGAATTTATGAGCAATCGTATGTTGTATAAAACTAAGATTTTAATTCAATGATGTAATTTTTTAAGTGTAAATATTTTTATGTAAGCATTTTTCATATTTTTATTCACATTTTTGCTATAAAACACTCTACGCATTCAACTTATCTTTTTACACGTTTCATTTATAAACTCCCAACTTGTAAATCATTATGAATGTATGAAAGGTTTTAACCTCGGACTAGAGTGTATAGATTACTGTTGGGACCTCTAAAGGGAAACTTGGGCTTCTGACTACTAGAAAAAGCTAATCGTGTTGTTAAATAAAAATCTATGTAATTCCTTCGTACTAATTTAAATAATAAAAATCAATAAATGCATTTCACTTTTAAATCTGAATCTGTAAACCCAGTGAAAGAAGAGTATTTAATTTTATTAACTTACTGCTAAATAGGCAATATGCGTGATTTTCATCATACAATAGCTTACATCGTTATATAATTGTAAAAAAATATCCAGCTATAAAAAAGCTAAAATTTAGAAAAAAAAATATTATATCGATAGATACGGATTTCTTAAACGCCGCCATTTCGCGCGCTTAGCGTGGCGTCACAGTATATCATACATAGAAAAATGTCGATGCAATTTGTAGCGACAAAATCGCTAATCGCTCTGTTATGATATACTCTGAAGTCATATTCGTTCTAACCAATAGCTTTCGTTCCAAGTACTTTGAATCATAATCAAAAAAATATATATTAATACAGGCGTTATTCAGAAGCAATAATATATATATATATATATATATATATATATATATATATATATATATATATATATATATATCACCTTTATTTAAATCACACAAAACAATAATTTCATTTATGCATCGAAATTTGAGTGTAGATGCAAGTGAGATCCAATGTTGGACCTAAATATATACCACGTCTTTAGTTTAAGCCCTATTAGAATAAGAATAGCTTAAAGCGTATTTTCTTAATTAGATTTCATAAGAAAGTGTATTCTAAATTAGATTTTGCTAACACATGTTTTAATTAGAAGCTTTAAAGTCAGCTGAAATTGAGTAAAGATGAAGGGCTGGCTCACTAAAAAGTTCTTTGAAATATTAAAAACATAACGAATAATTAGACATATTTCATAAAATTTTGTAAGTATTCCGTCTTTATTTGAAGTACATTTTTTAAACCAAATATTTGTTCACAATCGTCGGCCATTTTGTGATATGATCAGTTGAGGCTATCTATTGTAGCGCTATTACTTATCCATAATTTAATTGTAATAACTGAATTAATTTTCATAATTGAATTAATTTTTAATAATTGAATTAATTGTTTTAATCTTTATTCCAATCACAATTGAATTGTATATTTTTATCTGTAAATATATAAATATTTGTATTTAATACTTTTTTTTATATACTTTGTAAGTTCTGCATGCTATAGATTGGGTTAAAATTATGTTTTAAAAACTCTAAAACTCAGACAAAACACGAATGTCAACTCTTAATGGTACTTAAGACCTAAGAAATCTCCGTGTTTTAAATCTCCTTTTATATTTTTTTACGTTTTTGTTTTATCTTCCATCGCGATGGATAGACACTGATCAAAATGTTAGTCCAGTATTTATAAGTTAGACACGCGGACAGATACACGGGCAAATGTATGTATAGCCAGACTACACATGTTTATTAACTAACTTTAAAGAACGAGGTTTTTATGTCGAGTTATTTGTTTTAGTTTTTTTTGTATTTGTGGTGATTAGATACCCCCTAGCGGCTTTTTTGCAACTAATGACAGCAGTTTTCAGTATGATTTGTTTAACAGAAACAGTTCTAATCACTTTGTCGTATGAGGATACTTCACTAAATACAGACGATCGAAGTTCAGTAATTTGCCGCTATGGAATTCCCTTAATACCAATAAATGTCAGCTTTATTGGAAATAGTTTTTTAGAATGTAAGTTATTAAACATTTCAATAAAAATATCGAAAAAGGTTGGTGGTCACGATATTAGAATTTATAATTAACTAGCGACTCACTTCGTTTCGCTCGGGTTCGTCCCTAGGTACATTTTGATTTTTTGAGCGGAACCCTAATTCTTTTACTGAAATAAAAGTAGCCTAAGTTACTCCTTTTAAAATCAACTACCTGCCAGTGAAAGTCCCGTCAAAATTGGCCCAGCCATTTTGGAGATTAGCCGGCACAAACAGACAGACAAAAATTTTAAAAATTGTGTTTTTCTTATAAATACCTTATACCGTATATAATTCCATATGCATTTAGTAAAAAGCTGTTATTTTGACTTTACAAAGAGACACTTCAATTTTATTTATATGTACCTATTAACTTTATTGATATTATTTATTTATACTTAGGTAAAACATGTAGAGAATTGTTAAATTCTAAAAGAGCAACCTTTTAAATTTTTATTTAAATATATATATATATATATATATATATATATATATATATATCACATAATATAATACTAAAGTATTTTAAAGTCGATTCAATAACATTAATATTTAATACTGTTCCTATAAACTCAACAATGTGCTGGGACGTTGTCGCATTAGTGTCGTGGAATTAAAGGACCATTTGTATACCAAAGGTTCTAATACGATAATTCGGAAAAGTTCCAACTACATTTTAAAGTTTAAATCAAAATGGCTATTGTTAATAAAAGAAAGAAATTCCAAATATTTTACCTAAGAATATAGATGTGTCTCTGTCTGTGTGTCAGTTCGCGTTGCAAAATTGCTACGTAACAGCAAAATGTTAGTGTTATGTATAGATATATAAATGAATAATAAAATTAACTTGCCGTCACTAGAAAGCCGTTTTATTTCAAACTACCCACTTATTGAAGTTGTTATTGAAGTGATATCTTCTTATAATAAATAATAAAAAAAAATATATTATATTTTATACATAAACACCCATGACTGTAGTAGAAACATTCGTCATCACACAAATGAATGCCCCCAGCGGGACTTGAACCCGCGACTGCTGGTTCAGCAAGTAGGGTCACTACAAACTGAGCTAAACGAGTCGTCAGATTGACTGTATTAATGTTGCCCATCAATAGTCTACTATCGATAGCATGTCGATAATTAATCGATAGTGACCGATAGTTCGAATATCGGTAGCTCTAGCGATATTATGTAACAATACTATTGACAGACCACAATACTATCGATACTGTCGATAATATTGGTGCTCACAAATCATAAACTATTGATAATATCGATACTATTAATGTTTCGAAAAAAAATATCGATGGTATCAATGCTATCGAAACTATCGATAGTTTAAACTGACTTTTGTCTAATTACATTGGTTTTAAAACTAAATTAATACTATCGAAAAATTAACAACTATCGATGGTCCAAAACTCAAAAGTATCGATAGTATCGATTCTATTGATAGTATTGTATTTCAGAAGTTTGATAAGATCGATACTATTTAATATATATAACTAATTGGCAGCATTATCGATATAGTTATCGATAGTAGGGCTGTTTTAGATGAAAACTATCAATACTTCGGCAAGACTAGTCTGGATTCCCTTTCTCTCACGCATCGGCAGCGGTAGGTAGACTCTTCCTCTCTCAACCCACAGCGCTAGCCGTATTTCGGACAGACGCTTCCCCCTATTTCTACTCAGTGTTTAGTGTGCGAAAGACATATACTGTTAACAGTGAGCATATTATCTAAAACTCCCACCGTTTTTGAAAAGGATTATTAAGATATTATGAAATGATTTCAATATTAAATAGTTCAACTTAGATTAGTTTAAGTTATCACTTCCATTTTTTTTATTTCTTTAAAACTAGGCTCTCAATTCGGGTAAAAGATTTATTAGTGTAACATACACTTTAAAGTTAAAATTCCATCCCATTGGAATAGAATTACTCAGTAATTTTATGTTCTTTTAAGATCAAATAGGAACAACCCCAATTTTGTTTCTTATAAATGATGGCGTCCTAAAATAATATCTATTTTTTTCTCGCTTTCATATAGTATAGGTAATTTTAGTTGTGGTAAAAAAATCTCGCAATGAAATCCAACACCCATCCAAAAAGTGGATATGTCCTTTAGATATATGATGTAAATGTTTGCAAGAATCTCTAAAATATTATCTTCAAAGTAGATTATACGAACTCCTTGTTCTTTTATTTGAAGGCCAATACGCTGTCAGCGTGGCAGCGTCAGTAACAATATGACGAGTTCGAGTCGCTGGAGGCCTACTGATGTCTTCTAAAGAACTCTTCAGGTAAAGTTACTATGTTAATAATTTATATACTAGCGGCTCACCCTTGCTTCGCTCGGGTTCGTTGTTAGGTTTTAAAAAGATATAAATACTTATTAGCCAGCGTTAGACATAAAAAATTAACTGTTTTTTTTCGTTATTTGTTTTCCCTTTATTAAACTTTCCGTGTACCTTAAATAACATACGATCGTAACTCAAAATATCCAGTAGGTATCTTAAAAGATGTTAAACATAGGTTACACATTCTGTAAATAATAAATTTTCATTTTAGGTATTTAGTAAGCTCCACTAGCAGTATTTTTTATACATTTTTCTGCTCCGTCTTTTCAAACTTAGAAAAGAGTACAATATTACAATTGCATACAATGTTTACGACTTGTATATAATACTCGGCTAATATGGTCTCCCTCCTTCTCCTTCTTTTTTAACCGACTTCCAAAAAGGAGGTTCTAAATTCGTCGGAAACTTTTTTTTATGTACATATTATGTTCACCGATTACTCGAAGACGCCTGAACCGATTTGGATTTTTTTTTTGTTTCAAAGGGTATATTTTCCATGTGGTCCCATATAAATTTTATCGAAATCGGTCTAGCGGTTTTAAAAAAAATCAACACTAAACATTTTATTGAAATAAATTGTTTAATCGAATATGTTATTAAAAAACTTTTTTCTTACAAATTACCTGCTTATTACGTCTACACTAAAAAAAGAACAATTAAAACTAAAAAAACCGTTTCCAGGCACTAAAATGTAAAAAATAACTAAACGGAAGTTTTTATTTAAAATAGATACCTAATCAGATATTTTCGAAGTCGGTGCCAGGCTACAATATTTTAAGATATGAATATCTAATAGGTAAATATGGATTTTACGTATCGAAATATATTTGATTTGCTTTGCATCGGCTGGCACCGATATTAGCCAGCAGGACCGATATTAACTAAACATAGCTAAGAACCACCACAAGGTAACTGGCTTTCAAATGAAAAAAAAACCGCATCGAAATCGGTCCATCCGTTTGAGAGCTACGATGCCACAGACAGACACACTCACACGCAGACAGACAGACATCGACGTCAAACTTATAACACCCTTCTTTTTGCGTCGGGGGTTAAAAAGTAGCCTATGTCACTCTCCAGCCCTCCAACCATCTTCACACAAAAAAATCACGCCAATCCATCATTCCGTTTTCACGTGAAAGAAGGACAGACAAACAAACAAACAAACAAACAAACAAACAAACAAACACACTTTCACATTTATAATATTAACTATGGATAATAGTTTTTTTTACAAAAAGACATGATATCCCATCAAAACCATAAATGCGAAAATGGGAGCCAAGTTCAATATTAAGAATATGCGTGGTTGTCGACTTTGCCCACAAAAGAATTGAGATCTAAATGGGTGCCAAGTTCTATAGATAATCGTGATTTTTTTTCATAAGAACATAGGTACAACATTCTAACATAAATTTAACACAAATTCTCCTTTGTTTCTGCTACAAAAAGTGTTTGCTATTTATTTATTTAGAAAAGCACACTAACAACGTACATATTAAAACATTTATAAACATTTAGAAGACAATAATGATGTAATGATGATGATGATCTCTTAGCCGATTCCGGCCACGGCGGCCAATCTCATTGAGACTAGCCAACTGCGCAGGAGATATTATAGTGCACAAGTGTACGCTCAGACACAAGTGCACTCTCTATTCCTGTCACTCTCATACTCCGGTGGGAAGACCACTCGACACGACCAGTGAGAGTTAAGGCGCAGGACCGACGGCTTTGCGTGCTCTCCGAGGCACGGGGGTGAAACACCGCCAACTTCCCAACTCCGGTCTGTTACTGAGGCTTACTTATACAGAAAAACTCAATAACTAAACTTGGCCCGACCCGGGACTCGAACCCAGGACCTCCGAGTGTGCAGCCGTACATGCTAGCCACTACACCACCGAGGCAGTTAGAAGATCATCATCAGAAGACAATAATAATTAATTAATCAGATATGTATTTCTTTACAAGTGTACATAACATTCGCTATAATTACATAATCAAATATATAATCTCTTATATGATAAAAGTTAAATATTTTTAATTATCCCTGTGTATAAACACATACAGGCATGTCAGCCTCCAGTGGGTCGTACGTAGCGGGCGCGGACATCATCGATCTCGACCGCTACATGCGTGCCTCCATCAGGCCTTCGCGACATGGACGCGCCTACACTCGGTAATAATCATCTATACATAGTATAAACCAAAGTCGCTGTCTACGTCTGTCTGTTTCTCAGCTTACTTCTTAATCACACAAGGGATTTCGATAGAGTTTTCACTAGAAACAGCGATAAACAAGTAAGGCTTGTGTATATGATTTGTAAATATTTTATATAAAATGACTGAGCTTAGGCGGAGTTTTGTCATAAAAAACAGCTCCAAAAAACTAAAAATTGGTATAAAAAATCTCTTAAAAATTTCATACCGATACGAATATTTTAAGTGTCCACTATTCCGCGCGCTTGGCGTGACGTCATATTATATCATACAAAAAATCACTAATCGCTCTGTTATGATATACTCTGACGTCACATTCGGTCTGATCAATGGCATTCGTTTCAACTATTTTGAATTTCCCTCCTATATTTGCACTTTTTAATAATTATTTTCTTAATCAATAAGAAATTATATTAAAAAATATTAATATAAGCTTAATTCAAAATCAGTAAAAATTATAAAAAAAAATCTGTTTTATTTAAATCACACGCTTATTCCCGATCTATTATGATTGACTGGCCGATTATGGCCACTGTGGCCAATCTCATTGAGACTAAGCCATCTATAGTGTACCAGTGTACACGCAAACATAAGTGCACTCTATATACCTGGCACTCTCAAACTCCGGGACGACAAACCGAAACGACCGATGAGAGATCAGGCGCAGGACCGACGATGGGTTTACGTGCTCTTAAAGACATTGGGCTGTAAACTTTGCCTATTTATCAACTCTGGACAGTTGCTAAGAATTTATTGAGAGAAAAACTCAGTAACTCAACTTGACCCGACTTGGGAATCGAATCCAGGATATCCGGATCTGCAGCCGTAGATGTATTGGATCTCCGTGGTACATACATATATCTGACGATTAAATGGGGGTAAATTAATAGCACGCATTCAATAGTGAGGCACAGACGCATGCTCATATCTTATAGATTTTTTTTATTAAATCTCTTATAACATGATAGTATCCTTAATTTGAACCTTCATCTAGCGAGATGCTCGTGGTGGACGCAGGCGGCGCAGATCGCGTGCCGATGGAGGCCAGCTCCAACAGTGAGGCGACCGCGGGCTCGCGCGCGCATCACAAGCGCTTCTCACACGACTCCGGCCTGTCGGACGAGACTTACTTGGGGAGGAGGCACAAGTTGTATAGGTTGTTTGGAGATAGTTGCACATATGTACCCATTTCCGTAATTTAATCACACATTTCTTATTTTGACTTCAAAAGTTATCTCAAATGGAAATTCACCACTGTCCAAGCATGATCCTAAATTCTGTAATTTTATTTATAAATTAAAAAAAAAATCAATAATATTTAAGTGTGTCCAAAAAAATAAACTCAACATTTTGTAATCAGTAATATATTAATAACTTTACATAACAGACGCACCAGTGAGAACAAATGCCACAGGAAGAGTCGCAATGTCGCGTCCATCTCCTCAACCCGAGAGTTCCGGGCCGCGTACGAGAAAGTGTTACGAGACCAACAGGAACAGATCGCTCGTGTTGCTGAAATTTGTGAGAGACTTGTGCAACCACAAATAGAACATTGTCCCCAAACTGTCACCAACGGATCGAATGGAATCAATAATTCTCCACAAATATCCCAAAACATGGGCCAAAGTTTAAATCATGAAGAGAATGTTAATAAAATTGGAAATTTAGATTGTAACGTGAATCAGAATAGTGATAAACAAAATTTTGGTCAAAATGTTACGCAAAAGATCAAACGTCGAGCGGCGACGCCTGACTCGAGTGATGTAACTTCCAGTAGCGGCAGTTCGAGGGATATTAGAAGGAAGTATAAGCATCGGGTTAGTTTAACATTTTGTAACATCAGGCTTAGGCTTTTGTACATCTTAATTTTTTTTATTTTGATCAGCAGTCTATTTGTGAACTTTTATAGTATGGCAAAGGAGGTAGGCTTAGCAGAGTGTTTGTTCTCCATTAAGATACCTCCTTATTTGTGCTAAGCTATATTGTCGAGCTTAGTAAACTAATCAATTGAGAACATTTTTAGTCTTCGTTTGTAGTCAGGCTTGATTAATACAACTGTCTGAGTAAATAAAAAATAATAACCAATTTTACACTTAGAAATATGACTAAAACTAAAAAGATATAAATTTCAAGAGTGAATCCTGCAAGACCTACAATCTAATAATGGATAAGCTAGATGAACTGAGCCACATGTTCGCGACGCGGCGCGTGCCCGCCTCTTCCGGTTCCGTGTCGATGTGCAACAAGCTAGTGGCCACTGAGGATGTGAGGCACAGCAACACACCCGTGATTCAGGTACAATATTTAAAAATGGGGAAATATTTTTAATTAGTTGTAGTATACTCGTAGCATTCGACCCTTTTTAAAGTTCCAATTCTGGGCACGTGTCTTTCTTCAATAAGAGGGAGATCAAACCATACTCCACCATGTGCAATCGGATCTCACAGATCTTTTGAAAACTTCATAAAACAAACGCACAGGACTCACTCAAAGAAAAAAATATTTTATTTTTTTAAATAACATTAACTGCATTTATTAATGTTTAAAAGAAGTGACCTGAACCGGTAATCGAATCAACTAAAAATGCAAAAAAACTGCGTTTAAAAAAACCGACTTCAAAAACTAAAAAGTATAAAATGACTTGTTAAAGATTTAATTTAATACACCTATTATGCTGACTTAATACATTTAATATTAATAAAATACTATTATTTGTATGTGCCAACTTTCGATAGGTTTGAAGTCAGTGGCAAGTCAAATGTAATAGTAGGTACCTACCTACACTCGCCGCGATCTGGGAAATCTATACTAAAGGCGTATGTGTGGGATCACTGCGGAATTTTAATAATAAATGTTTATTAAGTTTTGCAACACATCTCATAATCAGTGACTACTCCAATCTTGACATCTAACAATATTCTTTATAATCAAAAAGTTAAGAGGTTGACTATTACATAAATAAAAAAACTAAATTATTATTGTACATAATATTTCCACACGCCCATCCTGCTCACTTATCTGTCTCTACTATTAAGGGTCGAAACCCAGGGTTTCATTAAATCAGTTAAGCTCGTGGTAATTATTGGACCTTCATGATTCCCATACGGTCCTAGAAAGTTAGAAAGTAATTTTATTTCCAGGTAATGCATTCAAGCAGGGTAAGCGACCGCGCTCGATCTGAAGGCAGGTGTTCTAACAAGAGACAGTTGGCAGTGACGTGCGCGCCAGTTGTAGACATCTCGCCCGGGGAGAGGAACAATGTCGTGGAAAGGTAGCTATATATATATATATACATATATATATATATATATATATATATATATATATATATATATATATATATATATATATATATATATATATATAAAGAGGTTAAGTTTGTAAGTTTGTGACGTTCCCTGTGTGTGTGTTATTCCCTGGATCCTGGATCTACTGAACCGATTTAGATGGAATTTGGTAAGAAGATAGTTTGAGACCCTGGGAAAGACATAGGATACTTTTTATCCCGGAAATCATCCCTCAAGGGGGTGAAAATGGGGATGAAAGTTTGTATTGGGAATGTTACATCAGAATTCAGAAGTCAGACATTTATTAACCGACTAGCAGAACCTGCAGCTTCGCTCGCTCTAAAACTACAAAAAAAAACCTCTTTGCTCTTTGACTTCGAAAATATTTGATTAGGTATGTATAGTAAATGAAAAATACCAATCAGTTATTTTTAACTTTTTAGTGCTTTTGTTTGAAGTCGGTTTTTATTTTTTTGTTAAAAAGTTTTTATTTTTCCCTTTTTAGTGTAGACTATTAGTAACAAAGTAAGGATTCTAACGTGTTAGGCTTGTCAAATCAAACAAAATAAGCCCAAACTCAAAGTATCTACTATTAGCCGTTGAAGAATTCCACCTATCCACCTTCTGGCCTTGCCATCAGATCAGGTCAACAACACCGAACCACTGTACTATCAACGGAAATAGAAATATTTGCTAAGTTTCAAGTCAATATGACAATTAGAAGTAGGTTAAATTCATCATTCGTTGTTTTTCCACCCTTAGGGGTGGTATTTTTTTTTTGAAATATAAATGGGACCAATCTGGAAGTATATCCTTTCAAACAAAACAAAAATTGTCCAAATCGGTTAATAAATGACGGAGTTCTGAGGTAACAAACATAAAAAAAAACATACAGTCGAATTGAGAACCTCCTCCTCTTTGAAGTCGGTTGAAAAAAAAACAAAAAACTACTGTATAATAACTAATAACCAATAATAACACGTACACTGTTCATTGTTCTGGTACTCCAATAGCATAGTGGAGCATTGGAGCGACTCAGCGAGTGGCGCCGCGGCAGGCGTATTCGACTTCGACGACCCTCTACATGTAAGGCTTTTAAGTAATTTCTATTACAATTATCTTAAATTCATTTTAAAAGTGATATCAGCAATTTACAATAACATGTGTAGTGTGGCTCACCGTATCCTCATATTTGTAATACTTTTTTCTAATTTCATCAACTCCGTAACTAAGCTTCTCTCATTACCTTTTCACCATTATGCTGATGACCTGCAAATTTATGTAACAACATTCATAGTTAGATTTCACGATGCCATAGCCAACCTTAATTCTAATCTTAATACTGTAAGTACGTGGATTACGTGGAGTAAATCGTTTGGGTTATTTGTAAACGCAAGTAAGTCGGAGGTATCCACAAAAACATCGTCGTTTTTTGGCATACCCTAATATATATATTGGCTTAGAAGAATTTTTTCAAAGACACAAATTGGCGTCTGAAATACGCCATTTTAATTTTTTACATAAATATGTATGTATGGAGGAACGTGGGCTATATAAAAATAGTAAAAGGGATTGGGGACCTTGCCGGCCACCTTTAGCTTCACCATGTGAATTGAGATTCCTTCTCACTAAAATCCACAGAACAATATCGCCTCAATACAACGACACTATAGGATCGTCAGAGTTAGCGTATGTATACTCTAAGATAGGATCGCTTGCGCAAGCTCATAACGAACGAACCCACGGCCCCAAGTGTCACTTGGTAATCTTATTATTTGAGTAATTTTCAGTTATATGCCCAAGCTAAACGTCTCCAAGCCACCCACGCGAGCGCGCGACGCACGAGTAATGATAGACTGCGCAACTTCCAAGACAAGTTCGGAGACCAGCTCGACGACAAATTCAACGACATGTTGGGCAACAAGTTGGACAGCTCTCTGTGCGCGCTGTGCCGCGGATACTGGCGGAGCGTGCGGACATATCTAAAGCAACAGCTATTTGGGACGTGCTCTTGACTAATTCATTATCATTAATATAACGTATGGTGAAGAAGACAGTTGTTTCATTATTAGTAGTTACTTATCTTTTTTTTATGAGACCCAATATTACTTTCCTAGATTTACGTGAATATTTGACATTTTAAATAAAACTATCTTTTCAGATAGCTACTGAATGCTTTAGTCTTTAGTGTATGCGTTAATCCCACTCAAGACCATGATTGCTATAAAGCATTCGAAACGTCGCGTCGGGAACCAAAAATTAAAATTAATCTCCAAAAAAATCTGGCAAGATAGTTTTATTTAAAAAGAGACCCTAATAGTTATTCATACCTAATAATTATTAGAATATTATTCAGCTGTCCTTATCCCCCGACGCAAAAAAGGGGTTTTATAATACAATTATTTGTAAATGCTTTGTTCTGCAGTAAAGTAAATAGAAGAAGACCCAGTTTCATTATCCGCGACAGCCACGGAGGTGGTATGTTACCATTTTTCTCGGAAAAGACTATGCAGATTTTGAAACCGTTTTTGCATTGTATAAGCCTCATTCCTGGGGGCTTAGCCATATTACAAACGTTTCCTATCTAATCTCTTTCTATCATTGGTAGCGTATTGTCGATAGCTATTTTAGAAAACGATTTGATGCTAGCCATATCAACAAAACTAGTGTCTACAGTGTCAATCGTTCATTCTACAATGTGGATCGAAAAATAGCTTATTGTGAGCGTTCCTATACACGTCAAAGTCACGGTCTTGTTTGAAAAATCAAAATATGTTTTGTTTTGTGATAAAAAAGTGAGTGAATTATAATGGAAATACTTGAGTGTTCAATATTCTTATTTTAACGTAAGGATATTTACATTTTACGTCAAGAATGCAGCTTACGTGAGGTCGATGTAGAGTGGATGTTTTTGTTCAGCACCTATGAAGTGGTTGATAAGTGATTTAAAATCGTCGCTTAAGTAAGTATAGCATTCCTTCAGAGTAATTAATTTATATTTTATTTGACAAAATGAAGTGACTCGTAATGTAAGTCGTCACTTTAAGAAAAATAGTTTTGTCTTAAAAAGGGTCTATTGAAATATTTATGTATTTGACTTTGTAGTTATTAGTGTTACGGGGATGGAAGTGCGCAACGGAGGGGAAAGAGCTTTACTTTAAAATGGGTTAGTTAGCTTAAGTTCGACACATTTCTAGCTGGGGTACTGAGTCTGTGTGTGTTGTTAATATCACAGTGCCAAATATAAATAAATTATTATAGTGAGGATGGAGTCCAGATGCCGAGCTAGCCCAGAACAATTTTCAGCTTTACTAGAATTCATGGAAAGGTACGTATATTATTATTAGTTATCTCAGCTTATAGTCATACTCAGGAACTAGAAAAAAACGAGGCTACTCTTACTGAGGCTTTAAACTATAACTGTATATTTCAACAATGTAATGTAGACATTTTCCCTAACACCTTAAGTTTATTTAAAGAGAAATTGTATTTAAATATTTAGATAAGATTAAATTGTTGAACAACTTCAATGTCACTACCAATTTTAATTTATTAGAAGACAACACCGGGGTACCTATATTGTCAATATATAATATCCACTTTTTGCCCAGTTTTGTTTATTGGGCCATAAATTTTTTGTTTCTTGGCCGATTTGGATGTTTTTTTTTTCAATTTATGGAGGATAAAATGCACTTTGATTTGATGATATATATATATATATATTTATTTGTTGTATATTATTTATCATATTTGCGTTTTGTCGCATTATATAGGGGATTGTAACTGAAGATCTTTTTTAATTTATTCCTCAACCACATAAAATTTAATTAAAATATTTCTACACAAAGCTGTGCCTTTTAGTTAATTAAATAGAATTAAATAGAAAAGAAGAAAATTAATTAAATAGAAAATAGAGAACTATTATTGTGTTAAACTCATGTCACTATGTAAATATAGTTAGTAAGCCTTTGACAAAAAATAAATAAAATATAATAGGTTTACTACTTGCATAGAAAACAAACAAAACGCTTGACACCTCTAGGTAAATTTCTAAGAAATTAATTAAAATTCTAAGAAATTTATTGTTAACTGACATGCCGGCGTGTCTGCGCTCGTGGAGGGATTAATCAATAGACCCTTTATTTTTCTAATATAGTTTTAATTTATAGCCATGGAGATATAGCAAGACCCCAACAAGGGGCTCAAGGCAGGATAAGGGCAGACCATCTATGGCAGGAGTTGAGAGAGTTACTTAACTCCATTGGTGGAGGAGTCAATAGATCAATGGAAAAATGGAAAAAAGTGAGATCCATTATTTTAATTCTCAAGAAAAGCTCTCAATAAAATTATACATTTTTTTATAGGTATTTCAAGCTCAGACTAGTGTTAGCATATTTATCTATTTTAGTTTAATTAAAACAATTGCAAACCAATCATAAGGTACAATAAATATTTACTATATAGTAAAAAGAGGCAAAAATAATTATATGAAAATATGTCCTTCATTTTTCTCACACAACTTTAAACATACTAATAAAATCTGTTCATTATCAATAAACAGAATAATAGTAGATATCAGTGTATATAACAATCTGTTCACTTAATTGACTGTATAATTAGATAACAACTTACATTATTTTACATTAACTGACTAATATCTGCAGGTGTGGGCGGATTGGAAAGCCAAAACAAAAAAAAAGGCCTTGGCAATGCGTCGCGAGGCTAGTGGTACTGGTGGTGGTCCAAGCAGCAGACAAACTCTCACAGCTTCGGAACAAAGGGTGTTGGGCATAATGGGTTTGTCTGCTGTTTTTGGTCTAGTTGGAATTGAGGAGAGAGGATTTGATGTTAGTTATTTACTTTCCTTGTGATTTTTGTAGTAGTAGTTGTAATAATAGTAATATTAGATTACTACTACCCACTAATAAGTGGGTTTAGGTTGAATTCTTTAATGTATATTTGTCATATTCTCAGGAACCACCACTTCAAGGAAGCCCTCTACCATCACCATCCAGAGATACCGTCCACACTGAATTTCCCTCCCAAACTGCCGCAGACGAGATTATGTTGTATTCTATAGAAGGTACTTTCTACTTGTATTCATTATGTGCTAAAATGTATTTGCACGTGAAGGATTATAATGTATAATTCACACCTTGCTTTGTATTGCCCAAAGGGTTAACAAAGCGTTAAGTCATATAAATAAAAATTAAATGCTGTTCATTGGTAAGGGCATTATTTGAGAAGTAATATATATATATATATATATATATATATATATATATATATATATATATATATCAGTTTGTAACTATAAGTTTTGTTTCCTCAGCGTCTCCTGCCCCATCAGCTCAACTGCCATCTCCCTCTATACTTTCACGTCTTCCTCCAACCCGAGTGTCAACACCACCGCTCGCCTCTGTGACTACGCCGATGCCGTCAGCGACGTCTCGTAATACAACTATACGAGGCGAACCACAACGACGAAGGCGTCCGGCGACCCCTTCGCCCGTGGCGTCACCTGCCACGTCTACGCCGCGGCGGCATAGGCTGCTTCGAGCACGCACAAGGCGAGTACAGACACCATTCGAACGAGCCACGAGCGAGTTCGTAACCGTCGAGAATCGCCGACTGCAATTGGAGGAAGACCGCGAAAAAAATAACCATCAGAGGGAGATGGAACGCCTTCGATTGGAATCGCGAAGGATTGAAATGGAAGAAATCCAAAATCAAATGTTTAACCGTTTAACTGGGATTCTAGATAGTTTGACAGAAATTTTAACTCAGTTGAGACCATCATCACTGGCTTCAACAGTTATTCTGTCTTGATGTGTCCAGTAATGGTGGCCTCACTTGTGAATGTGTCAAATTGTCTGATTTTTCAGCATCTTTTATTTCAATCCTTTGCAATTCTTTTCAAAAAGGAAATAGGTTTTTTTTTTAAATACAAATTTTTATTAATGTTTTTAAATTTATTTTATTTTTGTTAATACATTTTAAGTACATTTTTATGCTAAAAACCTCGTCTTCCTTACAATAAGAGTTTACATAATAATAAAGGCATTTAGTATAATGAAAACATTTGTTTCATTTTTACAATTACTTATTAAATATTATATTCATACATTTTATAATATACATATACCTAGTAAAAAAAGAAAAATGCAAATATTCACATTAATATTAGTGATGTAGATAACGAATATTCGAATATTTTTTGACAAGTATTTGCCTTAAACGAAATAATTTCCCATTTGTTCTAGTTAGTCTAATTGAAAAATTTAAAAATATCACATCTAAATAAAAAAAGAATATCCAGCCTTATATTTAAAAAAAGATTCTAAATTATCTCTTTTGTGAAGAACGAACTGAATTGACGACACGTTTGGCTCAGTGTGTAGTGACCCTACTTGTTGTGCCAGCGGTCGCGGGTAGAGGTCCGCTGGGGGCATTCATTGTCTGATGAGCATGAATGTTTGTACTCCAGTCATGGGTGTTTATATTTAAAATATGTATGTTTTTAAAGTTTATATATGTGTAGTGTATCAACTATCTGGTATACATAACACAAGCCTCGTAGCTTACGATGGAACTAGATGGTGCTGTGTGTTAATGTCCCAACATGTTAAAAAAAAAACTTGAGAAGACTAATCAAATTAATAACAATATCTAGGACTTATAACTCTTGTTACAATTATAGAAGGTTTGTACTTATTTAGCAGATTGTAAACTTTTCATTTACAGAAAACAAAAATATATTTGAAACAAACTTAAACTTATAATATCCAATATGTTATATAACCTTTGGCTTTCATGTATATTTTTCCATTCCATTATATATATTTTTCTAAGAATTAAGGCTAATGAATTATAAACTAAAAAATAATAATAGTGAATACTTAACTGAACCGTTTGTAAATAAAGTTATAATTTCTTTTAACAGAAAACAAAACAATATTTTAACGGTTATATAAACAAAAGTAAAGTTCTAATATCCATAATTTTTATTTAACCTTCGGTTCCAACGATATATTTTTTCACTATATATTTTCTTCTATATATTTAATAAATAATATGTTATTACCGACACAGAGGCGGATTTTGTAGTTTTTAGAATTTTTGTCTGTCTGTTTGAGAATGCATCACGAGAAAATCACTGGACAGATTTTGATGAAATTTTGCATAATAGTAGCTGCGTCAACATAAAGGATACTTTTTACTGCGGGAAAATATCTCATTTTTGAGAAATCTGTACTAAACGTTAAAACGTATTATATAATAACTATAAATTAATGATAATGAAATATAAACTACACAATTATATGTTGATAACAATGTTGACAATAGAATAATAATTAATATTAATTATAAATAAACTTGCTGTAACTTTAAATTCTTAGTAATTAAATTGATGTAAAGGAATCTAAAGTTTAAAAATAAAAGATTTCAAGCTCTTTTTCCATGCAGCCTATTTTTATTTAATTTCAACAACATTCGCATTCGTGAATATTGAAGATAAAAATTCGCATTCGCGAATGTGAAAAATCGAATATTTCTTACTATTACTAATTAATATGTACAACTAGCCTAAAACCTATCAAATCAAATCATTTTTGTTATCACAGGTGCACAAAATAACATAGAAAGGTCTTAATTCTAGATTCAGATCTTTGTGATATACAATGAGTTATTTAACTTGTTAAAACTGTATAATACTCCTAATGTAACCTATTTAATAAGCAATTCAACATGGCCCTACCTTGGATTAGCTCATTTTGGCTATCTATAGTGGTAGAGATGGGAGCTCGCATGGGTATATCACTTTCATCCTCATGTGCAACTGGAAGTGGTTGTGGTAATGGTAAACGGGCTTTCAATGCAATGTTGTGCAGGACACAACATGCCGCTATTATTTTGCTAGCTACATAAGGATGATAGTGAAGTGTCCTATCTCGAAGCAAACATCTCCACCGTGCTTTGAGTAATCCAAAACAGCGTTCAATGCAATTACGCGCTTGCACATGTTTTTGGGTATATAGTTCTTCTCTTGAACCTGGAACTGCATTGAGGATGGGAGTCATAAGCCAAGGGCGTTGTGGATATCCAGAATCACCTGAAAAAATTGTTTTTGTAAACAAAACAAACAAATTCTTCTACTACTACTTACTACTACTACTACTACTAACATATCAATTACATCTTTCATGTTATTTTTGTAAACACTTACCTAATAACCATACTTGTTCATTATTTTGATGAAGTTCACGCATGTATGATTCAGCTTTACTAGATGACCATATATGTGAATCGTGTGTAGCTCCACCAAACTTTGCATTCACATTTGTGATGCGAAGATGACTGTCACAAATCTGTAAAGTGAAACTAATATTCAGAAATGTTTTTATATTATTTTACCTGAAACAAGTCATAAATAAATACAATTACCATTTGAACATTTAATGAATGATACCCTTTTCTGTTATAAAAAACATGTTCTTCATCATTGGGCTTAACTAAAGCCACATGGGTGCAATCTATGCACCCAATTACACCAGGCAGACCAAATCTACTCTGAAACCTAAAACAATAAGTTATATTATTAAATGCATTACATGTACCTAAGAGTAAAATTGTAAATATATAATATGATACATACTCTTGTTTTACATGTCCTCTGTCTTGCCTTGTTTTCGGAAACACAATCCATTTTGCCATAATAGCGGGGTGGTTCAAAGCATCCACTACTTGTCGGATGCAGCGACTAGTTGTGCGTTGAGGAAGATTGTGAGTAATACCAACAATTCGTTGATAGGACCCTGTAGCCAGGAAACTAACTGCGCACAACACCTATAAAAGACAGCCAAAAAGAAATAAATAATAGTGATTGTTAGGGTTGTGTAGGCTTCGATAACTAAATGGACTGTTTGCTGGTATATATGTATTGTTTAACATTGAATTAAAATATCACATTTTCATCATGTACATTTAACAAAAGTCTTATGCAAGTTACACCATGCGTGCGTGTGTTCATGAACTCATGTAATGAAACAAAATAAATGGTAGGCTAGGCACATTTATTCTTGTACTTAAAACAGCAGAGTTACATATTTGGCATATCTTACCTTAACTTCTAGTGGAATCTCATTGGATCCTTTTAAAGAAGTTTTCCGTCGTAGGTCTTTGAACGAGGGCTTCGAAAGTCACTTTGCTTAACCGAAATCGTTGTATAAACAAAGTGCCCGACATTTCATGTATTGTTTCGATATACTGACGATATAAATCTCTTTGCCGGCGTTTTAACTACACTTCTTCGTTATGACCGGACCGCAACATATTTAAGGTATACATTTTATACATTTTAAATGCTAAAAAGAAAATATAAATAGTCTAAAATCAACGCGAATTAACAAAACACTTCTGTCTTATAGCAGCTGTGAGCTGATTCTAAACTTTAAAGTTATAGACGCCACTTTTTTAGCGTTAACTCAAGGGTCTCGCCGTTCGTTTAGATAGCGTTAAAGAACTTAGATTTGAATTCTCAAGCGCTTGTCAAACGTGCAACTTGGCTACCATTTTGTATGAGATCTTGTGATCCACATTGTAGAATCGCTCAGTTCGTTTCTATTTTTAGAACGAACTATGTACCTTGTAAACTTGGCTACGAATTTTCAATTCGATCGTTTTGACCACGTGACATATCGTTCAAAATACGTAATGCCCATACATTTCATTAGTTTTCTAAATCGTTAACGATTGTAGATAGTCAACATGGCTAAGCCCCCTGAGCATGTATTTAACGAATTGCAAGGAAAGGGTTATGTTATTCGCGCCTATCTTTGTATGCTTTTTTGTAATATTCTTTATTTCCTCATATCTTCCAAACCACTCGATAGATTTCTTTAATTAAGGTATCGTTAGATTCGGCTCATTACTCATTAGTCGGTTAGCTTAACTATCAGTTAGCTTAACCATTTGTTAGCTGAACTGTTAGTTTGCTTAACTGTTAGTTTAACTGTCAGTTAGCTTAACTGCCGTTTAGATTAACTGTCGGTTAGATTAACTGTCAGTTAACTTAATAGACACTTATAATTGTCAGCTTAACCGTTACTTAGCTTAATCGTAATTAGCTCGTTAGTTAAGTGTCGGTTAGCTTAACTGTTGGTTATCGTAACTGTCGGTCTTAACTGTTTGTTGGTGTACCACAAAAAATAACAGAACAGTATACCAAATAAAACAAAAAACAAAGGATGAATCTTTAAGAGATCTCTACCAGAAATTCTCAAGCGTGAGAAAAAAATAATCAGATGGTGTGTGTGATGGTGTGGCGGTGTACCTACGCACAAACTACAAACATCAATTACTATCTATACATACAACTGTAGAAATCGAATGTCTTTACATAGAAAAAAAAATGCTAAAAACCGAGTCAGGTTCAAGATCAGGTCAGTTGATGTAAGAAGAGAAATAGAATAAATCCATATTTTTATTCTTTTTTTTTGTTTCTGTTTCGTTAGTTCTGTTTTGTTACACCGATTTAAGTGAAATTTCGCATGGTGGTACCTTATATCCTCGGTCAACATTTTAGGTACTTTTCATCCCAGAAAATTAAAGAGTTCTCCTGGGATTGTCAAAAAACTATAGTAACTTATACAGCTTAGTACACAACAACTTATGCACCTAATCTAGTGAAATTTGGCATGCCGATACATTTTATTGCCGGTCAAACAACAGATAACTTTTTATTCCGGAAAAATAAACGGTTCCAGTGGGATAGATCTGTTTGTGCTTTTCTAGAGGCGAACCAAAGCGAAGCGAGGGTGAGCCGCTAGTTGTATAATAATAGGAACGGTAGGATGTTGTCAATATCTCCCCCGATGTATATTTTCCTTGTCATGGTGGGGGGCTCATTAGCGTCCGGCAATCCAGCCGGATGTGAAGCCAAGAAACGCATTTGGGTGGAGGCGGCAGAGCTCGGTGAGCGGTGTACCAGACGAGTTATCCAGGGGTAACCGACAGGCAGCTCCCACGCTTCAATCTGCTGTCAGAGAAGAACCAGGGTACTTCTCTGACAGCAGATTGAACCTTGGGAGCTGCCTGTCGGTTGTATGGTCTGCTTCTGCAGATCTGTCATCGTGGCGTCGTGGTTGAATACGTAAGTGATCCCGCAACGGAGACGAGACGGTATCTGTTGTGTTGTAGTGGGTAATGCTAGCTTTTCTAGCGGCCTGTATGAATGCAGGTGCATAGCTTTTATCCTCTTTGCTTAGCAAGAGTTTCTTATTGCTAAGCTATCAGTTACTTATGCTTACATTTTTAAGTATACAGTATAAAGGACTACGGGTCACTTTTCAGATCTAGAAGTGATAGCTGGTCTTTTAGATCATGTAGAGGAGGTTTAACATTTACGATGCAAAGTAATCTTCTAAGTCAACAATTTTGACAACAGCTGGCAACAAAGAAAACTGTAAAAAAATTGACAGTATAACAAAAGAACGCTTCTATCAAATAAATTTTCAATCACGTCACAAGCCAAATTACCTGTTAATTATAAATACTATAAAAACACCATGTAGCTCAAGCAGATTCAAAAGTGAAGTATAAGTTAGTAACGTTCGTCAAATATGAAGAGGGAGCTTGGTCTTTGGTGGTTTCTCTTCCTTCTGGTACAGGTTTGTTGAAGTGTGATCTACTCACCATACCTACATATATAATATATTTAAACGAGAAATTCTTGTATATTTATCTAGATTAGTCTATGTCTGGAAAAACGCGTGTTTTCGAGTTTTCATGCGGTTTTCTTTCACATTATTTCACGCAACATATATTTGCTAATTTCGCACGGATGAGCATGAGCATCGTGGTCAAGTGGCCAAAGCGCAAGATTGACAATCCCAGGTGTCCGGGTACAAAGTTATAACTTTTTTTTTGTATTTATTCAAGTAAGCTGTCTAAATAAATATGATGATATTCGAAACTTATGGGTTTTTTATAGAATAATGTTCTAAAAAAGGTTTTTTCTAAATTAAACTTTGCAGTGATACATAAGTAAGTCTGTGAGGAATGGCAAGGTGCCAGGGAATATCTTCGAAATTATGGATACCATTATGCTGGTCTGTTATATAAGCTAAGTGGATAGTGGAACTGTTCATCGAATTTTAATAAAACCTTCGAGTTTGAGCTCATTTAATACGTTTTTACGCATATTATCTGCTGGTAACATTTTAAGATATGAAGGTTTTATTAAAAAAAAGGTCACTCTCCAGCCCTCCAACTATCTCTCCACAAAACGTCACGCCAATCCGCCAAGCCGTTTTATAAAATATTACGTAAACATTCCAACTTTGCAATTTGACGAGTCGTGAAAAAATAATAAAAGTTAGAATTCACTTAAAGTACACCACTGTTTTTGTTTTTTTTTTGCGTAGAATCTATTTGTTATAATTTTTACGAATTTATCGATATTTTATCAGTCTTTGATTGATTTTGGAGTTAATTTTATTGATTTTTCTGAAAAATGTGATTTTACGGTAATTACAGATAGAATTGAAATTCATTCATAGTCTAATCTTATTTATTCATTAATTAAAAATATATTTAAAGAAATAAGTTGATATTTATAAAATTTTGTCATAGTTTTGTTAAGAAATCATAAAAAATATAAAAAAATGAAAAATATTTTTTTATTTATAAAAACTATGATAGTACCTTTTAGAAATATGACTTAAATTTATAAAATGACCCTTTAATCTACTGTGCATCCATTAAATGCTAATATATAGTATTGCGTATGTGTATGTACATACATATAACTCCCGACTGCACAACATGTACTATGTTCCTTCGTCAACTTGTTCTCTTCTTTTTAATTGGGTTTTTAAGCAGTCGAGTTTCTTTATTGAGTTTCAATGAGTCCCATATTCACATTACAGTTGATCAAAACCGTTTGTGACAAACTACAACAATAGGTGCATGAATAAAAACCTCTTCTCCTATTTACTTCATTTTCATTTCACTTATATTATTCTTTCATAATTACCGATAATAGTTCATAATGTAATTTGTTTTTTTTAATGTAAACTAGTAAAAATCTAAGCCTTAGATCGATTACCGCAAATAAGCATTGAACCCATGAGCTCCTGCATTCCTGCATATTAATCAATGACTTTTTACTTATATAATGTGAATGTCGTCTAGGTGGTTAGTTCCCTCGCCTGTAAGAAAAAGCCGTCCTGCCGCCCTCCACGCTGTCCCGGAGGTTGTAAGCCTAAATACTGGTGATAGACTGAAATAAAACTAAAGAAGGAAATACATAACAATTTAAAATGGTAAATATATTTTTTCTCAAGAACGCGTGGAGGTATCAAGTTGAAATTAATAATTAATATCAAATACAGGTCTGCAATCCCTTGTAACTGTGAAAAAATCAAACATCTAAGTCAACGCAATCAAAAGATACGGCCGTCTATGTCGCTTGTTGCATACTTTCCCTTGACCCAGATTCATGAAATTTGGCAAGAAGGAATTCTTATAGCATAAGTAAGGGGAAAAACCCGAAAACCGTAAATGTTAGTTATATATATACACTTCAAGGAACATATTTTATTTAAAGTGCAACCGACACCTACTTACCTACTTTACCTACAATCGAATATCCCACATACACATTTAAATTTCATTGGAATTCACATGTAAATAAAAAAAATAAAAATAATTAAAAAAAACGTCTTAATTTTCCTACAAAACTTGATTTTTCAAGTAATTAATATAGCAATTAATAAACTGCAATAAAGACATAACATCATGGACCCTAAATTATTGTGTGCCCTAGGGCTCCCGCATGGCTTAAGACGGCCCTGGCCTACTACTATCTAACAAGGCTATAATTGTATTGCGCGGTCAATATAGTGGGTAGACAGTACTACATACAGTAGTAAGACGAGAATTGTTATCACTACGCAGGTGTGGCACTTGCTGTGGCGGCTGACGTGGTGGGCGGCGTGGTGCGTGCTGTGGGCGGGCAGCGTATGCGCCTGCAAGAAGAAGACCATCTGCCGGCCGCCTCCCGGCGGTCGGCCCGGCTGCGGCGGCAGAAGATAGTACCTCATCGGTCATTGGTAATGAAACTATCTTTTCGGACTTTTTCGCTCAAAAGTTATTATTTATATAGTTATTTTATCGACATACTAAATCATGAATTAACTTTAATGGAAAATAATGACTTTGATGTGCTAATTCTTAAAATAAATACGCGAAAAAATCCGTAAGGATAGTTTTGTTTAAAATGTAAAATATTCGCGTAAATCTAAGAAAGTATCATTGGTCATATCGATGTCGCGTCTTTCCGATAGTTTCTTGACATAAAATTCAATATAGGTACACCTTGAAGATTTTAGGCATTGTTGGTTCTGCCTAATCCATTGTCGTCTAACGAAGGCGTAAAACAGGCAAATTATTGTGCGTGATGCAAGGGAAGAGGCGAATGATATACCGAATTCAATTCTCTTGTCGATCGTTTCAAAGCGTACCAGAAGAGCACAAATTACTTCGCCAATGTCGCGTAAGAGAAAAGTACGAGTACGGTCGAAAAGCTTTAGGGTTGACGGATACAACTTCAACTTGCCACGAGATGGATACAGTGCTTTGGCTTCGAAATCGTTTGCCATGAAATCAATGAAAGGTTTGCGATGAACAAAAAATATAATCGGATATCTTCTCAAACAATTATATTAGTCTTAACAGAATTGAATTTTCCAATAAATTTTTAATAAAAATTGTAACTATGCTACATTTACATTTTTCGAAAAATTGAAAACATTTATGAATTATATTTTTGCATTTACGTATATTATACTACGTACGTACTACTTTAATACGTACGTATTAGAGCAGTACCCGCGGCTACGCCCAAAATTCACAGGATCACCCGATGGGCTAATCTGAAGATTACCTGGAATTTTCATTAAAATCGCTCCAGCTGTTTTGGAATCCATAGGAAACATACCTCCACATACATAATCTTTATTTTATTTTTGAAAATTTAGTGACACACCTACTGCAGCGCCACCTACCGGGTCCATTTGTATTTTCAGACCTTGCAGGAACCCACTCAAATATACACAAAGAATATCATTAAAATCGTCCACGCCGTTTAGGAGATGATCAGTGGCATACCGACTGAAGCGCCACATACCGAGTCCAATTATGTTTTCAAACCATCCAGGAGCCCATTGAAATATACACACAAAATTTCATCCAAATAGGTCCAGTCCTTTAGAAGTAGGTTAACAAACACACATACAGAAAAATTTATATAATTAATATTTTTTTGGATTGTATTATAATGTGTTTTCCCGTGGGAATTTGATAATATCCCGCACTAAAAGTAGCCTATGTCACTCTCCAGCCCTCTATCTCCACACAAAAAATTGCGCCAATCTGTCACTCCGTTTCGACGTGAAAGAAGGACAAACAAACATACACACTTTCACATTTATAATATTACTTATTAGTATGGATATACATATTTTAATTTTAGACTTTTTTGTGTCAGGGTTTACTAAACATTTTTGATTTCATTTTTTTTAAGCTAACGATGGCATGTTTTGGTACTATGGATACTTCAATATAAACTTTTATAATGCATATCAGCTGTAGTTAGTTCTGCCACATTCCACTACTGAATCTGTTTGCCGCAAATAAGTTGTGTGAAAGATATCAGATTTAATTTTAATTATAACTAAGATATTTTTAAATGCCTCTTATTTTAAAAATTATTTAAAGTTATTTTAATTCTAAATTGTTTACAGATTCAATCTAACCTTCAGTCAGGAGTCAAGACAAGTTTTGAAATATGTTAACTATAAATAAATAATAAAACAGATTTTTACATTTTTATTGTGTTTTTTCTTATAAAATAAACTTCTTACAACAACATCAGTAGTTCCTGAAACAAAATAAATAAATAAATACAATGTTGTTTAATTAATTGCAATATGTGAGAATTTTTAGTGCTTTATTTTTTGATCAAGATTAGTTGTTTTTGTTTTAGAATTATTGTAATACTAGTGACTAAGTTTCACTTCACTCGGGTTCTATGTACTTATTATAAGCCCAAACTCAAAATATCTACTATTAGCTGTTGAACAGTTCCGTTGAAGGTGGGGCATGGAGATCCCACTTCTGCATAGGAAAGGTTTAGTAAATGCATTGTTTTTTATGATTTTTTAAAAATATTATTTTGAGGTTGTGTTTTGTTTTTGTTCTGTTTTTTACATCATCTAACTGATTTCTGGGAGGAGACCCAGAGACTCCCTGTGCAATTCAACTGGTCGATAGAGCTCCAAATACAAAAAAAATTAAATGAACTAACTTTCAATGACTAACCTAATAATATTCAAAGGCTATCATTTTCTTAGTATAACCATTGGTCGCAATTGTTACACCAGTGTAGACACTTTTTAATTTTATATAGATCCTATTTGTAGTGTAACCATCATTAAAGATAAGCTCACTAGTTGCAGCAGTGTAACAAAACCGTGTAACCATGGGTCCAAAGCCCAAAAGTTGAGGTTATATTTATCAAAATTGGATATTTTTTATTTCAAAGTATTTATTTCCTAAATTTGAAACTGTCAGATTGCTTAAGATAATAAATACTTTGCACAAAATAAATCAAGAATCTACTGTAGATCCTATATATAAAATATGAGCCCAACCAAGATTTATAATGGCAGAATCAAATGTCTGAACAAACATTTTGTATACTCAGTATTGATATGATAATCTTAACATTTACATCTTTAGTTCTTATTATGGACATAACCAAAAAACAAAATGATCACTTACTTAGCTAAGATGCCATCCTTTTTAGTGAGTCTGACAATGCAATCGTCTGATTCACCCATACGTCTGATGGCTCCGCAGATGACATACATTTTGCTGGAGTCTGCGGCGCGGCCCGTGGCGGGGTCCACGTCGGCGATCACAAGCTGTACGGACGCGTGGTCCTTAGCGTGGATCAGACGGTTGCTAGCCGAGCTGAAATTGTAATGTAGTATGTACCAATACATTGAGAAAGAATTTAAGAGAACTAATACTTATATTACCTAACAGTTCATTAAGTATCTAAATGTATTATGTTTTTTAAGTTATGTTGTCGAAGAATGTAATATTTTAATTATTGGAAATGACGACGAGGTTTGTTAGAAGAAGCCTAATCATGCACATTGTAAAACACTCACCATTTCCTCGGGCAGTACAAGTCTACGAATTCACCAGCGTCGTTCTGCATATTGTACACCTAGAATTTAATATTTAAGCACAATTTAATAACTAATTCACAATTAATTTTAATGTTTTATTAGATAGAGCACAACTAACCTATAGAATAGAACACGCGAACACCTAAATGTCGAGAAGCGAAAAATCAAAAAACAAGGATGATGGATGACAAACACATTACACAGAACATAAATACACGGAGATGACAAATAAAAAAGAATATGGATGGGCTACTTGCTTGTCACAGAGTACATTGGTATAAACTTTGCTTGTTTATAAGAATTAAGAAAAAAAAGAAGTGTAAAAAAATGTTATAACTTAAGCGGGCTACTCACATCCCTGCCGCAGGGGCAATTTAGGATGTAAAAGTGGGGATGAACCTTAATTGCCACCTAAATTGTGAGTGTATAGTCAAACAGGAGCAATTTCCTAAATTGCCCCTTGCGCGAGACCATCCTTGGTCCCTAGATTGCCCATATCGCCCTGCAGTTACCGTGTTTTATAGCGCGAATCGCGATCGGGGCAATTTCTCTATCGATCTTTTGACAGTGTAGCCACTTAGGGGTTTTCTCTTCAAATTTAGGGGTAAAAAATTGCACCGGGTTTTTTTCTTTAGTAGGATGAGTTAAATATAAATAACGTTTTATAAAGTTTCTTTTAAAGACTTGAAACAATCATATATCTTTTAATATAATTTCATATATCCTTTTTTTATTAATTTAAGTTGTCTATGAAATTTAATATTATTATATTATTATTAAATGATTATATAATTATTATAATAATAACCATAAATAAGTTTTTTACGTTACTTGTAATCATTTAAAATAAAAAAATATTAAAAATGAAAAAAATAAGTAAGAAAAATCTACATTTTTCAAATTATCAGTTAAGGAGTTTTAGGAATTTTTGGAGTTACTCTTAGGGCGATAAAATTTCAAGTGTTGGCAGCACTGTCTTTTGATTTTTCGATAATACTGGGACCATTCTTAACGCGTGCGTTTAGCTCAACTTCTACCCGAACACTGAATAACAGGCATGCATGAGATACAGCTCTGATATTGCTCCGGCCTCCGACCGCCGTGCTCCCTAAGATTGTGTGTCACAGCAGCCTGCTTTATGATGGGAAGAATTTTGCCTTTTTTCCGCCAGGTGTCGCAATCACTATGGCTCTCAACATATTGTAAAGCTCTATATCGTGGATGGAATTTTTATCATGTATTTAAAATGTAATTCAGGCGCGGATCTAGTGTTAAATCTGAGGGGGGGGGGCTATTTTGTGTAGTGATAAGTGATAACTAATTACTCGGGTCAACATTAAGGATGCCTTTTAGTACAGGAAAATCTTTATTACACTAACTAATAAGCTGTATAAGTTACTATACATTTTTAACTATCCCACGGAAACTATAATTTTCCGGGATGAAAAGTATCTAAAATATTTACCGGGGATATACGGTACCACCATGCAAAATTTCATTTAAATCGGTCCAACAGTTTCGGAGATTAGCCCGTACAAACAGACAGACAGAGAAACAAAAAAAACTGCATTTGTTCTATTTCTCTTCTTACATCCCTCTGACTCGATTTTTATCATATTTTTTCTATATACAGACATTCAACCTCTACAGTTTTATTATATGAATAGATAATATCTTTGTGCATCCAAATACTTTTTTGTAGTCTGAACGCGGGCAAAATCGGTTGTTCTGCTAGTATATATGTATGTACTCTAAGATCGTGGCAGACACGAGATCTATGGATTTTTTATTTTTTTTATTTTGATATATTTATTATTAAAGCCTACCTGTATGGTAGCGGACATTGAAATAAAGCGTGTGATGATTAAGTTAAGTACTCCGAAGTTTTATTAACCAGCCCCTATAGATAATAAAGCCGACTATCCCCCTACACGTACACATACGTATATACATGTACGTCTGTGTGTACATACTTATCTTATCAAAAACATAAATGTGAATATGGGAGCCAAGTTCAATACTAAGAATAAAGATCTAAATGGATGCCAAGTTCTGTAGATAATCCTGAACTTTTTAAAAGAACACAACATTCTAAAATAAATTTAAAACACAATTTCTTGTTTTTTTTTCTGTTACAAAGGTGTTCGCTATTTAAAGATTGAACTTCTTAAATTTGAACAGTCGAATTATTTATAGAGAGCAGATAACTTAGGATAAATTGAAGTTCAAGATTTGACTTCGATCGATTCGATCGCTGTCGGGTAAAAATAAACTTAGCCAACTAAAGGTCTTCAGTGTAGGTGAAGGATATGAGTCGTATCATCGCGAATGTCTTGATGAGGGATGTTACGGTGTTTGAAATAAAACTTTCAGGTAGTTACAAAAAATATTTCTTTTACAAAATTTACAGCTATTTGTACCTGTAACTAAACTGTTGAGTGTCTCCATTTTTTTTATTTCTTCATACATTTTTACAATTCTCATATTCAAAAATTAATTCAAGAATTAAAGCCATTAGCGCTGGTGTCATCAACTCTCAATAAGTAATTTAGTACTAAATCGTTAAGGTACCAAAAAGAGAATATGAAGATTAACACTAATTGCTTAGTAAATATCATTTAGTATATCGATAAAAATAATTACTTGTTTAGTGAAGTAAAATCTTCAGAATTTCCAGATTAACATAGGAATATTAAATAACAAGAACGATTTTCATAAATTACGAATAATAAATAATTAACTATTATAAAAGTTTACAAGTTTATATGTTACTTAATGCAACAAAACTACTCGAGTTCTTCGCTTACTGCCACTGTCCACTGTCGAGCTCCGAACAGGCGCGGGCGCGAGGAGCGACTAGCAAGAGCGTCGTATATAATATAACTATTGTAATGTAGTTTGTACGTTATAGTTTTCACGGAACACGGGCTCGTTTCACCGACGACGGCGGGTCAGGGACGCACTAGGGCGGCGGGACACACACGAACTCTATGAATTAAAGCTAAATGTTTAATGACGGACTGATGCAGAAAGCTTATGGATAGTACTCAGTAACATTTAACTCAGTAGACAATTACTATAGTATAAAAATATATAAATATAATATTTGCTTTTATTATTAACTTTGTTTTACTTTTCTTATCAATTATTGTATAGGTATCTACACGGAACTTACTCTTTTATATTTACTATTATTTTTATAATTACTATCTAGTTTAGTCTGTGCTTTAAAGACATCGAGAGAAATCGTGAAAGAATACTAAAAAAGGCTTACATATTTCTATACCTGTTTTCAACAGTCATCATTACTCGATTATAATCGCTTAGTATTTGATATTAAAGAAAGTATATATTACTGAAAATTGTACATAAATAATATAGAAGCGAGGCGTCAGTTAATTTTAGTTTAAAAGACTTATTTAAATACAAAAAATATATAAATCGGATGAACGAATAACGTGAAGTATTGAACTATCTAATGTATCTGTGCTACGTCGCGGGTGGGAGAGAGATGGTGGAGGTGGGGGGCTATACGGTGTGCACGAGGGCGGGCGGCGGCGCGGGGAGAGCGGGTGCGTCGCGCAGGAAGGCCTGCAGCGCGGGGTAGTAGTCGGGGCGCGTCCAGGTGTCGTCGTGGCCCCCGCCGGGCAGCACGAGCAGGCGCTTGCGCGCGGCGCCACAGCGCTGCATCAGGCGACGCGCCATGCCTGGCGGCACGAGCGCGTCGCCTGCGCCGCACACCACCAGCGTGGGGCAACAGACGCCGCTCACCTTCCGCAGCGATAGGTACTGCCGCAACACAACACATTATACAACACTCCACATACAATACAACACACTACCTTCGCAATCCTCATATACCGACCTTGTTTTTATGGCAGAACATCGGGAGCCAATTCAAGCATCTCCACTTAAGTAATATCTTGGCCATGTCGGGAATGCTGGTGAAGGTGTTCTCTACGATGAGAGCCCACACCTTGTTCTTGTACTCTAAGCGAGACGCCAGGTCGATGGCCACGGCGCCACCTGAGTGACATAAAGTAATGTAAGCTATCGGATTGACATATCACTGTACAGTGTACGGCAACACTCGTAACAAATGCAACTGACCAAGTGATCTTCCGAACACTACAATTTTGCTACGGTCGATATCGTTCCTTAGCATGAGGTAATCGAAAGCGGTCTGCGCGTCGATGTAGAGACCTTGCTCCGAGGGCGAGCCCTCGGAGAGACCGTAGCCGCGGTACTCCACTAGCAGTATGTTGATGTTTAGTTTGTGATAAAATCCAGACACATTCGACAACCTGTAAAAATAATCTAGCTATACTGTAACTTAGCGAAATCTATATATGAAATATTTTTTAAAACAATACCTGTAACGTATTATATACACAATATAGACCCCAAAACAATAGTTATATTTGACAATTCTTTTATATTTTTAATATTGAACTTGGCTCCCACTTTCACATTTATGTTTTTGATGGGATATCATGACTTTTTGTAAAGAAACCATTATTATACATAATTCCAAAGTGACACGTAAATTCATTTTTTTTTCATAATTTTGCGACTACTCGTTAGTGGATAAGGCGGAATAGGAAAAAGTTCTTTAATCATCATGGAACCTTTTCTCCTAAAAAAGAAAAAGTTTTAGCTATTGCTATTATATTTCAAAAGGCACTAGGTATTAAGCTATTGCTATTATGTTATGGAAGGCGCAAAGTATTAATAAAAAATAGTTAATTTTATTGTTAAAATTTTTAAAAATGTACTATTTTCGGATTTTCTCTCTTTATACACACGATTACCGGTCTGGACACCAAATTTCAACATTCTAGGTCATCTGGAAGTGGGTTAGGTTTTACTACTATATGTCAGTCAGTCAGTGATGAAAATGCCGATTTTTAGACGTTAATATCTCAATTTCGCTTAAGCGATATTTACGATATTGGGTATTCTAGTTAATCTAAGGGTATTTAATAAATGAACTAAGTTTCATGAGTTTATGTTAAGAAGAATAAATTTAAATTTAAAAATTAAATAGTTATTACGAGGTGAAAAGTGGCTCCAAATGGTACGTATATTTAATACACTCGGAGTTGCATCACCAGTTTTTTTGGATTGAACTTGGCTGGACACGCTACCGCGTGTCTTGATTATCTAAACACATAATAAAATTCTGAGTCAAATTTGAAAATTAAATATTTTTAGAAAATCTCATTGAAATTGTCATTTTTAATGTAAATCGTATATACTAATAGAATTCTTGTCAGTCTCTCTGTCTAGGAACGCATCACGAGAAAACCAATGGAAAGATTTTGATGAAATTTGGTATGATGATAGCTGATTATACCTGTCAACATATAGGATTTTACTGCAGGTAAATGTTTTATCTCTGAGAAATCTATACTAAACATTAAAACTTAATTTGGGGAGAACCCGAGCGAAGCGAGGGTGAGCCGCTAGTATATTGCAAGTTTTAGCAAATGTAAATATTATTAGTGCATCATCTGTCTGTCTGTCTGTGCATCAGCTGTATAATTTATTTATTTATTTATTCAGGTAAGAACAGTCGTATACAAAAAATCTAAAACAGTAAGAATACAATTAGACCCATATCACCTTAAATTATTTCAAATGAACTGATTTGTCATCAAAAGTGACGGATGCTAAATAAGTATATTTACAAAAATAATAAGTGAAACTAATTGAATAAAAATGTTAAATAAAACTATATTGAATATAGTTTTTTAACTATCCCACGGGAACTTGCAAATTACCGACCATATTTTGCGTGGAATAATGCAAAAGAAAACCGCATGAAAACTCGAAAACACGTGTTTTCTCAGACATAAGACTAATCTAAATCGATTTATCGTCCCCGAAAGCTCATGTATCCTAAATTTCATGAAAATCGTTGAAGCCGTTTCCGTGATTCAAATTATATATATATGTATACAAGAATTGCTCGTTTAAAGATATAGGATATAAACAGGCTAACATTAACGTTATTTTTAAAGATCCAATGTTATGTACACCCGAAACTTACAGTCTCTCTTTTCTCTCCTTTTTTAAATTTAAAGTGCCATTCTTATTTTGTCAAGCTTTCTGCTCGCGGCTACGCTCGCTGAACTAAAGAATTTGCTCAGTTTCAATCTCCATTGATTTTACCTATATGTATCGAATTTGTAATATTATGTGTACATTTATATTATCAAAAAAGTCAAAACATTAAAAAGTAAAAAAATAACTGAAAGGGAGTTTACATTTACTATAGATACCTAATCAGATATTTTCGAAGTCGGTGCCAGCCGATACAAATCAAAGCAAAGCTTACACAACAAATTCATGTATAATATTAAACTATAGGTATGTAATTAATGTTCATATTTACCTATTAGATATTCATATCTTAAAGCCATGAAGGTGTGGCTAATTCGTTCATGCTTAAAGCATTTACTTTATAAGATAGTAAATGAAAACTCCCATTCAGTTATTTTTTGCTTTTTATCCGACTTCGGCAAAGCCCAAAGGAGGGTTATTTGTTTGACCTGTATATATGTATATTTGTATGTATGTCCGATCCTATGTTCCCTCGTAATTACTAAACGGTTTAACCGATTTTGATGGTTTACACTTCGTTCAATTTGTCTTGGTAACGCGGGTCATCATATACAATTTACATATTTAAAAGTAATTTAGGATAAGAAATCCTTACCTCCATACTTTATTATTATAGACTAGCAACTCACCCTTTGCTAGGGTTCGTCCCTAGCTTGATTCCCCATGCAAACTTTCATCCTCGTTTTCACCCCCTTAAGGGATGATTTCCGGGATAAAAAGTCAATATGAATATCCTATGTCCTTCCCAGGGTCTCAAACTACCTCTTCTTACCATATTTTATCTAAATCGGTTCAGTAGATCCAGAGATTACCACCTACAACATCACAAACATCCATCCAAACATTCGCATTTATAGTATTAATAATAATTTAGTGGGATATATGACCCGAGTAATAAGTTATCACTACACGAAAAGGCGCACACTTAAACAGACAAACAGACATACAGACCAAAATTTTAATAACCATTGTTTTGGAGTCTATATTCTATACACAATTGACAATACATTATAGACATTGTTTTTCAAATATTTCAAGTACAGATTTCGCTAAGTTATTGTTTAAGTTATTATTTATATGTATAAATAAAATATGTAATATAACAAATTGATCGTTTTAATTTAATTTAAAGTTTATTTTCTTCTTTTCAGAGCATTTAAATAAAAGCTCATTTTAAAAATGTTTTCTTTCACTAAATAAAGCTATATTAATATCTAAATATTTGAAGCATTGGCACATGTTTAGCATCATGGACTAAAATAAAACAAATGTTCAAAATATATTTAAAATAAACATATCTAACCTTTGCCCCATATTCCCAGCATTGCCATGAAAAAATATCATTGTCGGCCTATGATTGCTGTTAGTAGCTTGTTTTATTAAAAACATGTGAATTCTATATCCATCTCTACTTTTTATCTTTATACTTTCATAAGGCAGTTTGTAGTTACTAGGCTGCAGGACAAACACTCGAGAGTCCGGAGGGTCATTGGGGTAGTATAAAAGAAGATCCTGGGCACTGTAAAGTATACCTAAAATAACAAAGCATTATATAAAATCTATAGTGTGTATTAATCACTAAAATGTGAAACCTATAGAGGCACCATAAAACATACATCATATGGACAAAATCTATACAGATAAATAAAATTGGAGTGTCTGTTCGTAATATGAAATAATATACGTTACTTTGTTTGATTTTAAAACACATTTATTTCATTTTTTGTCTGTCTGTTTGTTCCGGCTTATCTCCGTAACGGCTGGACTAGTTTCGACGAGACTTTCACTGGCAGATAGCTGATGTTATAAGGAGTAACTTAGGCTACTTTTATTTTAGAAAAGGAACTAGCACACGCACGAGGCGCACTCAAGCGAAGCGAGGGCAATACACTAATAATCTATACTAATAATATAAAGAGGTAAAGTTTGTGAGATTGTGAGTGTTTGTGACGTTGTAGGGGGTAATCTCTGGATCTACTGAACCGATTTTGAAAATTCTTTTACCAATAGAAAGCCACGTTTCTAAGTGTCATAGGCTATATATTAACCCGAAGGATAAAAAGACTTTTTCATGGTAGTCGGATTTGCAAAGTAAGTCGGAGAAAAAACGGTCGAACGAAAACGTTTCATACGAATGCTACGCTGCCTTAATAATCCTATAACGATCAGAGATATATGATTATGTTCTAGAGAAAAGTTTAGAGCTAGAGTAATGCCTGCAAAAAGTAGGTAAGGAACCGCGACCGTGTCGTAATCTATTGAGTGATATTTCTATAAGATCGTTTTTTTCATATGCAATACGTCAATCTATCTATACTAATATTATAAAGAGGTAAAGTTTATGAGATTGTGACGTTGTAGGGAATGAATTTACTAAACCGATTTAGATGAAATTTGGTAAGAAGAGGTAGTTTGAGGCCCTGGGAAGAACCTACGATACTTTTTATCCCGGAAATCATCCCTTAAGGGGTAGAAAATAGGGATGAAAGCTTGCATGGGGAAGCAAGCTAGGCATGAACCCGAGCAAAGCGAGGGTGAGTCGCTAGTTATTAAATATACTAGCATTGCCCACGGTTCCGCCCGCGTTCAGATGACCAAAAACCAAATTCTTAGATTTTACATATTAGTATACTGTTACAATGCAGTTTTTGTATTTTTTCTCAGAAGTGAGACATTTTCCTGCGGTAAAAAGTCCATCACCGCGGTATCACCATACCAAATTTTATCAAAATCCCTCCAGTAGTTTTTCTGTGATGCAGTAACAGACAGACAGATAGAAAAAAATTCTAAAAACTATAGATTCGGCCTCTGTATCGATATTAATGTTTATTTCAATAAGATTATCCAAAAAAATATTTAATGTACAGATTCGGCTTAGTTACAATTTTATTATACGTATGGGGATATGCTACGACAAACAAAGAGCAATAAAAATGTTAAGTAACCCCCAACACAAAAAAAATCCTCACAAAATTAAAAAAAAAATCTCTCCTGGCCTTTTAAAAACTTCATTAAAAGTTAATATTTTCACGATTATCATTATTAATCTTCTTTTTTTATTTTTATTATTTAGCGGTTCCCCGACGCGGCGACGCTCATTATCAAAATATTAATTGGTACCTTTAATGAAGTTAAAAGGCCAAGCGATAAATTTTATATTTTTTTACTTTTTAGTATATTTTTTTGTGTCGGGAGTTTAAGACTTTTAATTTTATTTTTATTTCCTTCTTATTAAATTACTCGCGGATACCAATTCTAATAACACCTCTACGTAAATTTCTAAGAAATCAATTGTTATCTGTAACGCCGGCGTGTCTGCGATCGTGGAGGGAATAGATAACTCTCATTGGACCATTCTTATGAGCCAAAACACGCTATATCTGCTGTAAGTTTCTGAGAAATTGAACAACCCGCAGACTATTTGATGCTACAGCATCAGCTCAAGGTTAGCGTGTCTTGGAAAAACCACCTATGTAACAGTACACGAAATTTTAAATCAATCGGATCTGTGAAAGTTAGTAAGACCGTTTTTTCAAGTAGGAAATTAGCTGATGATCATATAACGCCAGAACAGATCTTCACAAATTATAGCTAAGAATCATCTCGATCACGTCAGCTTTCAAACAAAAAATCGCATCAAAATCGGTACATTCGTTTCGGAGCTACGATGCCACAGACACGTTAAACTTATAACGCCCATCTTTTTGTGTTGGATGTAAATAAAGACTATTAAGCGAGTATAAAATAAATATAGTTCATTATTATGCTCATTTTTAATTACAGTAAGACATTTTATCCTAAGTTATTTTTAAACCTATGAGTATATATATATATATATATATATATATATATATATATATATATATATATATATATATATATATGAGTATGATGTGTATATTTTGTATATTTTTGTAATCACCTCTTAAAAACCTGTATATTGATACCCCTCCCGATTCATTCAGATGATTTTTTTCTAGATACAAATTAGAGCGTAGCATCCGCCATTTTGATTTTATATTATATCTATGATATATACCCTATGACACATGCATTATCAAGACGAAATCTAACGACATGTGAATCATCAAAACCGGTTAAGTTGTTTAGTAATTACAAGGAAACATTTAGAGTGGGACATACATACAGGTCAAACACATAATGGATAACCCTTAGTGGGGCTTCGCCGCAGTCGGGTAAAAAGAGGGTCAAAGATAGTTTTGTTTATAATAGAAACAATAAAAATGTAATGATTTCAAATTATTATATATACTATCTTATATCTTATACTAGTAGTACCCGTGGCTTCGCCGAATTCAAACTTCCAATACAAACATTAGTTTTACAATAATCTATGGAAGTCTATCCCGATTTGTTGACTTTTATGATCAATACTCTACTCTGTCATGTAGTAGCATGGTTATACATATCCTATAGCCTCCCTCAAAAATGGGCTATCTAATGCAAAAAGATTTTTTTAATTGGATCAGTAGTTCCTGAGATTAGCATGTTCAAAACAAACAAACAAACAAACACTGTCTCTGTATAATATAAGTATAGATTAATTTACTAAAGATTCCACACCAAGATATTTTATAGACATTTTTTTTAATTGGACAGAGTACACTTAAGAAATATTTCTTTAAAATGTATATTGATATATATTATACTACAACTAGGACAATTACCATAATGATAATGAAACAAAAAGATCCTGTTGATGAAATTGCTAAATTTAAATATTATAATATTTTAACACTTAAGGCTTTTAATGAAATACTGTTAAAATCGAACAAATTGATACATCAACATTTTCGTATCAGTTTTGACTTTCACATTACAATTTTTATATAATATTTAAATTTATAAATGGTTGCTTGTATAAAGTCTTTAAGATAATACTTTATGATAAGATTATGATGTCATTACCTGAAATCCCAAAGGTAAAAACACTAAACGCAAGAAAATATCCATAAAACCAAAAAATTAAAGCACTAGAAAATAAGGTGAATGTACATACAACCCATAACCTGTATAATAACACTCTAAGTATATGATACATTATCTATTTTTTTTCAAATTATTACAAAATAACATCTTCTTGATATAATTTTTTTTACTACTTTTAATTAATCAAGATAGATCAAATATAAGCATTGAATAATAATAAACTATGATTCTCTTTAATGTAAGAACAGTAACAATGGGACGATTATATTACAATAATTGATTTTTTATAAACGTGTGAAAATTGACAAACTGAATATATATATTTTTTATTATAATTTAAATAACTAAATAGAATTGTTTTTTGTATAGATATTGAAGGTTAGTTTACTCCATTGAGTTGACAAGTCATAGATGACATTACAACAAATTAGATATGCGTTTAGAAACTTGACTTAAAAATATAATTTTGTTTTATATCATGAATCGCCTATCAAGAAAGCAAACAAAAATTAATAAGACAAATTATATTCTTAAAATGTTTCAGATGTTGATTTATTTTAACCAAGATTCAAGAACCAAGAGACCATAAAATATAAATTGCTCGGAAACGCCTAAACATTTTAATTTCAAAAAAAAAGCGTTTTTATTTGTATTTCGAGGATTAAATTAAAAAAATATTGCAAAAATTAAAAACCAAGAAAAAAAATAAAAAAGTTTTTTTTTTCAAATTAAAACTTTGAGGTTATTGTAAAAAATCATCTATAAATGTCGTAGATTTTTACTAGAACTACAACTTTTGTAAAGAACATTTTTCGATAGGTTGTCACAGTAAGCCGGAAATTGAAAAAAAAGCATTTTTTAACGGTTTGCATCCCTCCAGTTTTCGGGGGTAGCTGGACAGCAGGGGCACTTTATGGATTTTTGTTCCGTATATACATGCTAACGTTTCGAAGTCATAAAACTTCAGGTTTTAATTTTTTTTTCTCTAAAAAATAAACGGACTCCCATCGGTCTAAAAGCGTAAAACTATTTTCTTAGTAGCGGCTTACCCTCGCTTCGCTCGGGTGCGTCCTTCTAGGTAATAGGTACGTTTTGAATAGATATTTATATAGCTATTCCGAGTGTACCTTAGAAGAAACACTTATTGCAGATTTTTCTTTAGGCCTTTTTAAGACCTACAATTTTCTAGTACGTACATTCCTTTGATGTATCTTTTAAGGTTTAGCCAGCGTTAGCCATGTAAATTTATAAGGACGACTCGATAGAACCCGTTATTGTGTTTTTCCGTTGGAATAAAGATTTTCCTGTAGTATCTTACCATACTATCCTTAATATTGACCCGAGTAATAAGTTATCACTACACAAAATTTAGTTAAAATCGGTTCAATACTGTTTGAGTGATACACACAAACAGACTTACAGACAAACATTTATGAAATAATATATAAGAATAAAACATTTACGCATGTTAAGAAACTATTTATCTTTTATATTACGCGTATAACTTATAGAAAATCTGTAAAGAATATAGTGCCGTTTGAAGAACACGACATGAATTGACTAGAAGAGATCTCATACAGAGATAACGATGGGTTATTTATCGTAATTATTTATTATTATGTATTTATTATTTTTAATTAAAGTTTTGGACACAGCATAATTAAGTCATAAGAAAAAATACCAATATACCTAATTATCTTCTGAAATCCTACCTAAATTGCATAACAATGTTTGACTTGAGTCGGAAACTGTAATATTCTCTTGTTTTAAAGTAGTATCTAATTCCGAGATCTTCAAATCTATTATGCTACCACTACCTTGACATAGACAAGAGACATTAAATCTAGAATGTGTATCTTCGGCAAGTACTATATCTTCTATTGATACATCAACTGACTTCCTCAAAAAGGAGGAAGTTCTCAATTCGGCTGTATGTTTTTTTTTAAGTTTGTTACCTCAGAACTCCGTCATTTATTAACCGATTTGGACAATTTTTGTTGCAAGTGCTTCTATTTCTGTTGATAGTGCAGTGGTTCGGTATCGTTGACCTGATCTGATAAGTAAGAAAATTAGCATCAAAGTAACTTAAACGGTTTAAGCAAAAATATTTTATTAAAATACTTTCTTTAGTGAAAGTTTAAAATATTTGTACAGCAATGTTTATTGTGAATCGGTATACTAAGTTTAATCCAATAAAAATATTGACTTAACTACATGTATTTAGCGAAAATAAGACAAATTTCTTCTTCGCGCATTATTTTTGCAACTTGTAAATATATATTGCGGCATTGTGAACGTGTTTACGTTGGCAGTGTTTCGATAGAACTAATCGATATATACGCTCACTTTGCAAGTGAGCTTATATTTACCGAGACGGATTTCTTACGCCGACCCGATATCTAGTAGTATGGTTGATCGAAGTAGTTAACTCTCATTGAGATTATTCTTAATAATAATTTTTCTCTTATTTTATCTTATGAATAACATTATTTTTTATGTAAAATCACGGAAGTTGGTATTACTGGTATTTAAAAAAAGACGAGCAATGTATAGAATACTTATATTATAATCCTTTTATTTACAATAAACTGTTATAAAAGTGTAAGTAACAAATCGAATTAGTTTATTATATTAGTAATTGTAAGCCAGAACAAACGTTGATTTAGAGTATAATTTTCTAAAATTAATTGCATTTCTCGTTATATAATAACAAAGATAAAATTTAAGGCCACAGTAGATGACAGGAGGATTAGATTTGTACATCTCGCCAGGCCGTGGGCCTCGCGCTAGCTGCCTGCCTCACGGCGCCACCGACACACTACGGAAGCCCGGTCTGACACAGGGCCTACAACGTTCAAACATCGTCACAAACATTGTTGTATTTATGTTAAAAGAATAAACATGATGCAATATAATATATAAGTGAACAATTTCACTAGCGCACTGATCTGTCGGACGTTCGTTTCGCAACTACGACTGTACGATATGTACATGATATATTTCTGAATGTCCACAATATTGTGATCCTTTTACATGTGATTAGCAAATGCTGTAGAAATTCATAATCAAATTAAAATTCACGAGAAACCTGCAAAAGATTCCTTTAAAATGCATATAAAAGCAATAGTGTCATATGATTGTAGTTCCAAAGATTAAAAACAATAAATAATATACATTTAAAAAGTATACTAATACACCCCCACCTCCCAGCAAACCCTAAGAAAATATTCTTAACAAGTCTTTAACATTTCACACGTACGACACGACGACGAGACGCCCCCGGGCCGGGGATGGGCCGGGGGCGCGCCGGAGGCGAGTCGGTCATTTAACCTATCCGAGTATAAGCACTGCGACGAGAGCATACCTACAACGAAAATAACTACAAAATTATTTTAAAGCAGCATTGCATTGAATGATCGCAACGTCTCCGAGTCCCTGTCTGCGCAGAGAGCGCGGAGAGTGCGGAGAGTGGAGAGTGATGACGACTAACTGCGCGGTACTAAACTAAAGCATTTCTATTTATTTGTCCTTGGCGTTGTTGGTGTCGGTCTTGATATTTTTGTAGTCCACAAAGAGGTCACGTACGTCCTGCAGCGAGCGCTCGATCTGCTTCACGAAGTTCGACGAGCTCTGTTGGGGAAATATTCTACGTCAAATGAGCTTCAACAATTATGACTTTACAATCAAATTAAGAAAGTGTTGTATTTATATATACACGTTATTGTTATTTATTATTCAAATATGTTGCATATAACATATACTAGCGACTCCCTCTCGCTTCGCTCGGGTTCGCCTCCACAAAAACAAATCTATCCCACGGGAACCGTACATTTCATCCAGATGCGTTCAGACGCTTTAGCGTGATTGAATAACAAACATCCAAACATCTAGACTTTCACATTTATAATATTAGTAAGATTAATTAATTAATTAATGGGATTAAGCCAACAGAAGTATCTTAATGCTTCATTAATTCAACGTCAGACCGCATTACTAGCGATTTTTAAGCTATTAATAATGACAGAGCTTCAGACAAACTTTCATCCCTTGTTTTACCCCCTTAGGGAAATAATTTCGAAAAATCCTTTCTTAAATGATGACTACAGTACAAAATCAATATTCTCTCCAAATTTTAAACGTCATCATCATCGGTTTTAGCTGAACGTTGATAACTCAGTCAGTGAGTCGCGACCTTGCCTTTAATATATAATAAAAATCGGTATTGCGAGTGTACCTTAATAGATAAATATATATATTGTAGACTTCTGTAGGCCTTTTTAAGTTCTCCCCCCCAACGTGCGTTCACCTTGTCGTGGTGGGGGGGCTCAGTAGTGCCCGGCAACCCAACCGGGCGCGAAGCCAAGAAACGCACAGGGAGGTGGCCCACTTCGGTGGTCGGTGGAAGGTGGCCCTCTTTGGAGGGCAGTGTACCATGCGGGTTGCTCCTGGTACTTCTCTGATAGCAGAGTGGACTGTGGAGCAACCCCGTGGTTGTTGTGGTCTGCTTCGGCAGACCTGCCGTCGGGGCGTCGTAGTTGAATGCGTAAGCGATCCTGCGACGCCCCATTAAGACGGAGGAAGGTTTTGTTGGGTTTTAGTGGGTAGTACTGGCTTTGCCGGTGAGTCCCACACCTCGTGCGTAAATGCATTTCCCAACGTTAAAAAAAAAAAAGGCCTTTTTAAGATCTAGAATTGTCGTGCACCTTGTGTTGATGTACATATATATTAAGGTAAAGACAGCGATAAAACCAGTTATTGCGTTTTCCCGTGGGAATGAAAGATTTTCCTGTAGTAAAAGGTATCGTAAATGTTGGTAATAAGTTATTACTACACACAATTTAGTTAAAATCGGTTCAGTACTTTTTACGTAAAACGCGCACACACAAACAGACAAAATGTTTTATAACTATTGCTTTGGGGTCTATATCCTGTACACAATACGTTACAGTCATTGTTTTTTTAAAATAATTCATGTACAGATTTCGCTAAGTTACTGTTTTATTATATATACAGATTTTGCATGTAATCTGCGGCGTACGTACTGTGATAGGACAGCTGATCTTGCTGGATACATGGAAAAAGAGCGTGTCCTCGCCCACGATGATGTAGGACACGCCGTAGCCATCATCCGCCACCGGCCCGAACCCACCGCCCGCGCTCACCACCTTCGGGTACTTCTTTAGGTCCAGCAGGCTCGTTTGACCTTATATACATAAGGGAAATGTTAATGATACTTTGACAGATATGTTCAATTAATATTCTAAAGGATTAATGCATTATTTATTAATTTATTTTGTACAAAATTTCTGGTGATTGTGTAAGGATTGTGGATGAGAGGAGATAGTGGATGGTGGACGTACCGTGCGGCGTCTGGCTGGTGGAGAGGCGCCAGGGCTCGTTGAAGACCTCCTGTAGGAAGGGCGAGTCGAGCTCGAGGTACTTGGAGACAACGTAGAGGCAGAAGAGGTGGCGGTCGATGCCGCGACCGGCCATGGCATCCTGGTAGGCGAGCTGGTGGCGGTTGGCGGCGGCCAGGAAGAGTTCCATGCGGCGGCGCAGCGGCGCGCCGTCCACCTGCGCGCGCACCCACGCCGCGCTCTCCATAGTGCACGAGCGCACCGTCTCCGTGCGCCCTTCGCGGAACAGCCGCGTCATGCTGGCCTCGTACGTCAGGCAGAAGCGGCCCGCGTCGCGGAAGTACGCCAGCTGCAGCACCATCTGGATAAACGCGTCGGGCGACACGCGGCAGTTCTTCATGAAGCCCTTGCCGTAGCCCGTGAACATGAGGATGCGCAGGTCCACATCGTTGAGCAGCGCGGTGGCCACGCGGTGCGACGTATCGATGGCGGTCAGCAACGTGTCGGGGAACTCCCACTGCAGGCGCGCGGGCGCAGGTGGCGGGGCTTGCACCGAACCGCGCGCGTTCCCGTGCTCGTCGTACCTGCGCCACATCACCACGTTTACATTACATCTATAATAATAATAATCCGTATTCTATCCTCCACAGTACGAGGGAGCACTCACCCGTGTTGTAGTTCTGACCATATGACGTACTCCCACAAGTGCCCCATCACTGGCGCGTCCGCCCTGCGAATGTATAAAGGCCATCAATAAACCAGTTTACTAAATTCTGCTACAAATAAAATTCTTGCGATTTTAATAAGTTTTACACAATTTTCAAATGAGTCAAATGTCTACAACGAAAAACATAACTATTTTATTTAAGTAACATATTATCATGTACATATATAAAACGGCTTTACCCAATTTTATAATTTTTTTTTGTTTTTTTTTTTTTTTTTAATTGAAACCAACTATAGAATAACAAACAAAATGTCTGACTATTTTTATTTTATTTTGAGTGTAGTTATTTATATATAGTTTATTTAGAGTGTGATGTGTGATATTTAGTGTATTCCGATAGTGTGGATATTGTACCAGGTATGCTCAGTGTTGAAGCCGACGGAGCCATCTGTGCTGAAGCAGAGGTTGAAGGACTTGTCGAACCAACGGTCGCAGCCGGAGCCGTGCAGCAGCACGCGGCCGTAGGCGTCGAGGCGCGCGGGGTCGGCGCCGTCGGTGTCGTCGAAGCCGTATGGCGCGTCGTCGAGGCACACGTGGAAGGCGGCGCGCTCCACGGCCAGCAGCGCGGCGCGGTTGGGCCCGCGCTGGAAGTGTGCCTGGCGCGCCGCCGCCCAGTGTGCGCGCTCGCCCGCCGTCAGCGCCGCCAGCCGCGCCTCGCCCGCACTCGCCACCGACTTGTCCGATAGGATTTGCTGGATTTGTCTGAACACATTATACAATGTTATATTAGTATATGTATAGTGCGTAACAGGTAAATCTCGCGACAAGCTTTTATCTATATACATATTATGTTGTATGTATATTGTATATAATATATATATTATATTGCTTCCCGATGCAAACTTTCATCAACAGTTTTACTCCTTTAAGGGATGATTTGCAGAATAAAAATTATCCTATGTCCTTCCCAGGGTCTCAAACTATCTTCTTACCAAATTTCATCCAAACCGGTTCAGTAGATCCCGAGATTACTCCCTATAACGTCACAAACTCACAATCTCACACACTCACAAACTTTACCTCTTTATAATATTAAGTATAGATGATATAGCAGCCCAATCGGAAACTGAGAATTGGGTCAAATTTAACTAGCAAGATTCCATTACACAACCCCAGACAGGCGAAACTAAATAAAAACATGTAAAATTAGCGTATTCGCCTAAGTTCTAACAACACCATGCGAATCAAAAATCACTAGATGTACCGAAACAATGATGAGTACATATATTTGTGTATAAGCGGGTGGAGAGAGATGTGGCGAGATGAAGTGAAAAGGATGCTAACACTTGTATCTCGGCGGGGTCGAGCAGGCGGCCGCGCATGTAGACGGGCAGTTTGTAGTAGCGGCCGCGGTGCAGCACGGAGACGTGCGCGGCGTCCTGGTAGTGCACGAGGCGGTCGGTCTCAGCGCCGGGTACGCGTACCGTGTTGAACAGCCGCTCGTACTGCCACGAGCAGAGTGGCACCATGCCCTGCAGCATGATGGGTTCCAGCTCCTGGCGCTCGATGAGCCGCCGGAAGCGCAGACAGAAATGTATGATGGTGGCAGCGCGCGCAGCCTGCACGCGCGTCGGCCGCGCCAGCGTGTCCGTGCCGTAGAAATTCGAGTTCACCATCAGCGGCGAGCGCCCGCGCAGGTACACGTACTCCTCCCACCAATCCGACACGTAGTTGCTAGACCACCTACATACATACACACACACACTGTACAGCCTGCCCACAAGTACCAAGCGCTACGACCATTTAACTGCTACTAGCAGGTATTTCTTTATTATTTAGTTATTTTAAGGTTTATTTTTGATGAGTCATTTGCCACAAGCCTTGGTTAAAAAGATGAATAATAATGAATTTGCAAAAAGTTTGTCGATTTAAGACAAACTTTTTGCAAATTCATCTTTTTATATTATTCGGTATACTCGTAAGATAAAAATGACCATAATACTTGTACTAGCATATTTTGTATACTATCTATGGAACTATTAAGTTCAATCTATACATATAATAAAATTGTAACTAAGAAAATTTGTACATTAAATATTTTTTGGAAAATCTTATTGAAATAGACATTATTATCGATGGCGACGGAGGCCGAATCTATAGTTTTTAAAAAATTTGTCTGTCTGTTTGTCTGTGTATGACCATCCATCACGTATAAACCACTAGAGGGATTTTGATTAAATTGGAGCGAGGGCGAGTCGCTAGTCTACCTATACTAAATAAAGCAGTAAGTAACTTAGTGAAATTTGTACATGAAATATATTTTTAAAAACAATGATTGTAGCGTATTATGTACACAATATAGAACCCAAAACAATAGTTATTAAAATTTTTGTCTGTTTTTCTATTTGTGTGCGCGTTTCACGTAAAAAGTAATGAACCGATTTCAACGAAATTTGGTGAAGTGATAACTTATTACTCAGGTTAACATTTAGAATACCTTTTACTTCAGGAAAATCTTTCTTTCCCACGGGAAAACACAATAACTGTTTTTATCGAGCCGTTCTTAGAAACCTTCCGCTGGCTAATCCTTAAGATAATCCTTAAGATATACATTAAAACAATGTACTAAAAATTGTAGGTCTTGAAAAGGCCTAACGGGAAGTCTACAATACTATATGCCTATCTCCTAAGGTACACTTAATTTTTATTCTATACTAGCGACTCACTCTCGCTCCGCTCTGGTTCGTTCCTACTTACGTTATAACGTTTAGTATAGATTTCTTAGAGATGAGATTTTTTCCCGCAGTCAAAAATATCATATATGTTGACCATCTATCAACTTATCAGCTATATACTTAATTTCAGCAAAATCTCTCCAGTGATTTTTCCGTGATGCGGTCACAGATAGACAGACAGACGAAAATTCTAAAAACTATTGATTCGGCCTCTGTATCGATAATGTCTATTTCAATAAATAAATATATTGCTTTTTTTTCAAAATCCAAAAGACGTTACAAAAATACACAGTTACATAACTAAAGCACGTGGAGTGAGAGTTACCAGGACTTCAGCACGAGGTAGCGCTGCAGCTTGACCGCGATGGTTTGCTCGAAGTCCTGCGCCAAGCGCTCCACGCGAGAGTAGCTCTCGTCGTCCAGCAGCGGCCGCACGCTCAGCAGGTACTGCGCACACACACACACACACACATACGCCTCGTCAGTCATTTCATTTCTATGTTAAACTGGTTAAATCTTACGATCCGATGTTCAAAGCTGATATATTATAACGGCAAGCTCCATTTGATCGGGTTTATTTGCTAATAAACTAGTTACTTAATTTCAATCTACAAAATTGATTTGAGTTTGATTATAAATGTTTAATATAAATTATTATGTTTAAAATTAATTATCTATCTGTATTTTGGATCGTGTAACACCTGATGAAGTCATAAGTGACATAGTGTTTAGTTGTTTGTTATGTTTGGCATCTTGGTATCTTGATACCCCTTCCCAAACCCATAAGGTTTAAAATGCAGTTGTTTCTCTGAATTTAGTGTTGAACGAAATCTACATGTAATTCATTTAAAAGATCTAAGTTGTATATATTTTTGTAATCGCCTTTTAAAGACTTTATTTTGTTACCCCACTCGATTTATTCGGATTTTTTTTTCAAGACACAAATTGACGCCTTTTAATTATATCTATCTGAGATCTCTCGGAAACGTTACTTAAAATATAATTTTTTAAATGTTCCTAACAGTTTTTTGAACTATTATGTACATCCTTTTGTTCGAAACGAAAACGAAACGAGAACGTTTTCAAAACCCGGTTTAATCCGCAGGACGCTACCCGCTCAACGTGCAACAACTAAACTAAGCCACGCTCACCTAGTGAATGAAACTATTCGTAAGTTTGTACTGGATATCCCAGAAAATTCAGAAAAATAACGGTTAAAAACGTTTTATTAACCGAAAACGACTTAAATTTTGTTCCTGCTCAAAAACGTTTTATATAGCGTTCTGTTCAAACGAAATCAATACAAATCGTTTTTTAGGTATTTAAGACGAAACCGTTTCGAAAAATATACCGGTATCCGAGCCCTGATCTGACGAATCGAATGAAGTATGAATTATCAAAATCGGTTAAGCCGTTTAGTAATTACGAGAGAACATAGGATCGAACATATGTACATACAGATCAAATACATAACCCTCCCTTGGGCTTCGCCGCAGTCGGGTCAAAATTATAATCAGAACACTTAAATATCCAACTTGATCCTACAGATACATACGAGTAATATAATATTCGTGTCACAAGACTCACCCGACGCATGGTGTCTTTTACGGCGGGCAGAGGCAGACGCGGCAGCGAACCCTGGAAGCTGTAGAGGCGCGGCTTGTTCCACCCCGATAGCACCTTCACTACGCTGGCCCACACTATAGTGCTCAACGACACCTTGGAGCCAGGCGCGCGCGACTCGTACATCCACCCCTGTACGTACACATCGAAATCACATGTCATGGTTTTCACAACTATATCAATTTAACAATAACAAAACTGCATTTACCTTGTACATTAAGAGGATCTTTAGCAAATATCGCATGAGGAATATGACGGAGAGCCACATGGTGAGCGCGGACAGCAAGCACGCGACCACCTGCCACATCGACGACTCACTGCACACAAATGCGATACGAGATACTGATCGAAAGTAGACGACATTACGCAACAACAATGTAATGCAAGCACTCGAACATTGTACTTACCCAGGCAGAACTGTTAAATACTTTTGCACCAGTCCGAAGGGTATGCTGATGCCCCCAAAGTGCGCCGCGACGAGCACCGTCCATAGAAAGTAGAGGGACTGCAGGTGTCCCGGATACACGCCATTGTGGATGCTGTTCTGTAATAGCATATAACTGATACAACTAATGCTTGATGAAATACATAACTATCAAAGTAATTAATATATTTTTTAGCATTGTAAATCCGAGCCAGTCATTAAGTTGCAGCAATCTGCTGAGTGAACAATAGGCTGTTAAAAATACTCTGGCTTTCATTCTTTCGTTTCATCCTTGTCGCGAGATGTACATATTTATGTCTCCAACTGCATAATACTATATTCCTTCGTGATCTTGTTTTCATCTTTTTAGTTTGCTTTTATGCATATCAAATCAAAATATACTTTATTCACATAGACTTTTACAAGCACTTTATAATCGTCAATTATACATTTAAAAAAATTAAATTAAATATCAGTGTAGTCAGTCTATGAGGAATCCACCACAGGCACGGAAGGCAGTTCTACTGTCAAGTACCGGCGAGAAACTCAACAGTTGCTCTTTAAAAAAAAATTGTTTACGATATTGTAATACAATAATTATCTACTTATCCTACGTAAGACCCAACCAGACATTCCGTGACAGAAGTTTTGTTCACTAATATATTTTTCATTTTAGACTAAAATTGTTTAAATGGCAAGCTCAAAATCGATTGTGGAATCCTATTATACATGCGTACATCTTGCCCCATAAACGATCCATTGACTTTTTCAAGACGAAAGCTAGGAGTTACCAGTTTATCCTTATTTCTAGTGTTTATTTCGTGTCTGTCACTGTGTCTTAAATAGCAATGAATGTTTTGTCTGATAAACATAATATTACAATAAATATCCGCTATGTATATATCCGTTGCATACCCCACAACAAAATTCAAGACCGTAAGTCAAGATGCTGTGGAAGGAGCTGAAATAAACAAGTATAGCTGTATCAACATCTGCTAGCTGCCTGTCTTTGCTAACAGCGAACACAGCGGAGGTCAGTCTACTCGCAAGAGATGACAGATGAGGGCTCCACTGAAGATCTAAGTCTAATGTTATACCCAAGAGTACTGTGAAATCTACCCTATTAAGAATCTCATTATTTAAGGTACTCCTCTCATTATCTAAGTCTCCTTACATTAGGTATTTAAATGTGAAAGTATGTTTATATGTTTGTACTTCTTTCAAGCCAGAACAGTGTGACCGATTGGAGTGATTTTTTGTATGAAGATAGTTGGAGGGCTGGAAAGTGACATAGGTTTTTACCGCGGTCCGCGGGAGATCATCTAATTCCCACGGGAAAAAACGTTACAATACAATCTAAAAAATATATTTATGATCAGAAACTTGAAACTTGGTATTAATGCTCTTCAATAAAATTCAATAAATACGTGTTTCAAAATTCATCCTATAAGGGGATAAAATAGGGGATGAAAGTTTATATGAAACCTACCTTTATAGAGATATTTTTGTAGTTATAGCGCGAGCGAAGCCGCGGGCTTTACTAGTTATGTATAAAATAAGAGTGTCGAAGTTCAAACTTACTCTAAAACGTCCGAGACGTTTCTTCCAAGAGCGCAAGCCGGACTCCCACACAAGGTAGAGCACCTCGCGGTCGAAGTTCACGTCCCAGCCGTCGTGCGTGATCGCGAAGGAGAACGCGACTGCAGAATGCGCTTCTGCCATCTTGGTTTACACTCTGCAACCAGGTTACACTCAATATGACTTATTTTTAAGTTGTGTTTAATTTATATTAATAAATAAGTTACATATTAGCTTTTGTAGCATTTATATACACTTTTATAAGATTTCATTGTTCCTTCGCGATAGCCAATTACAATTACCCAAGTACATGAATTTCATCAACTCTACAAAAAGGTGTATATAGGTGGTATTAAACGGGACTGATAGCTAATGAGTAAAAGAAGAAGAAAATATTAGGATATGGATATTGAATAATGGTAGCAACCAACACAATTTTAATTAAATCATAATAATATAAATAATGTAAATGTGAATGTTGTGAGTTTGTTGTTACATCTTCATATTGTACAACTCCTGAGCTAAGAGGTACTTGGGATTATACAAAATAAATTGTATTCCCTACACTAATAAACTCAGTCATATTAATTAAGTATTTAAAGTCGCATTTGCATTTTATTTACAGCTAGCGACACAGCCTCGCTTCACTCGGGTTCATCCCTACTCCCTAGCTTCCTTTCCCATAGAAACTTTCATCCCCATTTTTACCCCCTTAAAGGATGATTTCTGGGATAAAAACTATTTTACTCATTCACTTTTTATATGATGAGAATTAAAAAAGCTTAAGCTTTTTAAGTCAGTTTAAAAACAATTTTTTTATGAAGACTGATATACTAAAATTCGCTTGTATTCAATCAATATTATTAAATCTGGCTCTAAAATCAAATTCTAACGTTTTAGGCTTGTGAAATCCAACAAAATAACCCCAAACTCGAAGTATCTACTATTAGCCATTGAACAGTGCCACTTATTCACCTTTTGGCCTTACCATCAAAGCAGCTCTACAATACCAAATCACTGCATTATCAACGGTAATAGAAGCACATGCAAAGTTTGAAGTGACTATGACAATTTGAAATAGGGTAAATTTTCATTAACTATTTTTTCACCGTTAGGGGTGGTATATATTTTTTAGCAAATTTATTTTGGACCAAACTACAACAAGTAAGTAGTACAGGAAGTATACACTTTCAAACAAATCAAAAATAATTGTGCAAATTGGTTAATAAATGACAGAGTTCTGAGTTAACAAACATAAAAAAAGACAGCCAAAAGTATTGAGTATCTCTTCCATTTTTAAGTCCAGTACTAGCCGATACAAATCCTAGCACACCAACTTATTCTAATATGTGATTAGGTATCTATAGTAAGTAATTAGTAAATGAAAACTACCAATTAGTTATTTTTTACTTGTTAGTTTTTAGTGAGAACCAGTCAACGAAAAACATAGTATTATGCAGTCGGAGACATATATTATATATATATTTGTACAATGTATATGTTTTATACTAGCAGTGAGCCTTGCAACATATGAGGCTTGTTATATTGCTTAAACCAATAATTTAATATTATATAAATGAAAGAAAACTAGCATACATATTATCAAGTATAGCTTTAAAATTTTATAAGTGTTTTCACAATACTTATAATAATTATTAAAAAATTACATTCCATTTGATTTTTAATAAGTGGTGTAAGTTTACTATAACCAATAATAATATCTATAAGTTAGGACTCTTATGATTATTTCTGTAAGAAAAATCTACCTAGTTAACTTAAAATATGAATATAGTAGTTGTAATTACAAATCACTAAAAATTAAAAAGATTTCATTTGAATACTTTAATTTATGTAAAAAGCTATAATTTTAGTGAAATCGTTCTAAAAGCACATTCGCGTAACCGGACATACACATTCGCAACAGCGCACGCACACAAGCAAACGCGGTGTCAAAGTCTAATCTGAGAACGCGACAGTGTTCTACATATTATTATACGTGGAGTACTAGCACAAGGGCTTACAGAAGATATTTGAATAACATTCCTACGGGATAGAAACGGGATAAAAATTGTAGCTATTCATAACATAGTTAAAATATTTAACTATCTTACTAGGAAAAATATGAAATAGTATATTACTAATTAAATACAAAAATAAAGAAAAAATATGTAGATTTAAATATAATAATACTATTTACAAAGTGGTTTTACAAACCTGTAAATGCGGACGATTTTAGCACCAACTATTAACACTCGCACAGCGACAAATAGTTACGTGGGTACTGAAATAACAGTACCTTGTTGGTTATTATTTATACACCTGTTACCGACATACTTCCTATGTTTTATATCACTTCGATTTAGGTTCTATTAAATAATAAAAATTAAAATACGATGGTCTAATTAATAAAAATGAATATATGTAGACACAGTGTGAGAACTTGTGAAGTACGTCGAAACTATTTCGACGCAGAGTGCAACAGTTTGTACTTTGTAGCACTGTAGCAGACCAGTGTCAGATTTAAGTGAAGAGTGAAGAGAGACGACAGACGGCAATAGCGTTCAGCGGCGTTGCGTTCAACAACCGAAGTTGGAGTTGCCAAATGCCAACCGTGTCCTAAAATAGGGTATTGTATAACTCTACCGGGGAAGATTTCTCGAAAGGAGGGCGCCACACGTATTGCCTATTTACATTCAGTCCGAGCCCTGAGGTTAAGCAATTTATTGTTATAACTATTTTGTACCTGGTTTTTTGCTTCTATTGTGTTCGTATCTTACCAGTTCAATGTATTGTACCTGGAAGTTGACCAGCTGAAGGAAGGATTGAGAATGAGAGGTGTATTCTATGGTGGTCCTAATTGACTAATTGATCAACACTCAGCGTAAACCGCTGGTCGTAGAAACGTGAAATTTTAAGGACATGTTGCTTATATGATATAGGCATCCGATAAAAAATAAGTTTTTTGAAATTCATCCCCTAAGTGTGTAAAAAAGATGATTTAAGATTGTATGAAACTATCATTCTTAATGTGAAATACACAGAAAGTGTTTGTTTGTGTTTATTTGTTTAGCTGTAAGATAAAAAATAAGAAATATATTTATTAGATTTCTTTCGAAATTCATACCTTAAAGAGAGTAATAAAGTTTATATGGACAAAGTATTATTTATAATCAAAATACTTGAAACTTCGTATTAATGCTTTTCAATACGATTAAAAATAAATACATGTTTTACATTTTTCGAAATTCAATCCCTGGGGGTAAAATGAGGGATGAATGTTAAAAAAATGTTTCAAACTCTGTAATTAAAATGTAAAAAAGGACAAATAAAGTAAATAATTAAAATGTAAATGATTTAACAGTTTTAAAAAACTTAAGAAAACTGACTTCCAGGCACTAAAATGTAAAAAATAACTAAACGGGGGTTTCTTTTAGAATAGATACCTAATCAGATATTTTTGAAGTCGGTGCCAGCCAATACAAATCAAAGCACACCTAGAATCACGGGCAAAAAGCAAGGTCTTACAGCACAAATAAAGGAAAAATTCCGAAAAATAAAAAAAGAAGAAAATTAAACAGATTTCCTACTTTGTACGGAACCCTCGGTGGGCGAATTCGATTCGCACTTGTTCGGAATTTTTTACTTTTCAGTGCCTGGAATTCGGTTTTTATTTTATTTTTATTTTTTTTTATAAATTAAAAAGCTGCTTCATTCAATTATATATTTACTTTAGGTTTAATATTAGGTACAGGCATTAATAAGGTTGTCGAAATCAGTTACTCGTTCACGAAGAACGTCTAATACTAAGTCATGAAGCTTGAATGCCATATATAAATCTTTAGCCACGTCGCTCTCCTCACATCTTTTACAATTTTTAAAATATACAGCGGTCATTCCTTTGAGATCTGACGAAGTAGCACAATAAACAACCGTGCTGGCTCCTTGATTCTAAAACGTGATGTTACGTATGATATTTGTTTTTTAGAAAATATTTTTATACTTACATGTTTTAATACCTAAGTGTTTCACTTAGAATATGTCTTGTGTCTCATTTATACATATAATAAAATTCTAAATCGAATCTGTACATTTAATATTTTTTGGAAAATCGTATTGAAATAGTCTTTTTTATTATTATAGATACAAAGGGTGAATCTATAGTTTTAAGAATTTTTGTCTGTCTGTCTGGGAACGCATTACGAGAAAACCACTGGACAGATTTTGACGAAATTTGTGTGATGATCGCTGGGTATCCGGGTAAATATATAGGACACTTTTTACTGCGGGAAAATATCTCATCTCTGAGAAATCTATTTTAAGTGTTAAAACGTAACTAGGGAAGAACCCGTGTGGATCGAGGGTGAGTAGCTGGTTAAGTTTTAAAGGGTTATTAAGTTAAAACTACTTACGATGGTTTTGGAGAAAGGTAACATTATTGTGTACAACGCTTCATATGCCCACCAATTGCGACATAGGCCGGTTTTAATAAAAGAACCGGGATGAGCACAAAATATAGATTTATTCGTGTCTTTCCACTGGCAGCTTAAGTAATGCATTAGTAGTACGCCACATAATTTTGATAAATTGTAAGATTTAATAGAGGTATATTTTTCTTTTGGTAAAGAAATATCTTCAATATTTGGCCAAGACGAAACCCATTTAAGATTCCTGTAATTTATAATCTTTATGATTTTCTTTTAGGTATATATTATGTAAATATCTTTAAAAATCATAATGGTAGATCCTAGGCGCTAATTTGTCTTGAAATTTTTTTCATCCGAATCAATCGAGTGGGGTATCAAAATATAGGTGTATTTTGATACCCCACAATTTTAAGAGGCTATTACAAAAATATATACTTACAACTTATATATTTACAAGTAATTTAGGATAATAAATAGTTAAATAAAACAAAAAATGTCTAACTGACCAAAACTAAAAAGCTGTAAATAAAAAAATATTGACCGAAATAAAAAGAGCTGACTGCATAAAAAGTGAACTGAAAAAATTATGTTACAAAAGTAAAACCCCCACTGCATAAAAGCAAATGTTACATGTTTCATCCTTGCCGCAGGATGTACAATGTACATTGAACATATGTAATTGTGTCCCCGACTGCACAATACTATATTTCTTCGTCAACTTATTTTCATCTTTTTAGTAACTTAGTTAGCTTTTATGCAGTGGCCTAGCGTAGAAGGGGCAGGGGGACCCGCTCCGGGCGGTATTTTTAAAGGGCGGCAAACTTTCACAACATCTTTAGTCATTGTAATGCCCCATTTAAGGGGTCCAGTTCTTCCTTCTTCCAACTTCTCTAGTTATACGACACACTATAGGATGCCATGTGATTGGTGGCGTTGCTCCTTGGTTTGTTGTTCCTAATGTATTCTGATGTTGAGTTTGTGTAATGTATTCTGATGTGATAGCAACTTTTTCTTCCTCAAGTAATACTTTCAGCAAATTCTCGATTCCAAGTTCGAAAGGCTTGTCTGATATTTCACATATTGTAAGGTGCGTTTTCTCAGTTTCTCTCACAACTGCTATATATAGGCGTTTTGCATGTGGTATCTGGTTTCTTTGGTTAGTGGGAGGTTTGGTGTAATAACCTGCACCATATCGGCTATTGTCCTATTTGTCCTCCTTGTAGTTTTCGCGTTAAGCTTCAGCAGGCTTATCGGTGTTTGGGGCTGTTTGTGGCTTTGTTCACATCCCGCTTCATAAGCCTACTGTGATTGCCATGGCAGGCATCATCTGGTGCAGGTGTTCTGCACCACCTTTCTTGTTTGCATTAGTGTATTGTCACTAGGATATATGGTAATGCTTCTGGCGATATCCTCTGGTCATATGCTAAAAATAATAAATATATTTTTTAAATAAATTTTTTAATCGAATATGTTATTATATAAAAAACTTTCTTCTTACAAATTACCAGCATATGACGTTTACACTAAAAATGGAAAAATAAAAACTTAAAAAAACCGACTTCTAGGCACTAAAATGGAAAAAATAACTAAACGGAGGTTTTCATTTAGAATCCAACTATTCAGATATTTTCGAAGTCAGTGCCAGGTATAATATTTTAAGATATGAATATCTAATAGGTAAATACTCATGTATTTTACGTATCGAAATATATTAGATTTGGTTTGCAACGGCTACATTTTACATTTTATTGTCTGGAAGTCGGTTTTTTTTAAGTTTTATTTTAGTTCACTTTTTACGCAGTCGGGTCTTATTGTTTTTGTAAATATTTGCTTACGAAACAAAAAATTATAGGACTTAATTAGCTACTCGAGTATAATTAGTAAAATTATCTTTTCAGAGTTTTCGTTTTTGGTATCAAGTAAAGTTGTTACGGACGATATCTACAAAATGTCAGAAACCAAAAACGAAAATAATTTCGCGCAAATTTAAGAATAACCAACCTATGTGACTCCGATGAGGTTATCACAACACGTACGTCAGGTGCAAGAATTTTTGCAAGGCAGAGTAATAGATAATATTGACTCAAGAAATTCACTTGGAAAGTAGTTTCAAAACTATCCTCTGTTAAAGTCCAGGGTATGCCAAACGTAGCAGCGTTTAAAAGAATTATATCGATTTGCCTACAAATTAGTGAGAAATTACTAAGGAGCGTTGTATTTATGTGTATGTACAACTGGTGTGTGTGCGCGCGTACGTGTGTGAGTGCGTGCGCCTGCGTTCTGCGTGTGTGCGTACGTGCGTTGGCGCGTGCGTGTGTGTGTGCGTGTGCGTGTGCGTGCTCGTGCGCGGTCGTGCGTGCGTGTGTGCGTGCCTGCGTGCGTGCGTGTTTGTATATAATATAATAATAATAAAATAAAATAATAAATAACGCCTAAACCGATATTGATGATTCATACTTCATTCGATTCATCTTGATAACGCGAGTGTAATTAGTATATGTGGTTATATAGTCAAAATGTCGGATTTAAGGCACCAATTTGTATATCTTGAAAAAAACTTTTTCATCTAATCAATCAAAAATAAAAACGAACCGACTGCGTAAAAAATAAATAAAAAAGTTAAGAACAAGTTGATGATTCATACATAGTATTATGCATTCAGAGATGTATACACACGCAGCTATTATAAAATACATATATAATATTTATGTCACCGACTGCATAAATGTATGTTACTTCGTCAACTTGTTCTCAATTTTTTAGTTTGTTTTTTACGCAGACATGTTTTTTTGTATTCTTGTATTTTTTAATTAATCTTAGTAATTATAGCATAATAATATCTTCATTTTTTGTTTTAAGAGAAAAAACATGAAGCTATAAATAATTTATCAATAAATAAGTAAGAATACTTTTCATTTTCAATTATGCGACTAGCACAACGTTTAACAGATGCTAAGGACGCTAGATTGATTTCATAGGGAGTGACGAGATCGATCTTCTCACAAACTTGGTTGGCGACCTGGTTAGCTTTGTAAACGTTGCGACAAGCCATAAGTACTTTGCAATCTCGTAAGTTTAAACAGCGGGTAATTTCTGATCCGATGCCGCCGTCTGCGCCCGTTATGAGACAAGTTTTACCAGCTAAATTTACTTCTTTCACTAACTGTAAAAAAATTACTTCTAAACGTTAGAATTTCTTATTTCAGAAAAATATTTTTTTTTATAGATCCTTGACAAATATTGAAACTTTACCGTGTCAGCTGAGGGACCAAATATAATTTTATAATCAATAGTGCGTCGTATATTTTTCAATAAATGTTCAATAATATTTTCTTTCCAAATGACTTCACTAAAGTTTCTTTTACTTAAATTTATTTTAAATATACCACTGTAAATAAATATATTAAAATTGCCTGGCTTGTCAATTTCAAACTTATCTACAGTTTTCATGTGAATGACATACTTTGGTCCATGGAGATGGACCATTAGCATGTCAAAACGTATAGTTTGAAACAACATGGCATAAACTTACCATAAAAATAAACGGTTACTTAAACATTGCATTATAACAGTCTAACAAGATGTATTTTTAACAAAATTAAGTCTGTAACTGTACACTCGTCTCTTACGTTTTTCTTGCATTTGTCATTAGTATTTTTTTATTGTGCAAGCCAGTACAGGCACGTAGATAAATAGACACAGAGATTTTATAAAAACGTAGGTAAAAATATACAAAAAAATGTATGTTAGAAATAAAATGTAAGCGTTCCTCGCATTTTTAAACGGTTTTATTATACGGTTTTATTTAGCCCGCCCTGTTTCGTTGGTAATTACCATAGAGTATATTGCTACATATATAAAATATATATATATTGCTACATATACATGGTAATTACTGTCTATTTAAATTTTACGCCTTTCCTGTTGACAGATTGATCTGATATTTGGTATACACCAGCAATATACTCTATGGTATACACCTTTAGTTCTGATGACAATACAATTGAATAATTCACCATCATTGAATAAATGTCCAATCTTGGATTGAAGATAGCTTGCTTGCTTGAAGTTATCCAATGCCGCCACAAAATGGCGGATTACATATTCTTTCACAACCTCCTCAATATGAATATCAAATGATAGAGCTTGACTAGTGGAACAGACAGACAGTACACTTTAAAAAGCTCCATATCCAGTATGGCCGCCAACAAAGTATCCATTACATATTTTTTCACAACCCCCTCAATTATATGGGTAATGGGTATCTCATTTATAGTGTTGCTATTTTTTTCGAAATTGGTTAATGTCCCTGTTTTCCAATTAGAGCACTAAAGCGAATTATGCCGGATAAAGCTAACTTCGAATGTTTCAACCATAGCAACGCTCCGCTCAATCGAGCATTTTGAAAAGTACTGCTTTGGCGTGATGCACGCAAGGATACCAACTCAATAGCAGAATATATGAGAAGTGTTTTTTCTTCAAGATGGCATTGATCAACATTTTATTTACATTATCGTTAGTAATATTTGTTTACATTTTATTTATATAATTACATATTAATTAGTTATATATTGTTATATATTTTATAATATCGATGATGTGTATTACTATATTCTAGCAGAACACACGGCTTCGCTCGCGCTAAAACTACAAAAAATTTCATCCGCTATTTTACCCCCTTATGCGATGTATTTCTAAAAATGCTAAGATACGTATTTAATTAATTATATTGTAGAGCATTTTTACCAAGTTTCAAGTAATTCTGATCATAAATATTTTTTTGGGCTGCATTATAACGTGTTTTCTTGTGGGAATGAGATAATATCGCGTGGTAAAAAGTAGCCTATGTGACTCTCCGGCCCTCGAACTATCTCCACATAAAAATCACGCCAATCCGTCTCTCTATTTTGACGTGAAAGAAGGACAAACAAACAAACAAACACACTTATACATTTATAATATTCGTATGTATACATATTAGTTAGTTATATTTTTTCTATTCAACACTGAACCTAGTACCCTCTGCTGGTGCACTTGAAAACGAATAAGCATTAGCACACTTCGGCATTAAGCGCCAAATTACGGCATTATGCTCTATAATTGGAAAACAGGGTGTATCTATCCCTGTTTTCCCATTAGAGCACTAAAGCGTATTATGCGGCATAATGCAAACTTCAAATGTTTCAACTACAACAATGTAGTGGGACCCCACTACATTGTACAAGAAGAACAAGTTTCTGACGATAAAGAAGACTGGCTAACAAATTTGTACATAATTTTTGTCCTTTTGTGTTATTTTTTATTAAAAATAATTATAATTACCAATTTTTTAATTGTTTTTATAAGTTAGCGCTTTTTTTTCGAAAAATATCCAAATCTATCGCTTTTTGGAGTCAATTTAGTGCGTTTTCTTTTAAGAGTGTTGGCATTTGGCAACATTGGCTGTGCCTCATGTCTAGTCTGTGGTTTGCAGCATTGCCAATTGGCGGGTAAATTACCCGAAAAGTAGGTAATCTTAGGCGATTTTTCATGGCGGGTAATTTTTACGGGTATTTTCATTGACCGAGGTTAAAGCAAGTATTTTAGTTTAATTGCTTAATATAATATTTTAAGTTATTTTTTATGTTTCATTTTATAATTTAATGCTGCTTAATTGAGAACTGATTACAATAACTTCTTTTTCTAACATTAGTACTTTCTTTTATTCTATGTAAAACATGAATAATTACATACTTAAAAAAACTATTTTCGGGTATTGTGCTCATGGTTGGGGACGGCGGGATAAACCGGGTATTTTGAGGCTTATTGGTCGGGTAAATCAATGACTGTTATCTGGCAGCCCCGGTGGTTTGGCAGGTGTATGGCAATTGGCACTTGGCAGGTGGGCTGTGTAATGTGTTGTGGAATCAAAGCAATATTACTTTTAAAGAACACACTAGAATAGTTTACTAAGTCTTATTTTAATAATCACGAGGAGTTATTTACTCCAAACACTATCGTAATGATGGCTGGTTCGGCTTTAAGAAGGCTAATGGCCGAATATAAACGTAAGTACTGTTTACCTATGATTAAAACTACAACACATCTCTTTTTTATTTGTAAAAATCTAAGGGGATTTAATATAAATGATTAGATTGAATAGTCAAGTGTGTCAAATATTTCAAATCAGAAAAAACTCTTGTCATGTAAAAAGTGATTAGTATCAAATGTTATCGTCAGATTATAATCAAAATTAAATTAATAAATAAAATTAAGATTAATTTCATAAAAAAGAAGACAGTGGTTACAAATTCCAAGACTTCACAATAAAGAAAAAATTAAACAACAGGATTTATAATTTTAGAATAATAGTTTTTTGTTTGTTGTGATCATAGAGTTTATGCAATGTAATTGTACAACCTATAATAGAAATAATAATAATAAGAAGTTGTACATAAGTGTAAATTAAAATGGAACCTTTAAAGTACTGTTATGAATCCTTCAGTTCAATAACATTAATGTTACATTCCTCAGTTAGCCAACTACATATAATCAAGTAAAACTTATTATGTAAACATGCTCCCTGATTTAATTTACCAGACCCAAAATAAAACAGTAAATAAATGAAGGATAGTGATGGGGAGTCTAGTGTAGATATAGAAAATTTATGTAAATATTTTGAGGAAATGACAGAGGTAGAAAGCATAGATTCCTAAAGTCGACTAGATTTTTCGACTGTTGGTAGCTGTCTGATAATTAGAAAACAAGACATAATTCAATTGATTTTTCTTCTTAATGGCTTGAAAACGTGTGAGTTGTGTACAAATTACTTCACCAATGTCTCATAGAATGGAAAAGACATGAAGGATATAGTATTACAGTATATTATGTATTTAAATAATAATCCATTGCAATACATATGTTTTGATTTGACAGCCTTGTTGCTTAGAAACCCTACTACATCACATCCCTCTTAAAAAAAAATATATTACTATAATTAAAAATAAATAAAAATAAACTAAAAACCAAATCTTTCTGGAGCCTTTCGCTTTCTCTCCGATTTTCTTGGTGGTAATGAGGGGCAAACTAGTGACTGTCCAGATTCAAATGAAGTTGATGGTACAGGGTTCACATCAAATGTGTTGTTACGAGAGGACGAATCTCCTTGGGCTGTAGGTTCAATTTGGCTTTCATTTGATAAATAATATGAAATTTTATTACCATCAGCCACTCTGCTTCGCATTTGGTCTCTATGTTTTCGTTTAAACATACCATTAGTATTTACTAAATAAGAGTAAGGGCCTGTTCTAGAAGTCACTATTCCAGGTTCAGAACCCTTTTGTAATGTTTTGTTTATCCAAACAGAATCTCCAGGTTGAAATGGCATAGGCTGTTTAGTGTTGTTTTGTAATTGTTGACGTAATTGTGCTTTTTCCATGTTTCCTCGAACGTCTGGTTTTAATAGATCGAATGTTGAACGCATTCTACGTCCAAACATCATTTCAAAAGGAGATCGTTCAGTGGAATGCTGAGGTGTATTTCAGTAACTGAACAAAAAACTACATAATCTTTCATTTAAATCTGTATGTGAGGCTACCATCCTCTCTTTAAAAGTTCGCACCGCTCTTTCTGCCAGCCCATTAGTTCTGGGATGGTATGGTGTGGTTTTTAATGTGTGTTATTCCGATAGATTTACAAAAATATCTAAATTCATCAGCTACAAATTGAGGTCCATTGTCTGTTACAATATATTTCGGGTATCCGTATAAGGCAAATAAACTGCGTAGCCTTTTTATAGTACAAGTACATGTAGTGCTTTTCATTGGTAATACTTCTAACCATTTAGTGTAAGCATCAATGATTATTAGCCATGTAAAACCAAGAAATGGACCTGCGAAATCTATGTGAATCCTTGACCAGGGTTCGGGGGGAATACCCCAAGAATATACCGGAACTTTGTTATTAGTGTTTCTTGATCTTTGACATCGTTCACAATTTTGTCCAAAGTCGATAATGTCTTTATCTACATTCGGCCAATATACATGCAATCGGGCTAGAGATTGCATCGCAGTAATTCCTGCGTGTCCATCGTGTAACATTTTTAATATTTCAATTCGTAAATTAATTGGAATACAAATTCTACCGTTCCATAAAACAAATCCGTCTTCATATGACATTTCTTGTCTCTTTTCATAGAAAGCATATAAGTTAGTGTCAATTTCTTTTTTGTCTGGCCAGTATGAAGTTATATATTTTATAACATTTCTTAGTAAAGAGTCTTTAGATGTTTCTTCTCGTAAGCGATGTTTGGTAATAGGTATAGTTTTAAGTCTAAATGAAGTAAATGTGAATATTTTGGTAAGCCAATTTTTTCTATTATTGAGGAATCTTCTTCTGGTAATGGTAAACGAGATAAGGCATCTGCTGGAGAGTTGTCCTTTGCAGGTAAATATTCTATGTCGTAGTCATAACAATTTAGTATCATTGCCCATCTCAAAAGTCGATTGCTGGCTATTTTAGGTGTCTCTCGGTTTGGACTAAATATACGTTCAAGTGGTTTGTGATCTGTTAGCAATGTAAATCTTCGACCATATAAATATTGATGAAACTTAGTAACTGCATAAATTAAGCCTAGTGCTTCCTTATCAATTGTTGAATACCGTTGTTCTACAATTGATAACGTTCTTGATCCAAAAGCGATAGGTCTCATATCTCCGTTCTCATATTTATGGAACATAACTGCTCCAATACCTTTGTCTGATGCGTCACTGCTCACATATATGGGAAGGTTGCTGTTATAATGGGCTAAGGTATTGTTTGATGTTAGTATATCCTTTAAACTATTAATAATATTAGAATCTGCTGTTGTCCAATCCCATTTATTTATGGATTATTATTTAAATACATAATATACTGTAATACTATAAAGGACATTACTGACTAATCAATAATGTAAGATCATTAAACTATATAAATAGCGACTCACCCTTGCTTCGCTCGGGTTCGACCCTAAATATGTTTTAATTTTTTTGAGCAGAACCCTAATTCTTTTTCTAAAATAAAAGTAGCCTATATTACTCCCTCTAACATCAGCTATCTTCCAGTGGAAGTCCCGTCAAAATCAGTCCAGCCGTTTCAGAGATTATCTGGAACAAACAGACACACAGACAAAAATTTTATTGTGGTTTTCTTATAAGTACCATGTACATATAATTTCATATGCATTTAGTTAAACGCTTTTATTTTAAGCCAGCCAATATTTTAAGATATGAATATCTAATAGGTAAAATATGTATTTTATATTAGATGTGCTTTGCATCGGCTGGCACCGACTTCAAAAATATCTTATTAGGTATCTATTCTAAATGAAAACCCCCGTTTAGTTATTTTTTACATTTTAGTGCCTGGAAGTCGGTTTTTATTTTATTTTTAAAAGTTTTTATTTATACATAATTATCAACTGTTCTAACTTTTAATTTCAGAACTTACATTAAATCCTCCAGAAGGCATTATAGCAGGACCAGTCAATGAAGAAAATTTTTTTGAATGGGAGGCTCTTATAACGTATGTACATTTTATTCAAATCCAAAATATGTGTACTTGTTAAATAGACTTTGACCAATAATCCCTAAGAGGTACCTGATCCAGTTTGTCTGTAGCTACCATGGTAACCGGTTGCCGATTTTTCATTTAAAGCTTTAAATAAAAACTCGGCAATAAACTCAAGAGATTGCTCATTAAAAAGAAGAATTTGTGGTAATATTTATGGATTTCAAATTACACTACGTATAGTATCTACTATATATACCACTATGTATATTATCTACTAGGGCGTTCATTGTAAAATGTAAATGAGGTACAAACTCTTCGGAACCGAAAAAAGTTAAAACTGGCTGGTACAGCTGGAATATTGATTTAAATAATCTTCAATATTTGTATAGCCGGACATTTAGCTCTTCAGTATACGTACTAAAAACGTCTTACAAACATCTATGGCCACGTTGTTTTTATTTTTAAGTACCTGGGCGACAGAGCCTCGCTCGAAGTTTTTGGCCACCATGCATATGCCCGAGCATGCGAAATTAGCGACCATATTTTGCATGGAATAATGAGAAAGAAAACCACATGAAAATTCAAAAAAATGGATTTTCCCAGACATAAGACTCATCTAGATCGATTTTTCGCCCTCGAAAATCCACACATACCAAATTACAGCGAAATCGTTAAGCCATTAACAAGATTTTGAGTTATAAATAAATAAAAAAACAAGAATTGCTCGCTTAAATATATTATTAGATTAGATTAGATGGATACATAGATAGATTAGAGTACTTGGGCGACCAAGCTTTGCTCGGAGTTATTTTTAGGGTTCCGGACTTCAAAAGGTAAAAAAAGAAACCCTTATAAAAGCACTCATGTCCGTCTGTCTGCCCTTGTGTCACCACCGATTTTCTCAGTACCTAGCAAGTTGAAATTTATACCAGATTCTGAGGTCTATAGTAGAGTAAGTCACTAGTTATATATAAAATACTAATGTATACTTAATTATTATTACTGTACAAGTCATTTCCGCGTGAAATTGTGGCAAGAATATTAGCCGTTTTCCCCCACTGAATGGCAATCAATGGCCATTCTTTGGGTGAAAATGAGCCAGCTCTCTTGTCACTAGTAGAGGCGAAGACGAGGTGTTATATCTTTTACGATGTGTTTAAGAATTCTCAGTTTCTACAACAACTTGAGTAGTTCAGCCTTTTCTGCCGCGGTTCCACTTTAGACGCCGCGCCGACTTCCTGATATGGGATGGATGTGTCAACTACAATAGGGTCTGCCGACTGCCCTCTTTCCATAAGATTAAAATTGTCTATAAGTCGCCCATTAAAATGTACTTTAAGTGTGCATAATTAAAAATAATTAATTCACACCGTAGGTGTTCAAGGTTATAATCAATTAATCTTAAGAATAGTAAGTTAATTTTTCTAAATGGCGTAAGAGTAATAAATTGCAATATTTCTAGGGGACCAGAAGGAACTTGTTTTGAAGGAGGTATATTTCCAGCTAAACTGATATTTCCACCCGACTACCCTTTAAGTCCTCCTAAAATGCAGTTCATTTGTGAAATGTTTCATCCAAACAGTAAGTATTTGTACATTACCTACAAATAATGCATAATTTAATTGTGATTTTTTTTTACTGTGGAAGCAATATAAAATATTAGTCCAATCGGTATGCGGTTTGGGAATAAAATATTGAAAACCTGAAGTTTTATGATTTTAAAATGTTAGCAGGTATATAAGGAATAGAATTTCTTAAAATGCCCCACATGCCCAGCTACCCCCGAGAAATGGGGGGACGCAAAGCGCTGAAAAATAAAATTTTTCAATTTCCGGCTTACTGTGAGTTACAGTCTCAATAGCGTCTAACAGTAGCCGAGTTATTAGACTTAAAACTTTAATTAACATAATATTATAACGTAGCAATAAGTATTTTAAAAGGGATTAATAATAATTCAAATCAGATTAATTATACTTTTTTCTGATAACTAAAAATATAGTAATAATTTTCAAATCAAATAAAATACAAAGTCATCTCTTAAAAAAAGCTCTGAAAAAACAATAGATTTTCTTTAAAACAAATAATTTAAATGTTTTTGTTAAGAAAGTATGATCTTAAGGAAAGCTAAGCACCTACAGTAGAATCATTAAGACGAGACCGTATTTTACTGCAGAAATAACTAGATGTCGAAAATACACGTCCCGATTGTTGGCTTGATCGTGATGAGGGATTTACGAATCCCTGGATGCGGAAATTTTTTAATAAAAGCATACGTGCTTTTATTAAAAAATTTCCGCATCCACCGCCATTCTCGTGTAACGCCATTTGACATAACACAATTTTTTCTGTTTCCAAGTATGGCGTAGATAAAGAAGGTGTAGGTGTAGCACAACTCTTTGTTGGTTTCAGCGCATGCAAAAGCTCCTCTTTGAAAGTTTTGAAAGTAGGTGTTGTAGAAGCAGTGTTCAAACTCTGATGTGCTGCCAAAGGGATGCTGTCATCATCGTCAGTGGCGATTTTCATTACGAGAGATTTAATAAAATCTGCGGTTGGCTTTTGAAGTATAGAATCAAAATCAATATCATCGAAAAATTCTTGAGAGTTGTCTAAATATTTCAAAACGCCTTGTATTAAAAGGTATCCCTCACCTATTCTCTTTTGTAAAGTTGTCAGCAGTTCAAAACTCAGAATGATGTGAATGCTTGAGAGTTTTCTGAACATGCATTTCGATCCAGTTTCGGCTGTGGCATTTTAGTGCTTGGAAGTCGATTTTTATGTTTTTTTTTTTAAGTTTTTATTTTCCATTTTTAGTACAGACGTAATAAGCAGGTAATTTGTAAGAAGAGAGTTTTTTTAATAACATATTCGATTAAAGAATAAAAAAAAATGTACATTTTTTAAAAAACTGATTGACCGATTTTGATAAAATTTATATGGGATCACCTGGGACGTATACCCTTTGAAATAAAACATTTTTTTTCCAAATCGGTTCAGGCGCCTTCGAGTAATCGGTGAAAATACACAAAAAAAAAGATTCCGACGAATTGAGAACCTCCTTTTTGGAAGTCGGTTAAAAATTTGGTCAAGAAAGTAAACACTTGAAGTTGGGGGAGATTTTCAGCCTCTCGAGACCATAAAATATACTTTTCTCGGAAATAGCTTAACATTAGAATTTTTTTTAATTTATTATATGTATTTCGAAGATCACATCCCCTTAGTTTCATGAAAATCAAAAGATTATAATTCTAGAAATTAAAAATTAAAAACCAAGAAAAATTTACAAAAAATTTTTTTTTTCAAATATCTCCAAAACTTGGAGGTTATTGTAAAAAGTGTTATTAATAAAAGTTGTACATTTTTACTAGACCTACAACTTATGTTCAAAACATTTTTCGATAGAACGTCACAGTAAGTCGGAAATTGAAAAAGAAATATTTCTCAACGTTTTGCGTCCCCCCATTTCTCGGGGGTAGCTGAGCATCGGGGGCGTTTTATTAATTTCTATTCCTTATATACCTGCTATTATTTTAAAATCATAAAACTTCAAGTTTTCAATCAAAAATATATCTTAAAAATAAAACGATTCCGATTGGTCTATATAGACTAGACATTGTAGGCAATTGGGCTACTATAACTAAGTGCATTTATCCGTATTTGATTTGTAATAAGTCTTTTAATAAAAAAAATATATATAAAAATAAAAACCCGACTCCTTAAAAGCTAATTAAAAAGATGAAAACAATTTGACGAAGGAATGTAGTATTGTGCAGTCGGAAATTACATGTTTCATCCTTGCCGCGAGATGTAGGTACATACGTATGTATGTCTCCGACAGCATAATGCGCTAAGCACTATGCTGTCGCAGTGCTTATAAACTACATATTAAAATTGTGTTTGTGATTAAGATTATTATTATTGTACAGTATACGCAGACGGGCGCGTGTGCATCTCGATCCTACACGCGCCGGGCGACGACCCCATGGGCTACGAGAGTAGCGCCGAGCGCTGGTCTCCCGTGCAGAGCGTGGAGAAGATCCTGCTCTCTGTCGTCAGCATGCTGGCCGGTGAGTCAGTCTTTACCCAAAACACTTCAAATAAACTAAAAATATTACCATTTTTCTATGCAGAGTAAGCTCAAGACTACGTACAGATATATATGTACATATATCATAAATGTTTTATACGATAATTTAATAAAATGTATTATATATATATATATATATATGTTAATTTTGAAATTAAATTGTACTAGAGCCGAACGATGAGAGTGGGGCCAACGTGGATGCGGCAAAGATGTGGAGAGAAGATCGCGAGCAGTTTAATAAAATCGCCGAGCGCCTCGTGCGCAAGACCTTAGGTTTGCCGCCGCCCGAATAGCAACAGTGCCGCCACCACCTCAATCCGGCCCTCGCGTCCCGCGCCGGGGCGACGTGTTGGCGGGTGGCAGCCGCGCGCGGTATCTCCGCCGCCGTCCACTCGTTGACGTTGTTCCACTGCATTCGCTTGATAGTCCAATCGGAATCCAGTCTGGGAACAAAATATTGAAAACCTGGAGTTTTATGATTTTAATATGTTAGCAGGTATGTAAGAAATAGAAATTCGTAAAATGCCCCCTATGCCTAGCAACACCCGAGAAATGGGGGGACGCAAAGCGTTGAAAAATAGTTTTTTTTTCAAATTTCGGCTTAATGTGACGTTCTATCGAAAATTGGTTTCTACAAAAGTTGTAGGGCTAGTAAAAATCTTCAACTTTTATATAACACTTTTTACAATAACTTCAAATTTTTTGAGATATTTGAAAAAAACTCGCATTTTAACTTTTTCTTGGTTTTTTATTTTTTATTTCTAGAATAATCTTTTGATGACCTGCTAACATTTTAAAATCATAAAACTTCTGGTTAAATTTAATTTTTCTTTTAAAAATAAGCGGATTTCGATTGGTCTATAATACGAATTATTCCCAACCAAGAGTTTATTCCGTGTACAATAAACTTAATAAAATTACACAAATAAAATTAATTATTAAATGATGGGCGACAGGAAATTTTTAAATAAGAAAAAAAAATGTTTACTCAACATTTTGAGGAGGCTCACTGATTTCATTCAAACCAAAAATTTAAATTAATTACTTATTTCAAAAATCAGTGGGCCACATGAAAATGTTGAGTATTTTTTTTTTCTTATATCAATAATTTTGTTTTTTTTTATAATTTACAAATTCTACCCCGAAGCTAAGAAAAAAATATTTTTTTTTGCGCTCTACCCTAGTAACCATATTATTCCAAACTTTGCCTTATAGTTATCATAATATGTATATGCTATATATGAATTTGTAGCATCATATAAAAATATTGATGTTGAACTACACTTTATTCGATACAATTCAGTACCTAAGCGAGACCTGCGACGTCTGAGCAAAGTGATAACACCAAACTCGTCAATTTTTCGTTTTTAATGATATTTTAATATGTATAGAGTATAGTTGTAATCTTCTAAAATATTTTAATTGTTTAAAATTGTTATTAAATCGAAAATGATACTTTAAACTGTGTGACTGACACCGTATCAAATATATTTACAAATGTTATATTTTTATATCGCAAATGAAATAACTCAAGCCGCATGCATCTATTTAAGAATAAATAAGTTTTAATATGCGTTATCTACAACCGTCTTTTATTTTTGTTACGATACCTAAGTAATTCCCATGGTTCTGTATTCGCTTTTAATTATTATTGAATAATATACTACCGGTCGTGCAACTTTATTAATCTAAGAAACTGCAAGTGAACATGTTGAGACATTATCTCAAATATGAATAATATAACTTATTATTGTTGCTTTAAAATCGTTTTAATTACATGTTCCGAGATGTATGTCATTGTTCATGCGTCTCAATTAACGTACAATTTTAAATGCATTCATTTTCATTATTGATTCTATTCTAATATTATAAAGAGGTAAAGTTTGTGAGTTAGTGAGTTTCTGATGTTGTAGGGGGTAATCGCTTGATCTACTGAGCCGATTTAGATGAAATTTGGTAAGAAGATAGTTTGAGACCTTGAGAAAGACATAGGATACTTTTTATCCCGAAAATCATTCCTTAAGGGGTGAAAATGGGAATGAAAATTTGTATGGGGAATCAAGCTAGTATACCTATAATATAATTTATAGTCTACCTATTCCATACTAATCGTTAAAACAACGATGCCGACGAAGCTGAGCGAAGCGAGGGTGAGTCGTCTTTTATTTAAATGCTCTAAAAAGAAGAAAATTAACTTTAAATAAAATTAAACCCATCAATTTATTAATTTACACTATTTACATGATACTTGCGACTTATCCTAGCTTCGCTCGGGTACGTACCGATTTACGCGGATTTGGTTCACTATTTGTTATAGAGCTTTAATTTTTTTGCGCGGAACCCTAATTCTTTTTCCAAAATAAAAGTAGCCTAAGTTACTCTTTATAACGTCAGCCATTTGTCAGTGAAAGTACCGTCAAAATACAAGTATAATCTTGAACTTCAATTTATCTTAAGTTCTATTCTGAGTAAATAATTCGACTGTTCAAATTTAAGAAGTTCTATTTTTAAGTAGCAAATACTTTTGTAGCTGAAAAAATAAAGAAATTGTGTTTTACATTTATTTTTGAATGTTGTATCTTCTTATGAAAAAAATTCAGGATTATCTACAGAATTTGGGACCCATTTAGATCTCAATTCTTGTGTCGATGAAGTTGACAACCACCAATAATAATTGATAATAATTCTTATTATTGAACTTGGCTTCCATTTTCACATTTATGTTTTTGATGGGATGAAGATTTTATAGTTTAAATATTGTACGGAGGCGGGCGGATCTTTGATGCAGTTTATACTTTTGCAATATCATCGTAGCCATTGTTTTACTGTATACGTATAAACATTGTTACTAAAGAAATAAATTTCATTTCGCTTCGCTCGGGTTTGTCCCTAGTTACGTTTTAACACTTAGCATATATATCTCAGAGGGCAGATATTATCCCGCAGTAAAAAGTATCGTATATGTTTACTCGGATAACCAGCTATCAACATACCAAATTTCATCAAAATTTGTCCAGTCGTTTTCTTGTGATGCGTTCCCAGACAGACAGATGAAATCTCTAAAAACTATAGATTGGGCCGCTGTATCGATAATAATGACTTTTTCAATAAGATTTCCAAAGAATATTTTCGACTCAGAATTTTATTATACTAAATCAAAATGAGAAGTATTTTAAAAATTCAGTACCTAGATGAAAAATCGATCGTCGCCAATTTTCTTCACTTTAAGGTACTATTTCGTAATTAACTTCTTTCGCACTAAAAAAGAATTTCGCAGATCCGTCTATTTAAGACGGAATGATGCCCGTAAATACATTAAAAAATATAAACATCTGAATTTAGAACCTTCTCCTTTTTGAAGTCGATTAATAACCTGTAAAAATAAACCTCTCTTTAGAGTGAAACTAGTTATCTTAAAAGGTACTTTTCTTCCATGTCCCATCTGTTTGTTCCACGATATTATATATATTTATGGATTGTAAGATTTCTTGGTGTAAGATGCAATAATTGTTCGAGTTCCATAACCTTTATCGATTAGTTCCTCAAAAAAGGGACGCTGTACTTTTTTGCATTTTAGCTGATTCGATTACCGGTTCTAGTAGGCTTTATTTTAATATTAAAAAAAATAAAGAAATGTTTACATTGTCTGAATTTTTATATTTTCAGTATATGAATAGGTGATTTGGCCAAATTATTGGCGGTGATGTTGCCGGGTAGACTTATTCATGCCCGAATTTCTAGTACCTATATGTGTACTTAAAAAAAATGTTATATGGAAACTATATGTTATATGTAAAAATGTATATGTATATGTAAACTTATTCGTAATCTCTCAGAACTAGTTCTCTATTGGGTTATATTTTGATACACACATAATATGCATATTTTCCTTCGTGTCTGAAAGTCAAGAAGCACAAGGCATACATATTAGAATATGTTGTAAATAACGTATAGCTTATATAATAACTAGCGGACCCGACAGACGTTGTCCTGTCTACACGTCTTTAATTTGAAAATTTCAAACTTTTTTTAATAATTTTTTTGATGAAAATTATTATTCAAATTGTGAATCTAAACCATTCCCAGATCCCCTTGAACACACACAAAAAAAATCATCAAAATCGGTCCAGTCGTTTGAGAGAAGTTCAGTGACATACACACTCACAGAAGAATTATATATATATAAAGATGTAATTATTATATTTAATCTATATCATTTTTTAACTTTTTATATAAGATGTGTGCTTTATGTTTAATCTGTATTACTGATTCTGTAATCTATTTTGTGACGTAAATCTGTGGACACTAAAGTGAAGTAAATTTTTTGTCCCTGTCTATGACATGTTTGCTTGATTATAATATCAAAAATAGATTTGACTACCTACCTACTGTTTTATTATTTACACGAATGGCATCTCAACTTTTTAGTGTCTTCTATATTTTAATAGATGATTGAATTTACTGTAATATAAATAAAATATAGCGTAATATAAAAATGTTATCTTGCTTATTTAATTAAAGCGTAGTTTTGCATATTGTTTTCCCAATAAGTGAAGAAATTAAATGATAAAAATAAAATGGCTACATCAAATACTGATGTGCAGGACCGAGTGAAGTTATTTAAGTTTACGAAGATATTGACGTTAAAGATTGCTCAAATTGTTGTACAAAGTAGACAAGGAAAAAAAATAGCCCATGATTGCAATTTAATAAAACCCTCGGATGAAGGCCCCCCGTCGTCGCCCACCAGCTTGCAATGGGTAAGCTTGCACATTTCAACGATACACTAACGCAATAAAACAATTCTAGAATTTAAGCATTATAAGTGCCCTTCTGTTTTTTAGTTCAATTTATCTATACCAGATGTACCCGAAGTGAATATTGACACTAAAAGAGTTTTAAATGGTGAAGTAATGGAAGCATTGACAAAAGTGCTATGCATAGAAATATTTTTGCATACCAATGATGGTGATGAGATGGTACTTGAACTTTGGACAGTGCGTATGACACCTGGCTGCGATGCCGGCATCTCCTCTGTATCCACTATATACTACCGTATGAGCATTATGCTTAAATCTACTTTGAGCATTTCAAGGATCACTCCTGCTTACAAATTATCTCGACTGCAAAATAAAGAATCGTACAAACTTTCACATAAGATTTATGGAGGCCAACCAAACCTTGATCTTCTGGGTATGTAACACCACAAGTATAAATTTATAAATAAACTAGCAATGCCTGAGGCTCCACCCGCATTCAGATGACGAAAAACCAAATTCTTAGGTTTTAGATATTAGTATACTCTTATATTGCAGTTTTTGTATTTTTTCTCAGAAATGAGATATTTTCCTGCGGTTAGTATCCTATATGTTGACCCGGATAACCAGCTATCGCCATACAAAATTTCATCAAACTTCCTCCATCGGATTTTCCGTGATGCGGTAACAGACAGACAGACGGACGGACTGACAGACAGACAGACAGACAAAAATTCTAAAAACTATTGATTCTGCCTAGGTATCGAAAATGATGTCTATTTTAATAAGATTTTCCAAAAAATATTTAATGTACATGTATGTATAGATACTGCAAACTCTTAGAATAAAAAGACTTTTATTTTTTGTTTGACTGAATATCTTATAAACTATAATTGTATATAATTTATCATTAAAAGCAAATTTTTAATACAATATGTTAATAATAATACTATCATATTAGTTTATTTAGGAAGTTAAAAGTACAGTAGATAAAATCATATCATCCACAGGTGAAAAGCATAAAACAATCAAAGTGAGTGAATTACATACTCCAATAGGAATTCTACAGGTAGATGTTGTGTACAGAACGAAGATGACTATTGTGCCAGAAGACAGGAAAGTTCCTGATAAGAATGTTCTAACCACAAGTGACAATATTATGATAAAAAGTGACCACTTCCCAAAAGAAAGTCCAAGGTGTTTATTTATTTTATATGAAAGCATATTCATATTACATTATTGCGGAATGATGTCTCTCACCAATAGTGACAATCAAATATTTTTAATGGGAAAATTATTTAATTTTTATATAATTAAAGTGAATAAAACTTAATAAATTTTCAATAGAAAAGTATATTCTGTAATATGTTTTATTTTTATCTTATAATTTTAGGAAAAACCACAATGAAAAGAAAGAGGTGGATCTATCGAAACCCTTAACTGCCGGAGCATTTGTAGATACAGTGAAAATAAAGCAATTACATCACACTCTAAGCCAACAGCTGCCTCCCGAGCCACCGATGGCTTGGCTTCTCGCGGAGAAAGACAAAATGGAAAAGGTTAAAGTTTGACTTAAGCTTTAAATTTGTATTTTTTAACTTGTTCATTTACAAAAATAAGAAGTTAGACTATGATTTATATATTTTGCAGAAGACGCGGCTGCTATCGCTGTCGAACGCGGCGTGCGCGATGGTCGCGGGGGGTGCGGAGGGTGAGGCGGTGGCGGGGGAGGTGCGGTGTGAGGGCGCGGCTGGCTGCAGCGCCGCGGTGGAGATGCCGCGCCATGCCAGCCTCATGGTGAGACACTGCCTTCATTACATATCCAATACTAACTTGCTGCCATCTCTGTAGCTGTACATGTTAAATATATGTTCAAGTATTAATAAAAATGTTCAATAGATTTGACTTAATATTGTCCTTCTTCTTTAACTGTACCGTATATTTATTGAAACATTAAGCGATAACGACGGTGTTGTGCTGTGTGTGGTAGCAATATGCGGATACAATGAACCGAACGCTGAGCGTGGATGTTGCAGGCGCGCGATGGTAGAGCGAATGTACCATCAGTACATGTAGTAATATTTTAGTAACAATTTACCCTGGCCATAAATTCTGTAGGTAAATAATGTCGTATTTAAAAAAAAATGTGTATTTATGTACGCACGTAAGAAGTTATACTATTTTGTTATTTTTAAGAGCATTTAAAGATAAGCTTGATTTTTTTAAATGTGCTAATTTTTTTAACGTTTTTTACTTTTTTTTCCGCATTCTTCTCAGCAAAACCTTTCATTTGATATCCATATCATGGGGATGCATAAAAACAGACCGCCATCTTCGGGAGTCCGCCATATTGGATTTACAATGACGTCACTTTGCTTATTGTGTTTTGCTCATCAAGCCCTTTCATTTGGTGCCCATATCATAAGGGTCACTATCAAAATTCACATTCACAATAAATCTGAATTAATACGGATATTCGGCTCAGTTATAATTTTATTATATGTATATACAATCTATACATATAATAAAATTGTAACTAAGCCGAATCTGTACATTAGATATTTTTTGGAAAATCTTATTAAAATAAACATTATTAATTATTATCGCTACAGAGGCCGAATCTACAGTTTTTCGAATTTTTGTCTGTCTGTCTGTTACCGCATCACAGAAAAACCACTGGAGGGATTTTGATGAAACTTGGTATGGTGATAGCTGGTTATCCGGGTCAACATATCGGAAACTTTTTACCGCGGGAAAATGTCTCATTTCTGAGAAAAAATACAAAACTGCAATGTAAGAGTATACTGATATGTAAAACCTAAGAATTTGGTTTTTGGTCATCTGAACGCGGGCAGAGCCGCGGGCAATGCTAGCTAATCTATAAATATCCTAGAGCTTAGTGAAGTTTGTGTACAATGTGTCAGCCTTAGTGATAGCTGTGAACACCCATGCTGGTGCTGTTCTGCCATTAGCGCGATTTTGCGATTGTATTACTGTATGTGTGTATATTATATTTTTTGTAATTAATTGTATTCTCTGTATGAGCTAACGTTGTTAGCTGCGATGTGCGAAAGTGCTGGCGTTGGTATTAAGCAAGTAGATGACAGCTGAGCGATTTATGTGAACAATTATTGACAGAATATTAAGTAGGTAACTATTGTGTATGCTTTTTAAAATCGAGTATATCAGAGTATATCGAGTAGCAACTTGTTGCGCCCAAATGACACTCATTAAAGTATAGCGAGGGCTGCGCCTACAAATATAGTCCTGGTCCGGGTGAAATGAAGCACGGCTTTGAATATAGCCAACCATCCGCCACGAAGCGCCTTCGCACTGGCTATATAGCTTGTGTCACGTTGGCGCATCCCGACTCTGGTTGTAGCAGCAATATTAAATTATTTAAACCTATTTGATTTAAAATTGAAATAAAATTCATGTACATAATTGTACGCCTTTTTAATGTCACTACTATCTTCTTTTTTTTTTTCAATTCAAATCTATACCAAAAGTAATTTATAAAAAAAAGGTCAAAATCAAAAATGTTAAAGTACAAAGTTTCATGTGGTTTTCTTTCGCATTATCCCACGTAAAATATGGTCGCTGTTTGTTTTTTTTTCATTTCTTTAAGTTTTTATAATTTTTTTGTTTTATAGCCAAATTTAAAAGAAAATTGTACTTTTGGCCAAAAACTTCGAGCGAAGCTTGGTTGCCCAGGTACTTGAAAATAATGATAACAATGGTGATTGCAGGAGTTTCCGTTTGCGGACGGCAGTCCCATCACAGAACTGGCTAACTTCTACCAGGAGTGCGTGCAGGCGCGCGCCGCTGGCCTATGGGGGGGTGAGACCGGCCCGGGCGCGGGCGCGGGGGCGGGGGCGGGGTGCGAGGCGGTGGCCCTCGCCGATCAGCTGCGCATGTACGAAGACGCGGTGCCGGAGTTCGACAACATGGTCGCCTCCATGCTCAGCGAGGAACACCTCGACTTCTAGAAACGGTGACTGTTCTTATACAATCACACAAACAACGCTAGTAATGTTAGTTTTACGGATGTTTTGATAGTTTTGATATCGTAGCAGTTCAGGAAAACAAAAAGCTCTAATAAATGATCATTTATTAGGGCCTTTAGGTTGAAAAAATTAGAACAGTCAGATTGAGGACCCATCGCTTTACCTCATGGGTTTCAAAAGAATTCCATTTTTCGAGCGACAAGCACAAACTGTTTGCTCGTGCTTCATTACATTTGTTCCTGCAGTATGTTCGCTTCATGACCTTGAAGTTATCATTATCGAAAAAAATATTGATATCCAATTACATACTTATCAGGCAGATAAGAAGTTCAACAACTTCATTCGTTACGTAGTTATCAAACACTAGCGACTCACCTCGCTTCGCTCGGGTTCGTCCCTAGGTTGATTTCCCATTAAAACTTTTATCCCCATTTTCACCCCCTTAAGGGATGATTTCCGGGATAAAAAGTATCCTATGTCCTTCCCAGGGTCTCAAACTAACTTTTTACCAATTTTCATCTAAATCGGTTCAGTAGATCTAGAGATTACCCCCTACAACGTTCCAAACTCAAAAACTCGCAATTGACAAACTTTACCTCTTTATAATATTAGTATAGAATTAGATGAAAGACAATAGTTCTCAATGAATGTGTTCATCTATCTCTTTTAGAACTTAGACTGAATACAAAGAAATGTCTTCCATATAATGTAACCTCATAGAAAGCTTGCCAATCTGCTTCATGTCTGCTGATACAATATGTACTTATACGTTTATATACAATAGTAAGGTTTATCGTTGTTGCAGAGAGAGGCGGCGGGAGGGAGATGGTGGGAGGGGGTAGGCCTGTGGTCGGGGGCGGCTGGGGGCGACGGGAGTTGTAACTGTATCTGCAAACAGCTTTGAACATTCAAAACTACGTATTTTATACGTAAATTGTTATATATTATGTGATCAAACGACTGATTCCACGTCTACGACGTGATATGCTCTCGGGTGATACTGGTGTTGTTGTATACTTTGTGATATTTGTTGTGACGACCGCGTTCGAGCGCGCGACGTCTGTGGGACGTTTGCCGGCTACGATCCGACAGAGCCTTAGCGTCGATGTTTAAATGTTAAGTCTTTAACGAGTCTAATAGGTGTATCTTAGTGTTTTGTAGAATGTTGACATTAAGATTTTCTATATGAAAACGCCTAATTGTATATTATTGTATATTATATTTATAAAGAAATCTAAGAGGAGATGGGAGAGCACAAGGGGAGAGTGGGAGGGGGGAGGACTTATTTCTTATACTGAAAAGATGTCGTATGTTTTGACTCTTATATATCGATATAGAATTGAGCGTGCCTTATTCGGGAAGGCAATTTTATTAACATAGATGAAATCTATACTAACGTGCCAATCGGATGTTTAGCGTACTTAGTAACCCGCGCTGCCCCGCGGTCCACCGTCACATCAGACCTATTTTACATTTCCTTATGATAGCTACGTTTGAACGGTTACATTTTTGATGGAAATGACGGTTTCTAATCCTTTGAAATACTACACTACATAAATGTTTATTATGGTAACGAAGTATTTGTGACACTGAGCAGGGCCTCCTCGAGGAGTGCCGCGGCAGACACCGGACGGCGCGCGTGTTTGTGTGTGCCTGTAGGTTGCGTGGGGGGGGGGGGGTTTGGGAAGGAAGGGGGCTGTACACTACATGTGTGCTCACTGAACGGTTCTAAAAGTTCTATTTATTCCCTCATTGACTCGTCGAGGGTGCAGTTAACAGCTTTTACCTATTTATTATTTATCTCACATGTTTATTTAAAAATAAGATTATTTTATAACATATGCTAGAGATAAGATTTTAAACAGATTTGTTGTACAAGTTATACATCGAATATTATTCTCGCTTTTTTAATATTTTATTTGCTACCTGTTTAGATGTTATTTCTACGGTCGCCTCCAAGCGTTATGTATGTCTTCAGATTCATTATGTAATGTTCAAGTGTAGTTCAGCACTCTACAGATTTTATATCGACGTCTGTTTCTCGGGCGCTGTTTGAATATATGTTGCGTTGTAGAAACACGCCTATTTATTGTGGCCCCTCCCTGCCACCGTCCCTCACCCTGCGTCCACAGTTCCTCACCCTATCAATTCAGTTTTTGAGGAAATAAAATGAGTTTTGTAAATACAAATATAATTGTAGCATGCTATAGGTAATATTTGATGAACAATTTAAGATGCTGAACGAGTAATTCCTGAGGATGATTTACTTTTCGGCTGGATGCTGTACACTTTAACGTACTGCCCTGTCACGTTCTGTAAAAGAGAAATACCTACACATAATTTGATCATGGTTGACTGAAGAAGGGAGTAAGTTAAGTTTGTATCTCACTTAAGACCTCTGCTTACTATATAATATTCTTTGTGATGATTCACAAGCTTGTTAAAAGATTAAGATCTAGTTTCAAATTACCTTCATTTCCTACCCTTCGATACCTTAATTTGGCTAAGTCTCCCAAATTTATTATCTCGTTCTGACTAAGAATTGTGTAAAAGAAGTTCAATGTCATTAAAAACCGTCGTTCCTGGCTTGTTCTCTCATTGACCCTGTTGACATTCTGTTTCGACGGAGTTTTACGAGTCAAAGGAGTAGAGAATGCCATTGTGTCAAGTCTATCCTAAAAATGTTCTGACCGATTCCGGCCACGGCGGTCAATTTCAGTGACACTAGACAACTGCTTAGGAGATATTATAATGCAGCGCGTTTACTTGCAGACACAAGTGCACTCTCTATTCCTGACACTCTCATACTCCGGTGGGACGACAGCTCGACACGACCAGAGAGAGTTAAGGCGCAGGACCGACGGCTTTACGTGCTCTCGGAGGCACGGGGGTGAAACACCGCCAACTTCCCAACTCCGGGCTGTTACTGAGTCATAATATACAGAAAGACTCAATAACTTGCCCGACCCGGGACTCGAACCCAGGACCTCCGGGTGCGCAGCCGTACATGCTAGCCACTACACCACCGATGCAGTTAGAGTGTGGGTATATAGAGCAACTAACTTGGTCGTCTAGCGGCGAGCGGTAGGTGGTGATGGGCGCAGGTGATGAGCGAGGCGCAGGTGATGAGGGGGGCGTGTGGAGCACGGGGGCACGAGCTGACCGCGCCGCGCACCGCACCTCGCGTAGGGCGTCCAGCGCAGAGTTCAAGCGTACGCGCTTCAGGAATTCATACAGGGAGCTCTCCTCATCGCGCTCCTGGATTTATTTGAGATAATTATTCAATATAAAATGTTTTTCTTTATGATCACTTCATACCTTGACTAAATAATTATAAGCCTGATAACAATAAATAAGCAAAGCAATACGATGAAAAGCTCCTCTAAACAATTCTAATAAAGACTAACGAATCAGATATATCACTTGCCCTGTTGCGATGTTTCTCTAATACATCTTCTTGGAGGTGTTTCACGTCCTTCGCCCATCCGCTACGTTCAAGTAAATATAAACAGTCACATAATGTGCGTAGTGGTTACGTACAGCACATTGTGGTAAAGCATCATTAGTAATTTTATTATATTGCGCTTAACTGATTAAAATATTATGTAGTTACATTTTGGACCCGTGTTCACTATAAACTCTGGCTTGGCAATATTTTGTTGCCAAGTATGGTACCAAGTATGCTAAGTAAGGAATGCTATGAAAGTGTACATAAGAGAGTACGCTCGCTACGCGCGACACTTTAAGGTTGCAAATGGAACGGCGAAGCAAATGTCGCTCTGCCCATACAACTGTGTGGGAGTTTGAGGGATTGTAACTTATCTAATTATTGGTCTGAACATAACTTAATGTAGATAATTCTACTCCTACTAATTTACTCTCACACTCTGGTTGGACTACAATTCGAAACTCGCAATGAGAGATCAGGCGCAGGATCGACGCGACACGTGATATGGTAACTCGAACCCAGAAACCTGTTTCCAGCCGTACATGCTAGCCACTAGACGGGGCATACGGTTATCATCCTGGTATTTACCTACTTATTATCCTATAATATTGAGATGGCTCTTATAATATGGATGAAATTATGTATTTAGTTAAGGTTTTGTTTTTAAATTTATCTATAAAGCTGTCTTTCCTGAGAAAAAGCAATACCTTTTCAAAATTTTACAAAAACACCAAATTCTCCGAGGAATGTTGCCGAGTGGCGATTCGAATCGAAAAGGGTAACCAAAAATGTATGTGGTGTAATTTATTTTTAGTAATGATTTATTACTATTTGTTTTCTATAGAGCTATAGCCTAGTAGCTATCTACTAGTCTAGTAGCTAGAGCCTTGTGTTCTCACCTGTTTATCTGAAGAAATTCATTTAAAATGCAATCATCTTGTCCTAATAGTCCCGAACTTCGATGTTTTGTCTCATACCACGTTTCAGTTAGTTTGAAGGTTAAATAATGTGAACATAATACTAAAATAATCTGAAAAGTAATTACATTAAAAATTAAAAACAGGAAAAACAGTAGTGTTGCAAAAATAACAGTCTTTTTTCTACCGTGAAAAAAAAAACATGAAAGAAAACGCGTTTTTGAAGTGGAACTTCTTTAGAATCGTTGCGATTTGAATCTCGATGAAACGGAAACGCGACTTAAAAGAGACAAACACATAAATAAATAGGATTAAGCCGGCGAGCGGATGAGATAGAATACATACATTGTCATATTGCCATGGTAACTTACTATTGTCTGACAAATATAAAATATATTTTTTCCGTATATGATACTTTATAAATATATGCCTATATGCCCTATTTAATTATTTGAGATAGAATACTCGTACATTACGTAGAAAGTGAAAAGTAATAAAATTAATTATTATGTAATGTATATTTATGTCAAATAAAATGTAAAATAACTTTTAAACTTGGTAAAAATGTTACGGAAATAGAAACACTTGCAAAGTTTTAAATCAATAAGACAATGCGAGGTAGCTTAAATTTTCATTAAATTTAAATGGGACCAAACTGGAATTATACACTTTCAAACAAAACAAAAATTGTCCAAATCGGTTAATAAATAACGGAGTTCTGTGGTAACAAATATAAAAAAAAATATAGCCGAATTGAGAATCTTCTCCTTTTTGAAGTCGGTTGAAAATGCCGCTTAGCGTTATTTGATTCACCTACACGGTGATTCGAACAAATCATAGTTATTGAATACGAGTATAATGTATCACCTCATCCTGTGCCTCGAGTTGTATATTTTTATACAACCTGTAAGCTTCGTCGGCCACGGCCACTTTGTGTGCTAAGTCTTCTGACAACAATTGTAAAAGTGAAAAGGCCTGAAATATACAATTACGCGTATAAGTAAGTACCTTACTTCTATTTGTTATACTTATGTGCACTCAGCGGGCAGTGCAGGCAGACAACGCACCTTCGACATCCGCGAGCCAGCCAGCTCGGCCGCGGGCAGGCACACCGGCGTACGCTGACTTTTGATGTCGCTGTCATCTGGGCGCCTCATTTCTTCTTGCATTTCCATCGACATTAAGGGATGGTCTAAATCTGAAAAAATAATTTTAAAATGTTACAAACAATATGGACTAAGATCCCGCTGCAAAATTGCTACGTTCATAGCGTAGTATTTAATCAAAATCAATTTCTTGCATACGATTATAAAAGGGACAATATGTTTTGACTGGGCTGCCTATTAAAATATGCCCGCTAATATTTTTAATTAAATAAATAATAATGGATAGCAATGATAATATTGAAACAGAAGCCACAACACTGGTTAATAAGTTTGGATTAAGGGATAAAGTTAACTTCATAGTAACTGATAATGCCGCAAATATAATAAAAGCAGTTAAAGGCATTTTAGGGTGGAAAAGTTTTGGGTGCTACGCACATACTTTAAATTTAATCGTACAAGATGCTCTTCGACTTGTCAAAAATGATATTGACAAAGTAAAAAGGATCGTAGCTCATGTAAAAAAAGCACGCTTTCATCAGAGAGATTGTCAAAATAGCAAGTGCAACAAGGCAACTGGCAAAGAACCAAAACGGCTTAGTCAAACTGTAGATATGAGGTGGAACTCAACATATTTTATGTTAAAAAGATTTGTTGAACTGGAAGAAGCTGTTTGAGCTACTTTAGCGTTTACAGACAGTCATTTGCCTCTGATCACTGTTGAAGGTCACTATACTCACAATTGTGTCAAATATTAAGACCTTTTAAGGAGATAACCAGTTCGATGAGTGGGGAGAAATATGTAACGGGAAGTTCTATAATAGTTGTCACACGATGTATCAAAAAAGCGTGCGAAAAATTAATAGCCAGAACGTATCTATTAGCTGACGCAAATGACGCGCGTTCTTTTATTAAAATCTGGATTAATTGATCGTTCCGAAGTAATTGAACAAAGTGACTCCTTTTTATTGTGTACTTTTATGGACCCCGGTTCAAAATGCAAGGATTTTCCGATCAAAATGAAGCATAGAAAACAAAAGAAAAAGTTAGAAAAATGGTTACAGAAAAAGTCTACAGTCACGTCAGTAACTAACGATGATAAAAGAAATGATGAATTAAGCCCCTGGAACATTATTGATCTAATGATCGCGAGTACTACAACTCAAGGAACACCGCTTTCAAAAGCAATCAAGGAGGTAGACATGTATTTGTCTGATGAGTTACGAGTATAACCTCGAAAGGATCAATCAGGAAATCTGAATTGCCCATTAGAATGGTGAAAAAAAACATCACTTAGAATACCATTTTTTTTAACGTTGGGAAATGCATTTACGCACGAGGTGTGGGACTCACCGGCAAAGCCAGTACTACCCACTAAAACCCAACAAAACCTTCCCCCGTCTTAATGGGGTGTCGCAGGATCGCTTACGCATTCAACAACGACGCCCCGACGGCAGGTCTGCCGAAGCAGACCACAACAACCACGGGGTTGCTCCACAGTCCACTCTGCTATCAGAGAAGTACCAGGAGCAACCCGCATGGTACACTGCCCTACGAAGAGGGCTACCTCCCACCGCCCACCAAAGTGGGCCACCTCCCTGTGCGTTTCTTGGCTTCGCGCCCGGTTGGGTTGCCGGGCACTACTGAGCCCCCCCACCACGACAAGGTGAACGCACGTTGGGGGGGAATTTGTATACCCTTATCTGACGAAAATATTTGTGAAGCACTGTAATATAGTGGCTACTGGCTACGTCAGTTCCTTGTGAACGGATATTCTCAAAAACTGGTTTTATTATCAACCAAAGACGTACTAGGCTGACCACAAGCAAAGTTGAGCAAATCATGTTTCTCAACGTAAATTTACTTTAGGACCGGTTCAAGAACTGACAAATGTAAGTACATAAAATTACTAAAAACAACATATAAAATATAAAAAAAAGAACAAAACTTAAAAACAACAATAATAAATAAGGAGCATATTATTATAAAAAGTAAATGAATCGTTCACCAAAAACAACATAATAAATATAATGAAAAAAAAAAACTAAACTAAAAAGAAATGTAAATATACATATTATAAATATTATAATAGTAATTGATTGTGTAAATAAAATCAGATGATCTTTTAAATACGTATTCAGTTCAGTTAGTCCTAAGACGGAAAAGGTATGAAGAGAAGGTCATCTAAGTAGATCTAAAATGACATCTTACAACACTCGCTAAACGTCGAAACCGTTCAACGAATGAATGGTTTACGTTGCAAGTTGACATTAGTAGCACGTTAACTCGTTGACAAATTTAACTAGTTAATCAACTAGTTGACCAACGTCAATCAACGTTAACGTTACGTTAACAAAAAAACCATCAACGATTCGTCACTAATTCAAATAATCTGCCGATTTGCACAAGCTGAAGAGGCAAAAATCGTACATAAACTTTATAGTCGATTTTTGCCTCTTTGGCTAACACCCCTCAGTTGCACCATGCATGTCCCGGTCAATTATTTTGGCAATCAGAAGTATAAAAGATGTCAGTCGTGATTATATTTTATAAACACGTTATAACACTGTGAAAGTTCTACATATCGCGTCGACTTTATACCTCTTAGCTCCTTAAACAAATTTGCTATTTAATAATAAATAAATAATTTATTATACAAAAAAATATATATAATCTCCTAATATTAAAACATGTTTGTAGAACTGTGCGTATCCCTCTGGTAGATAAGAACATTATTTAAAGAACAACATACGATACAACAATACAGTATAGAATAAAAGAATATCTAACTCTGGATAATGCCATATTCGTTCAGCTTCACACCATTAGCTGCGCACTCGTCTCTGAACACGGCGGCTAGTAGGTTTGCGATTGTCGCACCGCGCTTTACTACGCTGGGATACTGGAAATTATTGTCGATTATTTTGATTAGATCTTTTTTTTTAAGTAACTAGAGACTTACCCAAGCTTCGATCGGATGCGTATCTAGGTGCGAATAATTTCGTAATACACTTGTATAAATAAAACAAAAAAAATATATTATAAAAATGAAAACCCGTCTTGTCGTTCCGTTTTATTTTTATAATTTTTTTTTATTTACAGCTTTTTAGTTTTTGCTAATTAGATAGACATTTGAAATCATAAGTATTTAGCAATTTTTATCCGAAATTACTTTTAAACATACAAGTTGTATATATTTTTGTTTTTTTAAGTATTTTTAAGTAGGAAAATTACCAAGAATGGTTGTTAACCAACTTTAAATCATTAATTATATCCTAAACTGTTATTTAAAATGAATACTTGTGGTTTTAATTATCATTGTTTTAAGTAATACAGGGATGTTATACTTTTTTGGAATGCTTGCTATGAGCCCTTTAATTTGATACCCATATTGCAGATAAAAAAGATTAAAAAAAATTTTCACCTTAAACAATGAAATTTAGTAGCTCCCATATTTAATTTTTTTATCGCACTTATCTAAGAACACTTGGACTAATGAGATGAATCTAACGATATCTTAATTAAAGAAATCCATCTAATTTGGAAGACATGAGGGAATAAAGAATATTACATACAAACAAACATACAAAGATAGGCGCGAAAAACAACCCTTTGCTTGCAGTCGGGTAATAACTAATAATAATTACTTCCGACAAAATTCACTCAAACCAAAGAATGCTACGTACCTAGTTACCTACATAAAACCTATTTACAACGATCCATTTTAAAATAATTATCTATATAAAGAAAACACGAAACAAAATGCTATCTTTAACTTTAAAATCATTAACTACGTGAAACGAAACCAATGCAATTGCAGTGAAGACTGCATTATATACATTGATAAAATATCAGAATTTTTGACTACCTAAGTACCTAATATTAGGCACCACAACCAACAATCAAAAGAAAAAATATATCTATGCTACCACCTAATTAAAAAAATAAGGCACACAAAACAAAAAAAAATGCATACAACAATTAATTATTGTTGTAAGTTGTAACCAACAACGTTGAATGTTGACATGCTTGAACCTCTCGCCCCCGTCTACCATTCCCCCCGCTGTCGTCGTCGCATAGACATGATATTATTACGTTTCACGAGTTATTTTAAATCTGTGATATCTTCTAAGATATTCATCTAAATGAAATGATGTTAAGGCCAGTTTTGATCTAAATTAAGTGCTTAAGTTGTCTATCATATTTATTTAGCTAAGGATTAACACCTTTCCAGTATAAACACCTTCACAAATAAAGTATTATTTTAGACCCAATTTGAGAACCATAAAAATGATTATTGTAAGTGCATCTTAAAAGATGGACATAAGTTATCGCGGACTATTTTGTAGTAATTTTTTGTTATTCAATTTATTAGAATAGTAGAGGATCCGCATTAGAAACGACCTTCACCCATCTGTTTAAACTTTAATGGATGAAAAGTATTTTATATCAAATTTAATATATTAGAAAATATATCTCGACCTTCTTCTACTTCTCCCTGCCCATTTCCCAATCACTTGGGGTCGGCGCAGTACATCTTCTGTACTGCTGATAGGATTTGGCAAAAGTTTTACGACCGGCCGCCTGCCTGACGTCAACCCCCCTTGGGAATATATATATATATATATATATATATATATATATATATATATAACGACCATAAAACATTTTAAGAAATACGACCCAGGAGCAGCAAACAGGGGGGATTGTCACCAAAAATTTGCTGCCTCCTGGGTCGTGTTTATTAATGTTTTATGATTTAAAAAATATATTTCGCCTGGGAAAAGAACTAGGGATCCACCCCATAGATCGGGACCCCTACTAATAATTTTACTTATTATAGATACAAAATGCACCTAATGACTCACGCATGTACGACGGTACGTCCCTAGTAATCTCAATAAAGTAAAAAAAACCATAATAGTGAAAAGAAGTGATGCAGAAGCTTACAGCGTTGGAGGCGCCAAGGGGCGCGCGCCAGGAGAGCAGCTGCGCGGCGTGTCCGGCGCGCGCCGCGTCGCACGCCAGCGCCAGAGCCAGCGCCTGTACCCCACCGCTGCTCATCTGGAACACACGCTCCCGACTGTCATAGTTACTTTTGTATGTCAGTTGGGAAGCGGCTTAATGGTTAATTTAGAGTGTACGTAGGATAAAACCATTGCTTTCTTCAAACGCTCATTCTGAGTCAATTACTACTAATAGATTTTATGCTGGCATAATTTGCTAGAATGGCTCATGACTCATGACATGGCTCGTTACAATATATGCTGGTAATTCTTAGCGTTTGATCGATAAGTTAAATCAAGTAGGAAATGGCGAATAAGCTTATTCATTCATAAGTCACGTCATCATTCAGTCACGTCCCGATCATTATTCATTTTTTTTAATATTCCTGACTTTTGCTTTTTCTCCGATATCTCGTAAAAGAATAATAATATATCTACTGAGTAGATTCTACTCGTACGAAGAATTGAGAACGGCTATAATAATGATATCTATTACAATAGCTATATATTTTATAATTTAGTCACACCAGAGGTTCCGATACGTCCCGGGGGAGAAGCCAACTCCTACCGGGCGCGTCCCCAGGTGGCGGATAGGGGCATGCCACCCGCTTAGAGGGGCGGGTGGTACCGGAGAAATCCGGCGCGGACCAAATGGCTTGGATGGGGCCGCTCGTCTAGGCCTCGAGCCGAAGACGTTGCGGCCACCGGTGGTGGGACCGCTTGGTCCCACAACCGGATGATGACGGTGATGATGATGATGACGGTGCCGATTGCGGGACTGTGATCGCAGGCCCGCATTCGGCGGAGGGGTAGGCCGCGGCGGGAGAGGAGTGCCGGTATTTCGGTGCGCCGTTCTCCCTACCTTCCGCGGCCTAGACGGGGCCGCCACCGTTTGATGGCGGACGCGGTGGGGCTGCAGGGGAAGAGGAGTGTCGGTGTTTCGTTGCCGCTCTCCCTGTCCTCTGCAGCCGATTGGAGGTGGCCCACTTCGGTGGGCGGTGTTTGTGTGGTGTGGGGCTGCTCCGGGTACTTCTCTGATCAGCAGAGTGGACTTAGGAGCGGCCTCACTTTTTGGGTTGTAAGCCTTCCCATAATGGGGTTGTCCCGCTTGGGGCGGCCTCATGGTTGGTGGCTTCGGCCAACCGTCGGGGCGTCGCGGTTGTATGCGAGAGCGATCCCGTGGCGCCCCACATGGCGGCAGAGGGGGAAAGTTGGGTTTTAGTGGGTATGCCGGTCTCATTAGCCGGAGAGTCTCCACATAACCACCCCGGGGGAAGTCGGGTGGTATCCGTAATAGGATTTCCCAACTATAAAAAAAAAAAAAAAAAGAGGTTCCGATACGTACAGTTACTATATCCAACAAATTATAAACACCATTTCTTAGTATGAATTTCTCACGTAACTCCTTTTTCCATATTATTGTTTCCCAGATGAAGTTAAGCAAAGATATAAGCCATCTGAAATGGAGATATATTCAAATGAAAAAAACTAAGTTCCTAGTATGTACTTAGCTTTTCTATACTAATATTATAAAGAGGAACGATTTTAAATAAAACTATCTTTTCGGATTTTTTCTGAATTTATTTTGATTTTTGGTTCCCGAGCGACGTTTTACAGCAGTCATGGTCACGGGAGAGGCTAAGGTGTGTGTGATGTCTCAAAGGTATTACATAGTTGTTACAGACAGTCTACCCACATATTAACAAAATGAATTAAAAAAATTGAAAAATGACACCAAAGCACCATACGATAATTTTGTTAATTTAATTTTAAAACATTTTTATAATTTTAATTATTTTTATAATTAATACAATTTTTCATAAAAAACTTAATTAATTAGTAATGTATATTTACTATTGCCATTATTATGTTTATAAACAACGAAAAACAAATTATTAATTATTCAAGCCATTTTATTGCTCTATGTGTAATTTAAAAACATATTTTTTGCTTTCCATTTATTTTTAAAATGTTTTTATACTATTATCTATTATTTTTTCGAAATTTAATGTATTGCAATGGGTTTGACATTAAAAGTTAGAAATTATCTCAAACCTATCACTAATAAGCAGATGTTTGTCGAGAGCGTGCAGCACGACCCCGAGCATGTTTCTCGCAAGCGCGGCGAGGGAGGCGGGCCACACCAGCAGCGGGTATACCTGGCAGCTGAGCCGCGCGTCCGTCTTTGCCGCGCTCGTCAGTACGCGCAGGCTCAGCGCTACCACCGCCTGGGCGCGCTCCACCGGCGGGCACCTCTGCTCCAGCAGCGTGTACATTAGATCTGCCAGTATTCATCTTTGTAGTTAGCTTTTATGTAATCGTATTTTTTATTTTTATAGTATACTAGCAGAACCCGCGGCTACGCCCGCGTTCAATCTACAAAAAAAACTCCTTGGTTTTATGTTATACTTGTACAGCCACTTACCCTCGCTACGCTCGGGTTCGTCACAATGTATTTATTATAACATTGTTCATACAAAAATAAAATCACGAATAAAATGAGGGGTTAAATTGAAAAATACTTTACGACCTATTCTCATACCTATCAAATATACAAAAAAAAACGGTCAAGCAGTTTCGGAGGAGTGCGACCACAAACACCATGAGACGAGATTTTTATATATTAGATTTTTTTATTTACAGTTTTTTAGTTTTTGCCAATTAGACATTTGAAGTAAAATTTAGCAATTTTTGTCCTAAATTACTTTTAAACATGTAAGTTGTATATATTTTTGTGATCGACTCTTAAAAATCTTTATTTTGATATCCCACTCGATTGGTTTGTAAAGATTTAAAAAAAAACCACACAAATTGCCGCCTGAAATCCGCCATTTTAATTTTCAACTATTTGTTTATAGCCTATGATACTCGCGTTATCAAGACGAATAGCTAACGACGTATGAATCATCAAAATTGGTCAACGCGTTTGGTCTCTAGAATGCCGTATAGAACACACACACATACATTTTACTTTATTTTTATAGACTGATAAACACATTACACATCACATATCAGTCAGGTAAAAAGCAATATACCACCTAAGGATGGAAAAATAGCTAATGAAAATTTAACCTACCCACTTGTAATTATTATATTGACTTGAAACTTTACAAGTATTTCTATTGCCGTTAATAATGAAGTGATTCGGTATCGTCGAGTTGATCTGATGGAATGGCCAGAAGGTGGATAGGTGGAACTTTTTAACGGCAAATAGTAGATACATTGAGTTTGGGCTTATTTTGTTTGATTTGATAAACGCAATACGTTAGAATTGGATTTTAGAGCCTGATTTTAAGTGTTACTAAACAAGCGATTTTTAGTTTGTCTTAATAAAACAATGACGTCACTTCGCTTATAAATCGTCATGTTGTAACGTCCGCCCTATTGGATTAAACATGGCGGCATTTAGGTAATCGCGCATTGTCTTGGAAACTAAACTAATGTACCAAATTTCAGCTCAATCAAACCCTGGAAAGTGGGTCAAATTTAACTTGCAAGATTCTATTACATTCACTGGGCCAGGTGAAACTAAATAAAAGTTTGTAAAGAGTCAGAGCAGAAGAGGGCGCTAGGCTAGAGCAATAACCATGATAATAATTTGAGCACGGTTGGCCAAATAAAAATGTCCAAAAACTTGCTCGTCTTTGATCCACCATGATTGTGTTGGTTGAACTGTTCCTACACAGTTGTGAGAATGGGCAGAACGCAACTAAATTCAATATTTACGTATCAGTATAATAATGCCGTGAGTGTCGAACAAGTCCCCGAGGGCGGCGGGACGAGCCAGCTGCAGCACGCGCACGCACCAGTACAGTAACGGCAGCTCGTAAGGACTCTCCGAGTACCACTCGATGTACCATATTAACCTTTGACAAACATTTTGTTATTGTTATGAGAATAAAAATATAATTTTATATAAATTACTCCTTAACACTGGTTATAGGTTAGGTTCGTATGGGTTTTAGTGTATACGTTTCCTAACGTTAAAAAAAGGCGTTACGAGTTCACGATGTGTGTTTACCAAGGCGCGGTAGACATCGCTCGCTAGCGTCTCATAGTCCATCAGTTAGCTTGGAGTAAAGCCAAGAAACACACTTAGGAGGCGCCCGAACGAAGCGAAGGTAGGTCGCTAGTAATGCATAAATTCATTTTTTTTATTGGAACGAAGTTCCTTATTCCACGTTACACGCTTTGGACGGACGAGGGCTAAGCCGGAAAAAGTGTGCCTTTTTCCGACCCTTTTTGCCGCGCGCTGAAAGACTCAACGGCTCTTTTTTGCTTTCTTCTAATTGTTGAATTAATGAACTAACAACTCAAACAATTTATCATTATTTTATACATAACTAGCAGAGCCCGAGGATTCGCCCGCGATCAAACTACGAAAGTTTTATTGCAGATGTGCCAACCTTCAGAAGGAGGATATAGCTAGCAGGATACTCTATAGCTAGGTACTCCCTCTCGCGCTCTAGGTCTGTTATAGTTGTTTCTACTGTGGCTAGCCAAATAGTTATACATAATTTTCCTTTTGATTCGGAATAATTTCCGATCTCTGCTTTATATCCCACACAGTAAGCGCGCACGTACAGAGAACTTGAGCCATGTTACTTCATTTAAATACTAGCGGCTCAACACAAAATCAAACAAATTACCCTACGGGAACTGTACGTTTTTCCGGGATAAAAAGTAGCCTATTTGCTATTCTGATGTATGAACTATATTATTATAAAGTTTCATTAAAATCCAATCAGTAGTTTTGTGTAATAAGCTGTATAAGTTAATATAGTTTTTTAACTATCCCACGGGAACTCTATAATTTTCCGGGATGAAAAATATCTAAGATGTTGACCGGGAATATAAGGTACCACTATGCCAAATTTGATTTAAATCAGTGCAACGGTCTCGGAGATTAGCCCGTACAAACAGACAAACAGACAGAGAAACAAAAAAATAGAAAAAAAAATAGATTTGTTTTATTTCTCTTCTTACATCTCCGTGACTCGGTTTTTAGCATTTTTTTCTATGTACGGACATTCGACCTCTACAGTTTTATTATATGTAAGATATTCAACAACTCAAACTTCACCGCCCATTTTTACCCACTTAGGGGCTGAATTAAAAAAAATCTAGAATACTGATGTTTATTTAATTGTATTGCAGAGCATTAATACCTAGTCACAAGTAATTCTGATCATAAATATTTTTTTCCTCATATAAACAGCACAACCCCCTTTTACCCTTTTAACGGGCGACTTTCGAAAAAAAATGATATTTGTATTGTTTTAGTTTTCATTTTAAAGGTAAATACCATTTTCCGTGCATCAATTACAGAGTTTCGTACAAATTTTCATCCCCTATTTGACAGGCTTATGGGATGAATTTCAAAAAATATGTATTTATTTAATACCAAGTTTCAAGTAATTCTGATCGTAAATAATTATTGGCCATATAAACATATAAATTTTATCACCCTCTTTTACCCTTGTAAGGGATGAATATCGAAAAAAAATATTATACGTATATTTCTAATTTTTCATCTAAAAGCTAAATACCACCTTCCGTGCATTTCGGTTTAGAATGACAGAGTTTCATACAATCTTTTATCCCCCAACAGGGGATGAATTTTGAAAAATCCTTTCTTAGCGGATGCCCACATTGTATAAGGAATATGTTCTCCAAATTTCACGTTTCTACGACTAGCGGTTTATGCTGTACGTTGATCGATCAGTCAGAACAAAGCATTTTAAATTTTTCAACTCTGTCGTCTTGATATTTTATGATATAAGTTATAATGACTGTATAGCAAATGTCTACCAAAAAGCGAAAGGCACTTCGTTCGACCGGGGGGTCCATAGACCCCTCATGTTCTTTTATGTTTGTATTCAATTATGAGTATATACGAGTATATCCAATGCCTAATAAATAATATCGTGAGTATTTAACACCTTTAAACTAGCAATTCTTCGCTTTGCTTCGATTAATTTTGCTGAAATTTGGTATGTGGAGGTTTTCGGGGGTGAAAATCGATCTAGATTAGTCTTGTAGTTGAAAGCGCGTGTTTTCGAGTTTGCAGGTGGTTTTCTTTCGCACGCACAATATGGTTGCTAAATTTGCACGCTTGAACATAAGCATCGAGGTCAAGCGGGCAAGGCGCAATATAAAGTTCTTACTTAGTTTTCTTGGTTTTTTTTGTATATAGGTATTCAAGTTTTTAGTTTAAAAAAGAAAACAAGAAAATTGTACTTTTGGACAAAAACTTCGAACGAAGCTCGGTTGCCCACGGCCCAGGTACTGATGAGATTACATCGCGTAGCTTATACATTAGTATTACGTACTTATTGTACTTACATATTAAATACCATATAAATATAATAATATTATTCGAATGATACCTTCTTATAATGTCATATTCCTGTACCAATCGTTGAGGCATGATTGACAAAGTACACACCAACGCTTGCAGCGTCGTCTTACGTAGCTCTGAGTAAAGAGACTGAGACCAGTGAGCCCTGAGGGAGCACAACCCGGGGTCGACTAAAAACATTAGGCCAAGTAACCAGTGTTGAGATTCTACCATCTGTAAGTTTACAAAATGCTTTTTATGATACATATATAAATTCGGATTATCATTAAAACAACTCTCAATGTTTTGGTGAACTTACGAAGCTATTATAAGGAAAAGTTTTCAAAAAATCGACAGATAAATATATTAATAATTTCTTAAAGTGTACATCCGCCTGAGCTGTGTTAAAGCTTACTGTTCGTGTCCAGTCTTGTCTAGGAGGAATCTCAGTGAGTACAGATAGCGTCATGACATCTAAAAAAAATTGCACGTATATGAGCCTTAATCAGTAATAGGATGTTCTTTATTGATATTATATAGTTTGAATATCATTTAAAACGACCTGGCATTAGCAAGGCGGAGAAAGCCATCAGATGTTCGCCAAAGCAGTGGAGCAAGATATGAGCGATGACTGTCAGCACAGCCCTCTCGTGGCGGTGGTCCCGCGCGCGACACTCATAACGATACGCCCAAATAAAACATCTGTGTCCATATTTTTCATCAATTTTATTTTTAATAAAGTCTAATTGAACATTAATTAATTTAACGATTGTATGTTAGGGCCAACACAGACTTGTTAACGCTCTGTCGACGCGCGCTTGTCACGCGTTTGTGTTGCTACCAACGCAAGTAGGGGCAGACCAAATACGTTGATGATATGCGTATCGTCGAAGCATTTATAAAACTGGTTTGCATAGATCCTTAGGATCACCAAAAACTATATTTTAGTTGTTAATAATTTCCTAATATTGTATAGAATACCTACTAATTATTATAAATTTAATATTAACTAGCAGAACCTGCGGCTTCGCCCGCTTTCAATCATCAAAAAAAACTGTTTTATTATGATCAGAATTACTTGAAACATAGTATTTCGATCTAGATTAGTCTTATGTCGTGGAAAATGCATGTTTTCAAGTTTTCAAGCGGTTTTCTTTCATTTATTTTATTCCACAAAAAACATGGTCGTTAAATTCGGACGCTCGTGCATAAGCATCGTGGTCAAGCGACCAAGGCGGAAGATTGACAATCTCAAGTGTCCGGGTTCGAATGCCGGTCGGTTACAAAGTTCCTACTTTTGTTTTTATTTGTTTTTTTTTGTAGTAATTCAAGTTTTTCATGGTATGTTTGGCCAAAAACTCCTGGCGAAGCTCGGTCGCCCAGGTACTATTTATTAAAAGGGACATAGGTACGAGTACCTTTGGGCATAGTAGTCCGGGTGAGGAATAAGTGTATGATGATCCGGATTCTCATCTAAATAGCTTTTAAGGGTTTTCAATAGAACCAAGAGTAAAGAGAACGTGGTCGACATGTGAACGCTGCTGTCTCCTGCATTAAACGCGTATATTATATCTTTTTGATAGATAAAATTATGTAATTAAGACTGTAATTAAATTACAAATATAAAAAAAAACCCGAATGCGTAAAAAGTGAAGGAGGTAATTAAAAAAATAAAAATCCAACTGTATAAAAGCTAACTAAAAAGATGAAAACAAGTTGACAAAGGAATATAGTACTATACAGTCGGAGACATAGACGTATCATCCTTGCCTCGAGATGTATATAACTGTGTATTCGCCATCTTTGGACGATTATACCTTAATCGTTTAAATTAGTTTGATGCCAATTTTCATATGAAGGTAAACATATGTACATGTTTTAGAATAGCTGCGTGTGTGTTTGTCTCCGACTGCATAATACTATGTTCCTTCGTCAACTTGTTCTCTTATTTTCAACGGACTTCAAAAAGGGGGAGGTTTCAATTCGGCTCCCGGGGAAGAGCTAACTCTCTAGACTCCTACCGGGCGCGTTCTAAGGTGGCGGAACGGGGAACGCCACCCGCTGTCCCAACAGTGGGTTGTACCGGAGAAATCCGGCACGGACCAATGGCAGGATAAGGTCGCTCGTCTAGGCCTTAGGCCAAAAACGTTGCGGCCATCGGTGGTGGTACCGCTTTGGCAGTCCCACGATCGGATGGGGGGTGCCGGTAGCGTGACTGTGGTGTCAGGCTCGCAAGGGTAGGCCGCGGAGGAGTAGGCCGCGGCGGGAGAGGAGTGCCGGTATTTCGGCGCGCCGTTATCCCTACCTTCCGCGGCCTAGACGGGGCCGCCACCGTTTGATGGCGGACGCAAAAAGAGGGATGTTATAAATTTGACGTGTCTGCCTGTGTGACTATGTGTGTGTGTCTCTCTGTATCTCTGTGTGTCTGTCTGGGGCATCGTAGCTCCTAAACGAATGGACCGATTTTGATGCGGTTTGATGATCTAGGTGGGTCTTAGCTTCAATTCATGAAGATCTGTTCAGGCGCTAAGTAATTAAAATAAAAACCAGAATACAAATAAAAAGAAAATTGATAATGATAAACTATTAGCGAGCCCCCGACACAGTGACGCTCATCATCAAAATATTAATAGGTACTTTTGATAAAGTTAAAAGGCCAAGAGAGGATACTTATTTTTTTACTTGTTAGAGCTATTTTTTGTGTCGGTGGTTAATTAATTATTTTATTTACAGCTTTTTAGTTTTGGTCAGTTAGACATTTTTAATTTTATTTAACGATTTTTTATCCTAAATTACTTTAAAACATATGAGTTGTATATATTTTTGTAATTGCCTCTTTAAAACCTGTATTTTGATACTCCTCACTCGATTAATTCGGATGTTTTTTTCAAGACTCAAATCTATATACACTATGATATTCGTGTTGTCAAGACGAATCGAATGACGTTTGAATCATCAGAATCGGTTTAGCCGTTTAGTAGTTAAGGGGGAAAATAGGATCACACATACATACATACATACTATCATACATACATACATACATACATACATACATACATACATACATACATACATACATACATACATACATACATACATACATACATACATACATACATACATACATACATACATACATACATACATACATACATACATACATACATACATACATACATACATACATACATACAGATCAAACACATAACTCTCCTTTGGGCTTAGCCGCAGTAGGTTAATAAGGCAGTTGTAAATAAACTCCCCACCTAGTCTGACATTAACATCCTCAGGGTACGCAGGATTCATTTCATACGATGGTAATTTCTCGGGAAAGTAAGGGTTGAACCGACAAAGTATATTTTCAATAATATTTTCTTTAATCATTTCAATACCTGCAAAGGTCGCGGTTTTGAGTTAAAGAAAAATATCCTACAGGTCTTCAAGTTTAACATTTCATCGTTTCGACAGGGTTCAGCACCATTTTGCTACTTTCGATGATCAGGGCTCTTAATTTGAAATAATGGGTTGAATCATTCAAAGCTTTTAAGGCAGTTTATTCATGCTTAAGTAACATTAAAATAATTGGTAAATCGGTCCAGTGGGGTGAGAGATAGGGTTTTGTTCTCGTAAAGTATTATACTATATTTTAGCCTCAAATAAATATGATTTATGATTTAGGGTTGAGCGAAGTGGGGTAATAATAAATAGCAATATATTCTCAGAAATAAAATTATTTAGCGCGCACAGTTGTGTACGGAGTGACAGGCTAGTAATAAGGCTATGTGTTGGTAGGCGGGAAACTGCGTGGGCCTGGCGAGCGCGAGCATGCGTGCGGCGGTGGGCAGGAGCAGAGTCGCTGCGTCCAGCACAAGCCGCGCCGTCACCGCCCCGCCCTTCCCGCGCTCCCCCTGCGCCACGCGCGCCCGCTGCGCTGACAGCTGCCACACCAGCGCGCGCGACACGCGGCTGAACAGTTCGTCTTCGCCCACCTGCAGTAGCAGGTAGCCTGAAGGCAAACAATTGACGTCAAGCACTATGTATATACGTCGCAAACCTTACGTACGCAAGACCTTAAGTAGTTAAAACGCAAATCTTTACGAATCAGCTAACATAGCTCCCTACTGATTGTGGCATCATAGAGAAGATCTAGCAAGAAGAATTTTTTCCCGACCAGCACTTCGGCGGTAGCTAGTGTACTTATTGCAGTTGAACTATTTTTCAGACGGATACTCGTATTTAGGGTCTATACCTACTGTCGCTTGTCGGCATACCATAAGGCATTACCAAATCCGTAAACTTCGACCGCAACGTTTACTTGTAGGTGTGTACGTATGCTATATCTACGCAGGTGAGGATACGAATGCAAATAGTATTTTCTTTATTATGACATGCGATATGTCAGGCACGCTTTGCTTCCTTAACTGTTAAACGTTCGCATTGTGTGCGAGCTGCTCCCCCGAGAGTGCCGCTCCGTCCCCGTTGACTAAAGTACGAGTCTTAAAAGACCTTGGTTAAGCTTTATGTAAATTTTTTTTTTATAATTTTCTATACAAATATGAATCTACATAATTTTCTATTCTTACACTAGATATAAAAATAAAACGATGTTATTTCTAGTCATTTTTGAATATAATATCACTTTTAAATATCACCTCAAGAGATTTATTTTATAACAACTTGTAGAGAAATGCAGAGAAAACTTAAACAACAGTAGGTAATTGCGTGATTTGCTTTATGTGCATTTTGAGTTGACAACCTTTACCAGGTTTATTACAGATTAATTTGGTGTTAGTACTTGAAAGTCGTGATTTAATATTCTAGAAACCAAATATATATTTACATACGTAACAGGTGCAGCCCGTCCGGTGCATATATGTAATAAAATTGTAACTAAGTCGAATCTAGATTTTTTTTGGAAAATCTTATTGAAATAAACATTATTATCGATACAGAGGCCGAATCTATAGCTTTTAAAAATTTTGTCTTGTCTGTTACCGCATCACAGAAAAACCACCGGAGGGATTTTAATGAAATTTGGTATGGTGATAGCTGGTTGTCCGGGTCAACATATAGGATATTTTTTACTGCGAGAAAATGTCTCATTTTTGAGAAAAAAATACAAAAACTGTAATGTAAGAGTACACTAATATGTAAAACCTAAGAATTAGGTTTTTGGTTATCTGAACGCGGACGGAGGCGCGGGCAATGCTAGTATTAAAATAATATTAAGTATTATTGCTTACATTTTATAAGTAGGTATACCTTAAACTTGTTTAGATACATCAGGAAACAAGTTAAATCTAACCCAGAAATCCTATGTAATGTCTGAGAGTATCAAACTGTGTGGTGATGTCGGACATTCGTCGCAATAGAATCGGTTTGTCCATGTTGTCGAGGAGCAACACCACACTCTCGCGCAGCTCCGGCTCACTGCGCATGCGCTCTACCAGGTGCTCCAGTACCACGCACAGGCTGGGCAGCACTTCGATATTCTGATTTGTGTTAAGTGAATTCTTATTACGAATGAACTTACAGAGTGATGGATGATTTTTTTATGCGGAGATAGGAAGTTGGGGGGCTGGAGAGTGACATAAGCTACTTTTTACCATGGAAGATTTCAGTCCATTCAAGATTCAATTTCAAACGCGTGGGCCGATTTTGATAAATGACACGTCGTTTGATTCTTCATGACGGCGCGAATGCTATAGAAAGCATAAAAATTTGGAAAAGTCAAAATGGCGGATTTTGGACGCCATAATGTGAAAGAGAAAAAAGATGAAAATCGACGAACTATTTCAAATGGGGTATCGTTTAATAGGTATTTAAACATCATTTTTAGGTTTCTTTCTTAATTTTTTATTTTAAATAACAGTGTATGATATATAGTGATTTAAAGTTGGTTAACAACCATTCTCGCTAATTTTCCTACTTAAAAATACTTAAAAAGCTGTAAATAAATATATATATATATATAAAAATATATAAAAAACCGAGTGCATAAAATCTAACTAAAAGATGAAAACAAGTTCACGAAGGAATATAGTATTATGCAGTCGGAGACATATGTACGTACGAGTATGTACATCTCGCGGCGAAGATGAAACGTGTATGTCTCCGACTGCATATAGGTACTATATTCCTTAGTAAACTTGTTTTCATCTTTTTATTTAGCTTTTATGCAGTCGGTTTTTTATATTTTTATAATATATTTATTTACCTAAGTACATATAATTTACCGTAACCCTTCGTGCGACTCCAATAAACCGTTTTTATTTAGATATTTTATTCAATTCCTATATCACGCGTTATAAGTAGTATACATAAAAATCCTTTTCTATTTATACTACTCGTACTTATAACGCGTACCTACTATAGATTTCTTTAAATTTGTTGTCAGGTATTTAATTAATGATATTATGTAAAAGGATACATAGCCCGAGCATGATGCTCGAGCGAAGTCGCGTATGTGAGCTTGTATTCGAGTAGTCTGCAGCTGGCCGACGCAGTCCGTCACCAGGAACTCCAGGGTCGATGCTAACTGCAAAGTATTCGGCAGTTCGCATTCCTCCGTTGATTTAGGACCTTATAAAAATATTGTTCAAAATTATTGCGACAGCGACGAATGTACCTTGTACCTACTATCTACTTAAATTTTAAAAACATGGCCTATTTTACAGACGAGGCAGGTACCTCGGTATTTATTTTTTTAGTTACTAATATATTCTAATATTATAAAGAGGAAAAAATTGTTGTTTGTTTTTATCGAATAAGCTCCAAAACTACTAAACCGATTAAGATGTGGTAAGAAGATAGTTTGAGACCCTGGGAAGGATATAGGATAGTGAAAGTTTGTATGGGGAAGCAAACTAGAGATGAACCCGAGCAAAGCGCGGGTGAGTCGCTAGTTGTCAATATTTCAACATACTCATTACTCGTCTTGTTTCATAAAGTCATTATTACCCTTTAGTATCTATCTGTGTATGTGTATTGCAATTTAAACGAACTTTAGTGATGTAGTTTTCTTGATCGTTTACAATAATAATTGGAAGACTGGCAAAGTATAGATATATACGTCGATTATAACCGTATGGGTGTATAATAATAAAGTATTTAAAATAATTTCATGACAAGTCGAACGAAACTATTACAGCGGACAATGGAAAGGTTTTTGGGTCAAAATAGTAGCGCGCGAGAAATCTAATAAAAATATGACATCCACTTTAAGGGAATGTGGGTTAAGGAAAGTTTCAAGCCAAGCCCAATAGAAGGATCCCTGATTTACTTTTGAGCGTTGGACGTGACTCATTGCTACGTGCACTCCTAAGGAATCACCTCGATGCCGCCCGCCTGCCTGCCTTAGAGCGACAGTAGGGTCTATCTTATTTACCTGTGACAATAGGGTCCAAAATCTTTCTAAAACTTCTTTCAAGTCTGCCCTTCTCCGTGTATGACTTGCCTGCGGGACCGTACACGCAGTGGTGGGTGTCGGATGAGCCCGACAATGTCTCGAACTTTCCCAGGTATTCATCGCTATTAATTCGTTCGTAATATGTTTTATATTTTTTTCTCCTAAAATATTGTGTATGAGATGAGCTTTCCAGATCATCACAATCTCTCTTTGCTTTATTAAAAGATTTAGACATTTCACCATCGAGTTTTGCAATGGTTCCAGTGTGAGTAGATTTCTTCCGATCCATTGATAATTACTTATATTTCGGTAAACGATTTGCGGTTTATGCGACAAAAGTATAAATATAATTTATAGATTTGACAACTCATGTCATACGGGCTGCTACTATTTACTTTAGGTCGTCGCAACTGCCATGCTCGTAAAAAAGGTTCTATGAGATATTATATATTATTTACAAGAAACACTTGTACAATGTATGGTTGAGTAACGTATTCAAAGTTAGTGTAAAATGTATTCTATTGTTTGTTTGGGCACCGAAGAGAATCGGTCAGTATTTAGGTGCGAACACTGAATAACATGTTCTCCTGCAGAGCGCGCGCGCAGCCGAGAGACCACCGCGGCGCGACAGTCGCAGCCCGGCGCCGCGCGCTTGAGCACGTCACGTCCCGTTCCACGCGACGATATACCGTTCATTAGTTTTCCCTTCGAGAAAACCAAGTGAAATATAACTCGCCGCGTTGGACGCTGTTGTTGGATTTATCTAGTGTGTGTCTGTACGGAGTGTCCCAAGTCTGCGCATATTTTGGTGAGTGTACATTTTATGGTTGGTATCGTAAGCCATTCAATCGTTAACTTAATGTCATTCATCAGATTCTTAGTAAATAATATAAAATACCTTGAGCTATTACGGCACTGCGCACTCTATTGCAATTATATTGAGAGCAGCTACTTTTACGGCTGGTTCGGTGAATCTTTGTAGTATCGTAATATTACATAAATTAGGTAAATATAAAGGCGAATCCGGAACAAGAGACCTAATATTGATGGCGGTGTGCACTCGCGCGACGACAGTCCGTGTTGTAGTCTGCAGGTGTGGAATAATTCCGTGCTGTTTATAATAGTAACATGAATGACAGGTGTGTGAGGCGCGACGCGACGACAGCCGCGCCAAGTGTCGAATCTCAGAGCTGTGCTTCGTTAATTGTTAGTGCGGCTTTGAATATGCAGCGCTATAACACTATTTAATATCACTTTAAAATCATTGCATAGACGATGTGTTTCTTCATTTGAATATTGTAAAGAGCGAAGTCGGATGTTAACTGCAGTAGGTGTCGGAATAGTAACTATGTATGTACTATATACCTAGTGCGAGTGAGCGTTCATAAGTAAGCAGCATCGGACGCTCCCATGCCTGAGCTTTGTCGGGAAAACGATGGTGGATGGTGGTCCCGTGCCGACGGCCGCCGGTATTTCTTAAACCGTCTGCGTTGTTTGCATTACATAATCCCTCTCGTGACCTCTTATGTTCTCACTGCGTTGACATAATATTATCACGTTTTGTAGAGCGGCTGCCTTTGAACGGCTTCAATACAATACCTATGTCATAATCTATAAAATTTTGACGTTTCCAGTTAACGTTGGGTTTGAAAACTAAAGTACAGTCACGTTTTAAATTATGAGTATTGTTGTAGGTGTATTCTCCCCATGAAGGCAACTTATATTGCGACCGTTAAAATGTTTAATAACTTCGGTTAAACCTACTTTTACCACAACGCCGTGGCGCGGAGTCGGACCTTGGGAACGAAATGGAGAGTATTCGTATAATGGAAAGTGTAATACTGACCGACACTAAACTTTACTGGTGTGAAGTAAAATGAAATCGCTTGACATTTAACACAGCAACTGCTTTTAACTATAATTAATTATCTTATTAAATATTATTACTAAGTCATTTTTAAGTTCCATAGTTTGAATATTAAAATCTAAATGAGCGAGGTGCGAAACGGCAAATGCGCTGAGCCATTCACTTTTCCACAGCGAAATAAAGTATTGCACGTATTCACGTAATTATTATTGTTGAATTCGCTTATTTTCAATGCCAATAACAATTTACTTCTCTTACATATTGCTTACTAAATGATTTTATTTAGTGTAAAGTTGTATAATGCCTACAACTGGCCAAGTGTAAGTAGACGTAAGTGTTTAGGCACCTTTGTACGTCGTATGTAGAGTCGTTGGAAGACAGCCAATAGACTTAAGATATTATGTTATGTAATAGTAGAAAATAATGATACATTAGATAATTCTCATTTAAAACATAAATATTTCTATCCAACATACATTTATTGCTTAACGAAGTGAGATGCAATTAAGAGAATATGGCTTGGGTAACTAACGCGAGGTTTGACACCAATATGGTGCGAAGTTGAGAGTATTTCGAGAAAAATGTGATCATTATATTATTTATCTTTATTATACAGAACATTATTCTATAGTTAGAGCAGATTAAATAATTCCATGTAATTAGGTGGGGGCTGTACTAATTTAGCCATGTAAATAGTGCTATTACTGACATCATTGTGATGCTCGGTGTACTTAATATGTGTATATTATTGGTACATTGTGTATTGTACGAGTTCACGTGACGCTGTGCCGAGAGCTGATATCAGATAAGACCTTGCTTGGATTGACGTCGTCTGAGCGCGCCGCACCGATAAGCACCTCGATCTGTCACTGATAAGCCGGCGCAGTGATAACTTGAGAGCAGACTATTGCTAGTTAGGATGTGTGTGTGTAAATACGGAGTCTCTACGTGAGGTGCTAAACGAATATGGAGAATCAGCTAAAAAGGTAGGTACTAACGTGAAACTAAACGAATAATTCAAATAAAGATGTTTTACCATGTTGTTGACCAATAGAACGCTTATACGAATCTTCAAACTTCTATCCCGACGTAGGCCGCGCGACCCGCAGATCTTTTGGCGCGTCCAGACAGCACAGGCAGCTAAGGGTCGATACGGCACGTGAATCGCAGCATTTGCTATGTGAATGCATAAAAGAATACGTACGTGAGACACACGTTAATTTAAAATAATAGTTACATGTGTATTTTCTATTTTAATACACTATTTGAATTCCTTAGTATCTGAGCTCGAGTTGAAATAGAAAGTGAAATCACTGTTTTGGACTCGGCCTGATATTTTGTATACTTATATTGTACTCGTAGATGGATATCATTTTGTGCATACTTTATGTGGTTATTATTCGAATTTAGGTTCTAAAAAGTTCTCAAAAGATTTAAATCTATTCAAAATATACAAATTCAGAAGGATTTATTTTCGCTCAGTGAACCTCACGCGCGGGCGCCCGGACGCAACACTTCGCGTTGGCAAAATGGTGCATTTAGCTACACTTTTAAAACATTACTTTTTGATGACAATTTTACTATAGTTAATTATATTTAACTTTTAGTGAGTTACCTACCTATTTAAATATCTTATATTACTTTTACAACTTATGAATATTCTTTAAAAATATTTAAAAGCTAAGTGGAGTATTCCACACCGCAACATAGAAATACGAGTACATTGTGATCATCTTCAATGATTGAAGATTTAATAATTAAATACACAAGCGGAAGTAAGACTAGTTGTACTACCCTGGCGGTGGCGCCTAGAATCTCCGTGAGCAGCCCACACGGGTAGAGCGCTAGGTAGTAGGTGTACATACTTCCGTCGTTAATAAGATAACCCTGAAACTCATTCGCTTCCAAAAGTGCGAACCTTCAAGGCAGTTGAGTGATATTTCGAAGGAATTACATACGAGTGTAGGTTCTTAAGCATTTATAACTCGATCGCTGTACTTTTTATCTCGCGCAATGTCACAGAGGCCTTGTCTCCTCGCGTAATATCTGGGGGCCGTATTGATGTAGAATTATTTATATGATTACTTATAGATACTTCTGTAGAAACACGAAAAACGACTTATCTATGAATTTCCTAGATTGAATGGGCGTAGAAATAACTGGCAATTTATATAGGTGTACATATGTAAGTAGATATCTAACAGCTACATTAATATAGATTTGTGTAATGATTGAAAAACACTAAATAGAGGAGATTTGATGGGACGATTTTGTATCTACATCCAAATATACGCCGACTATAATGTGGACAGAAAATTGTTAATACCTGTAAAAAATTGCAAAGTAATTTGTTTTTTTTTAGTACCTAATTTTTTTTTGTATAAAAAAATTCTGAGTCGAATCTGTACATCAAATATTATTTGCAAAATCTTATTGAAATAGTCATTATTATCGATACAGAGGCCGAATCTATAGTTTTTAGAATTTTGTCTGTCTGTCTGTGACGTCTGTCTGTCAACATATAGGATGTTCTTTACTGCGGGAAAATATCCCATCTCTGAGAAATCTATTACGTTAAAACGTAATTTATAATATTCATAAATGCAATTCAAAACATCGATCACAGAGGGCATAAGTTTAAAATTAGAATTAATTTTTTTCCCCAATTACAATTTTATAAGATGCCTAATGGTACTTTAAACTCTTAGCTTTTCACTTTTCGAACAACGAGGAAAAACAAGAGTTATGTTACAACTTTATTTGAGTGGAAATGTTTTCATTATAACGTGAACATGCCGCATATTTGCTCTATGCTACGCTAAATCTGAATAGTTGCTATGTATAAGTTATCTGATTTTATGGTTGGTATTGTTTGATATGGGGTGTTGTAGTGTGTGCGCAAGCGATCCTGCAACGCCCCATTGCACTGCGGCGAAGGGTTCCGCTGTGGGTTTTAGTGAGTAGGAGTCACACAGTACCTTGTCCGTTATGACGGCGGGCAGGTTCCCCATGATGGGTTTCCCCAGCGACAACAAAAAGAAAGGTATTGTTTGATAAAGCTAACAAAGTGTTCTGTATTTTTTCCATTTAAGGATTCCGTTCCCGAAGGGTGCCAATGGAACCCTATTACTAAGCCTCCGCTGTCCGTCCGTCCATCCATCAGAGGGCTGTATCTCATGGACCGTAATAGGTAGAGAGTTGAAGTTTTCACGGAGTGTGTATTTCTTTTGCCGTTATAACAACAAGTAATAAAAACAAATAAAAATACAAGAAATATTTTTTTAACGTTCGTAATCGATCGTTTTAGTGGGTAGTACTGGCTTCGCGGGTGAGTCCCACACTTCGTGCGTAAATGCATTTCCCAAAGTTAAAAAGAAAAAAAAAAGGGGACAGCGGGTGGCGTTCCTCGATCCGCCACCTGGGGACGCGCCCGGTAAGAGTTGGCTTCTCTCCCGGGATGAAAATTAAGGCACTAAGTCAACATGATAAAAGATATGGGCCAATTTAGGTTTTAGCGAAAACTTGTAAGTACCAAAATTTACCTTAATTCTCAACTTTTTTATTTTTCGGAATTTTCCCTTTACTTGTGCTATAAGACCTTGCTTTTAACCAAATTCTAGGTCAACCGGAAGTACCCTATAGGTTTTGTGTCTAAAACCTATATGTTAGTTCCCGTTGACCTAAAATCACGAAATATGGCAAAAAGCAAGGCAGCACAAATACAAAAAAAATTCAAAAAAAATAAAAAAGTTGAAAATTAAGGTTAAACAGATTTGTACGGAACCCTCGGTGGGCGAATCCGACTCGCACTTGTCCGTAATTAATATTGAAAATATATTTTATGTCGCTTCGGTATAGGTTTGATTTTCAGCGAAAGTGCGACATCGATTTTGGTCAAAAGACCCGTCTCGACGAGAGCTACAAAATTCAAATAAATTTTATTTTAACTTTTTAACGTTTTTCGTCCGGTTTCGGTCAAAAAAACATTCATATCTCGAAAACAAAATGAGATATAGAGGTGCGTATCACTGATGTGTACAAAGAGATAGGGAAGTTGTACCTTTGTGGCGTGGAGTTCCTACGCGAAGAGCGCGTGATGGTGAATAAATGTTTTGGAGCAAGATTATGTTTTTGGACGAAGTGATGCTTTATGAATAAATAAATATGTATTTAAACTAATAGATAAAGTTATTTAAAATAAGCTTATTCTAAAAATATCTTTTACTTTTTGTTCGTTTCATCATTAAAGTGTTTATTTAGTTTTTTAAACTACTGATTTCTAGTGTTTTGTTTTGATAACATTTTATATTTGTGTTATCTTTTGAATGGAATGTCTGATTTAAACAATTCAAATCATAACAACAAGTCTTCGATCAATATTGTTGATCGAAGCAACAAGTTCTGAGACAGCCGTAAATAGAAAGTTATTTATTTGGATATTGGCTAAGGATTAATATCAACTATAACTTTTTTAAACATAATAAGTATTTATAGTAAGCGATTTACTTAGTAGTTGGACATATGGTATCGCCAATCTTTTTTAGATATCAATGTGTCATCTATAATTTTGATCTATCATCAGTAGTTTTCGCAACGGACGCGATGTAAAGAATTTTAGGCGGTCCTCTCCATTCTACGTGATTCTACGTGATATGGACGAAGTAATCTGTGCTCAACTGGCACGCTTTGAAGCCATTAACAAGAAAATTGAATTAAATTGAATTTTAGAGGTAATTTTTTTACACCTTGGGTTACATCATTGTAGTTTTCGTAGGTATCCCTAATTCATTACTCAGTGATAATACAGTAGGTATTCTACCGGTGTAAGATTTTTTTAAATCGGTCTTTTGAGTGTTTTCACTACTAACAAAAATACAAATCTTTTCTCTTTATAATATTAGTGTAGAAGTGTAAACAAAATTTACTTCCGAGCAGAAACTCCTGACCTTTTAAATATAATAAAAAGTGTTCCTAGACGACGACGTAGAATCGTTCAGCTTAAAATAACTGTTTAGTACCAAATTCATTTGATATAAAATACTAAATACCCCTAAGTATTATTTATTACCAAATACCCCTAAGTATTATTGCCTTCCCTAGGTGCCTTCTAAATTATCGAAAATCACGTCAGTAAAATGTATCGATACTATGTTTGTGAAATGCAAATCAGACTAAAAACAAATGATTGCTGTTTGGCTTATCATCGGTAGCGCGCGGCGCTGTAGCGACGGCTGCGGACCGGCCAGCAGCCAGAAATCAAGGCTCGGAACCAGTTTATTTCGGTTATGTCATGGTTAATTTATCGCTTGTTCTTTAAGCGTTTAATGAAAACGAACGGCTTAGTAAGCCGAAATAGTAATGGTTAACGGTAATTCTTAGAGAAAGGTTGGATTTCGGTTTTGATACCAAAATAAACCGATAAATTCATTCATAAGTAAGAAACGTGCGCACATACTTAAAAAAAATGTACACACAAAAACTTATTTTAACCGGTTAATTTTGTCCACGGAACCTAAATTTTTAAAAAATCGTTCTCCTGGATTTAACCGGTTAAAGAAAAAAACCGAAACCTTAAACCGAAAGGCCTTTCGGTTTGGGGTCAATGACCAAAACGGTTTAAAAATTGAACGGGTTTCCGAGCCGTGAGTCAGACAATAGCGACGTCGCTTGTGACTGCGGCACTAGCGAGGTGCTATTTTATAGGGCTCTTTTCTCTACTATGTCGACCTGCAATGAAATTGATACCAAATTAACATACGTACAGTTAGCTATAATCGGCTTCACGTACAACACGCCCAAACACGGCGTTCGTGAGTACATACGACGCAGTACCTGTGCCATTCGCTCCGCCAGCAGTGCGCTGTTTGAACAGATTGTCCGCGCTCTAAAGATGCGCTGATAAATTATTTTCTTTGTAGAAGTTGAAGTAAGCTCGCTCTCGCCCACCGCGCTCGTAGCCACTACTGCCGGCACTACTGACCTCGTTGGCGGCGGCAGCGTCCCCGGCCGACCGGCTAGTACAGTTACACGTAACCGCTGATGGGAAACAAGAGTACATGCTATGATGCGATATCTCGATACCTTTGTGCTAATTTCCACGAAGATCGTCATAGACTAACTCAAGCGATGAAAGTTCCACGTCCGTGCTCCTATTTATCTAATTACTATACTTAATATACGCTTTCACAGTTACTTATTGACTTAAGCTGCCGTTGATTTATGTTTCATGAAAATAGATTTTTTTCTGTGCTCTGAGATATACACGATATACCTTTTCGTCATTTGAAATCCGCACGCCGCTCGTCGAGTCAACATTTTGCATTAGGACCATGTCGGTAATTTAATTACAGCGACCTTTCTATTGGAGTCAATTGTCAGTTAGAGACAACAGTTTTCGGTACGGAGATCCTTTCTTTTTGTTGTGAAATATCCCCGTGTGCAGGGAGTCTGTTTGATGGGTCTGGGAGCTGTTAACATAACTCATTCAATTATTTGACGAAACGCGTGGCCTAATTAAGCATGAAAACATTATTATTTTATCTTATTATAGACACGTTATCAGACGATTTCGTAAAAATGACATAAAAATTCATTCAATCCTTTCCGAGTGCTGCGGGCAGACAGAGAAAGGCAATTTTTTTTATTTTTTTTCTATAAAATATATACAAAAACATATCATTCTTGGTTGTTGCTATTCGTCCGACAATTGTCGGTTTATCATTAACTTCCTGTGTTTCTAATAAAGAAATAACCTTTAAAATTTTAATTTAGGCAATAAGAATAGCGGCTAATTTAATAAGTGTTATTATTTCAAGTACACGTTTTGACGACGAGTTAGTAATGGTGTCGACTAATCCTCTAGCAACAGCGCGTCTCAAATGTTTGAAAAGAAACTAAGAATCTACTAAAAATGTTGAGATGTTTGTTCCATTTTCGCAACAAGGATGTAAGGCCTATTTACAGTGGTTAATTTTCGGATGAAAAAATGAAAATATAATAAATAAATATTGTTACAATTAATTCTATAGTTTGTGCAGAATGTTATTACTTAACGTGCTACAAAAAAACCGTATACGACAAGGTCTCTGCCCCACACCGCGGAGCGCGGACGACGCAATTAAAAATGAAAGGGAAAACCGCTCCACATCAAAATACTGACACAAATATTTAACTACAACAAGGCGCGAATGAGATGAGGGCGTCTAAGCACATATGTACTCGTATATGTACGTGGTACGTAAATATTTGATTTGTTATTAATACCTCCACGACTACGGAAACGCCGGCCTTACAGTTAACAATAGATTTCTTAGAAATTTAATTAATTTCTTACAGATTTACCTGGAGGTGTTAACTTGTTTTCTTAATCGGTGTCAAGAAAAACTTTTTAAAAAATAGGTCCTAATAAGCTGCTATACGGGACGCGCCACGTCGCATGTAGTGAACGCTCCTAATAAGATTGGAGCAGGAAGCGCGTTCGAGCTCGATATCTACATTGTGCAAGAAACGAACAAAAATGTTAAGTGAGAAAAGTTATAGTATATTTAAAAAATCTATAGGATTTTAACAGTACCTACTTATGAATTCTATATAATTATTACTAGCGACTCTTTAAATCGGTCCAACTTTTATCCCCATTTTCACCCCCCTTAAGGGTTGATTTTTGGGATAAAAAGTATCCTATGTTCTTCCCCGGGTCTTAAACTATCTTCTTACCAAATTTCATCTAAATCGGTTCTGTAGATCCAGAGGTTACCCCCTACAACGTCACAAACTTTCCCTCGTTATAATATTAGTATTGATTGGTAGGTATCTCAAAATTGACATAATAAGTTGAAGAAATTGTATTACATAGTTGGGAGTGAAATACTAACTTCTCTGCTGTAGTTTCATCACCAAATGGGATAAAATAAAACTTGCAGCGTGCATGTCACTTCTGCTTGTTCACATAGGTACCTACCTGTTATGGTAAGAAAAATCGCCCACATATACGAGTACCTACCTACCTATGCACATTGCACATGTTTGCACTTCGCCGGGCGAGCAACGGCTACATTAGCGTTGTTTGCAATCACTACATTTACTGACACGCATTTAGAAATGAATTTGGCGGAAGTAATTAAATACTTGTTAATAGTAGGTATAATTATAATCATATCTTAATTTTAAAAGGAAGCATGAGATTGTTTGAATATAAGAGTATATGCTTCAAAATTGAGTTGCTAAATTCCAACCGAACAAACATGGTTACATATATACATTGCAAGTTAAATAAAAGCTTATAATGAAGCAAATTTTTGGGACCAATTTGGTCCAATTTCAGTTCATAATTTAGATAGCTGGCTCAGTAAACAAGTGAAATTGTTAGTAGCAGAAGAAAAATAGAGATATTTTGGTTGACCCGAACTGTTGGCATCGTACTCGTATATGTCCGAGCAATGGACGAAGGTGCCATGATGTAATATTCTCCAAAGTTGGAAATACATTTATTTATATTGTCACAGATCGATTGCGCAAGCGCACACTGGTGTCAGCTCTCAGCTATCTATACTCAGGAATCGATAAAGACGTTCACTTTTTGAAGCCCAGATATTATTTCTACTGTTACTCTTTATTTTTAGACTACTACACTTAAGGGAAACCTACTGGCTCAGTAAACAAGTGAAATTGTTAGTAGCAGAAGAAAAATAGAGATATTTTGGTTGACCCGAACTGTTGGCATCGTACTCGTATATGTCCGAGCAATGGACGAAGGTGCCATGATGTAATATTCTCCAAAGTTGGAAATACATTTATTTATATTGTCACAGATCGATTGCGCAAGCGCACACTGGTGTCAGCTCTCAGCTATCTATACTTAGGAATCGATAAAGACGTTCACTTTTTGAATCCCAGATATTATTTCTACTGTTACTCTTTATTTTTAGACTACTACACTTAAGGGAAACCTACTTAGGATTTGCATCTTTAATGCATTCTGCGTAGTATCTGCAGAAAGATTGCGTGACAGTTAAAAACGCAATTATTTTATTCATTTGTGCTCTACAGTATTCATAGTCTACCTACAGTGTAGAAACAAAACCTCATTAAAGCAGTCTGGAGCTGTTAAGCGCGATTCTAGATGAGAACCGGAATAAAATCCACTTGAGTTGATTTTGTCGAATCAATGTCAGTTCTGTAACATGTACCTAAAATTTTTTAAAAGGTCAACCTATAACTTTGAAGCCAGGCAAAAATGAGAAACAGTTTTACAAAGGACCTTTTTTTCTTAATATGCATGTAGCCGTAATGCGACGGTAATGAGAATTATATTTATTAAATACGTGACATGCTTTTAATCTATACATATAATAAAATTATAACTGAGCTGAATCTGTACATTTAATATTTTTTGGAAAATCTTATTGAAATAGTCATTATTAATGATACAGAGGCCGAATATATAATGCTTAGAATTTTTGTCTGTCTGTCTGCGAACGCATCACGAGAAAACCACTGGACAGATTTTGATAAAATTTGGAATGATGATAGCTAGTTATTCGGGTCAACATACCTATAGGATACTTTTTACTGCCGAAAAATATTTCATCCATAATAAAGCTATACTAATCGTTAATGTGTTATCTCGTTATGACACTTTTTTGTGAGTTTCTTTCAATTAGCGCGCGAAAATCAATCTCGAATAAAAAAAGTTCGGGGTTTGCTGCGAACCAAAGTGTAGCCGCGATTTTTGTTGTGAGACATTTGGAATCCATTGAAATTAACTTCATAGCGTCATCATTTAGCACGGCGCGAGCTATTGACGATGACGATTGACAGAGCCGAGACTACAGAAATAACTTTAGAATCGAAATTTAATTGGTAAACTTAATTATTCATATTCTGAATGAAAATCGCTACTAAGTACATTTCATATCCAATTGAGTAACTGGACACAGGTGCGGTCCCAGCGCGCGCTGGTGGCTAAACATTTTGTAGCCATTTGCAGCATTTACTTGCAAGATGAAAAAAAAAACAAAAATATGTATATATTGGACGCAAGTCCTTACCAGAGTGCGAACTATGTTCACGGCACCGTCCGAGACAAGTGACCTTCGAGATCGAATTCTTTTTACTTACCTAAGCTATATATTGTAAGTATGTGTAGTCGTAACCTAATCGTACCTGGATGGTTCGTTATATTATATTTAAATACGATATAACTATTCGTTTTTATCGAAACATTTACGCGCCATCATTTAAAAAATAACATAAGCAATTTAAAATAATTTTGCTATTTAGATACCAAGAATATAATATCTTGTTACATGCTTAGGTATACTATAATATTTAGTTTTGAATAATTATTTTTAATTCGATTAATCGTTCCGTCGCGTTGCGTCGTTGGAAGAAGTGTGACATCGCTCTGGTTTATAAAACATATGTATATGTAGATATTCTTGTTATATAAATAGCCTAACGTGTGTACACAACATTGTGCGCTACCACGTTAAAAAACATCGAGTCACTGTTGACGTTTGTAAATGTCATAATTGACTTACATGATGTTTCACTTGTCATGAGGCAAGTGTATGCGATGCGAAGGACTGAGGAGTGTGGAGGCACCGCGCGTCGCTCGCGACCGCAGCGAGTGCGATATTGATAACTCATTGCGAAAGATTCTAGGAATATTTATCAATACCACTTACACTGACACGTAATTAGTTACAATTAGGTACGATTATTTTTCAATCGCTTGATTTTTGAGTAAATTTTATATTATGAATTTAAAAGTGCTTCCATAGTTCTTATTGAGTATAATAGATTTATATGTATGTGTATATTCAGCCCTTTTTAACGTCCCACTGCTAGACACGGGCCTCCCACGTGCAGGTTTCCTCACGATGTTTTCCTTTACCTTAAGAAAGTGGTAATCATGTTGGAAATTATTCACACATGAAAATATCAGAGGTGCGAATCCGGGATTTAAACCCGCTTCACTCAGTTTTCCAAGCGAGTACGTCACCACTGGGCTACCACTGCCTTATAATATATACATATATGTATTTATTACGTTTCAATGCTTAGTATAGATTTCTCAGAGATGAGATATATTCCCGCAGTAAAAAGTATCCTGTATGTTGACCCGGATAACCAGCTATCACCATACCAAGTTTCATCAAAATCCCTCCTGTGGTTTTTCTGTGATGCGGTAACAGACAGACAAAAATTCTAAAAACTATAGATTCGGCCTCTGTATCGATAATAATATTTATTTCAATAAGATTTTCCAAAAAAAATTAATATACAGATTCGGCTCAGTTACAATTTTATTATATATGTATAGATAGATCTATCGTCTGAGTGGTGTTCATGACTGGGTGAGGACGTGAAGCGTGGCGCGCGAGTGCAGCGCGCAGCGGGCTTCGTGTATTATTATTAGATTTATGTAAACCTATTCAGTTCATATAATTTTAAATTAACTCCTCACATGCAGAAAACCGATTAGTAAGTAACTAATTGATTTAATAGATAAGTAGGTACACACTTTTTGTATGTCCAAACATCGCGTTTTAGTGCGCACGACACGTGCGATCAGCTGAGTCGCGGCTATACAATTTTTCGGATATGTATTCCTATTCTCTTCTTCAAAACATCGTTGAGTTAACATAATAGGACGAATAGTTAAAACTGTACTTTGAGTTAGAAATTTTGTTGGTCACAAATAAGACGAAGGAGGTAAGTTAAGTGGCATAAATAACAACACGCTAAGTGAAAATAACCACGCGTGTAAAGCCGCAGGCCAAGGCTATACTGTTATTCATTCAGTTTATAATATAAAAAACAAATATATTATGAAAATAAAAAACCCGACTGCATAACTAAAAATATGAAAACAAGTTCATTAAAGTATATTTGTTTTATTTACAACTTTTTAGTTTTGCCAATTAGACATTTGAAGTTATATTTAGCAATTTTTTATCCTAAATTATTTTAAGTAATACAGGAATGTTATACCCTTGTGAAGTCCTTGATATGAGCTCCTTAATTTGATACCAATATTGCAGAAAAGAAGATTAAAAACAAAATTCACCTTAAACAATTAAATCTAGCAGTTCCCATATTTAATTTTTTTATGTTACCTATCTAATAGCACTTGGACTCATGAGACGAATCTAACGATACCTTAATTACAGAAATCCATAGAGTGGTTTGGAAGATATGAGCGAATAAAGAATATTAGAAACAAACAAACATACAAAGATAGGCGCGAAGAACAAAACCTTTCCTTGCAGTCGGGTAATAAGTAAAATAGTACGCAAGTTGTACTTATCTATTTATTTTAGTTTTTTGCCGTCGTCCAACAGTATAAACATCAAAACATAAAAAATAATTTATGGTACACATTTACAAATGGTATTTCAATTATAGGACGATAAAGCATACACAAATCTAGTGTTTTCTGAGTTTTTACCATACATTAGTTATATCAATATAAGTATATTCAATAAAAATCAAAATAAAATAGTTGTAAATAAACATTATGTAAAGTAATAAGTTTGATTTAATTTAATGTTTATTTTATTCTTTTTAGACCATTTAAATAAAACCTTTTTATAATTATTACAAAATATGTTTTATTAAAATAATTTTTAGTTATTCGTATTCTTCTCAGCAAACCCCTTTCATTTGATATCCACATGGGGGTGCATGAAATAACTTAGTCCGCCATCTTTGGGTTTTCGCCATATTGGATTTACAATGACGTCACACATACGTGTGTTTCGCTCATCAAGTCCTTTCATTTGAGGTCCATATCATAAGTGTCACTATGGAAATAATAAATCACCATTTTGTTACGTCCGCCACGTAAAAATAGCCGCATTTAAGGAATCATGCATTGTATCAGAAACTAAACTAGTGTGCCAAATTTCATCTCAATCGGACACTGGGAAGTGTGTCAAATTTAACTTGAAAGATTGCATTACATACACATGGACAAGTGAAACCAAATTAAAGCTTGTAAATAAAAGAAAATAGAAACGAAGCAATAAACAAGGAATGTACCATTATTAAAACATAGAATACACTAATTAGTTTTTATTCGATATCAAACTGAATACCTATTAAAATAATTTTTCCAAAGTTAGGTCTTTTTTCCTATTGTAATAAGTACGATTAATCGATCGTATCGTATCGATAGTAAATATTTAAAACGTAGTAATTAATGACTTAATATCGACTCTCACTAAGGTACAAGGTACCAAAAACAAGCACGCTGCTGTGCGCTATGCCCACACAGAGATAAGTTTTAAATTCAAGGCCGGTTATCTCATCGAATGCGACTCATCACTCCGCAGCGGCCACGCCACGACGATTGAAAACCATTGGGCTCTACATTTAATAACCATACATAAATATATGTGGGCAAAAGTGAATATACGTCGCGCTCTAAAGATCGAGCCTTATATCTACATCGACAGATACGTTTGTGTTTAAATGTCACGGCAAAAAAACATAAATATTACATACTAGCGACGCAACCTCGCTTCGCTCGGGTTCGTCCTCAGCTTGATTCCCCATAAAAAATTATCCCCATTTTTACATAAACATAAAAAGTATCTATCCTTCCCAGGGTGTCAAACTATCTTCTTACTAAATTTCATCTAAATCAGTTCTGTAGATCCAGCGATTACCCCCTACAACGTCACGAATTCACAAACTCACAAACTTTTTCTCTTCATAATATTAAGTATAGAAAAAGAGTGATTAAATTACAAGTTATATTGCGACTTATATGTAAAATAATAGGGAATATAGAACCCCAGCAATGATAGTTCGATCTTTGGAGGCGAGTCTGCACCGCGGTCACGGCCGGGCGCTGACGCTCCGCACTGTGTGCTTCCAAGTGTATAGAGCACCACTACAGTATCCTGTTATAAACAGCACAGTGGAAACTGTGCCTATTTTAAATAATTTTAAATCTTTTACTCCAATAATTTTTATATATTTAAATAATTAGCCTTTATTTAAATATATCATATCTATACATGGTTATTGGTAATACGTTACGATCCCGTTAAAGGGTTACAGGACATTAGCTATCAAACAACCTCCAAAGTGCTTATGCAAAAGTGTATCGTTTTCATATTAAGTGCGCGCGAAACGCCTAATGTGTACCCGCTGTGATTGATGATGAAGCAAATACAGCGCGAACGACTCCTATCCCGTCGTCGTCGCGCAGTAGCTAAAGAAATACACCCCAAAATAAGAAAAAAAATGAACAAAATAAAAAAAAATATTGTCATAACACAACACAAAACAAACAAACAACAAAAAAAACAACTTACAAAAGGAAGTGAAATCCCGCCAAAAACATTTTTATGTAAAACGTTGCCAAAACGAGACCATATAGCTCGCATTCTTAAAAAGTTATCAGATCTCATGTAGAACCAAGCTCCTAACTCTACACGCCATAACTCTACAAGTCCTAACTTCACAAACTCTACACCTTAGTCAAAATATGTGGCTAGATTTGCTTTGCTTTGCATCGGCATATCGGGTATTATATATAAACGTACTTAGGGAAGAACCCGGGCGAAGCGAGGGTGAGTCGCTAGTAAAATATAATTTTGGACTAAATATTATGAAGGGTAATAACGAAAGGTCAGTGAGAATTGAATATAACACAAAGCAATCAGTTGGCAAGGCTACACGAGGCCACACGAGGCCGTCTTTTGAGGCTGATTATTATTCTGGAGAAAGGGCTAAGGTGACAACTTTAAGAATTGAATTGTACAGTTGCTTTGGTACTGCTGTTGATAATAGAGCTGATAGTAATGACAAATTATTGAAAATATTTCATTAAGTATTTCATGTCTATAAAGCACGAGATCATGATTAAATAGAAATGGTATTGTATAAACTATACATATAATAAAACTGTAGAGGTCGAATGTCTGTACATTGAAAAAAACGCTAAAGCTTTTGTTTCTCTGTTTGTCTGGGCTAAGCTCCGAATATGTTGAACTGATTTAAGTGAAATTTTGCATGGTGATATCCCCTTATATCCCCGGTCAACATTTTAGATACTTTTCATCTCGGAAAATTAAACAGTTCCCGTGGGAAAGTTAAGAAACTATAGTAACTTATACAGCTTAGTACACAAAAACTACTGATTGTATTTTAATGAAATGTTACAAAAATAAAGTTCATACATCAGAATAACAAATAGGCTATTTTTTATTCCGAAAAAATGTACGGTTCCCGTGGGATAGATTTTGTTTTGTTTGTCTAGAGGAGAACCCGAGGATGAGCTGCTAGTTTTAGATAGGAATTGTTATGAAGTTTTAGGCGTTTTTCTCAAACTACTGTATGCCAATAAACTGACTTTACGTGCAAGTTTTATAAGAGAAATGACAACCATAATATGCAAATGTAAAGTAACATCCGGATCAAATAAACATATATATTTAATTAACCATGGAAAGCTATCCGTGAAATACGTAGTTAGTCGTTGAAGTTACCAAAAGAAACTACTACTTACATCGAAAATGTTATCAATCTATCACATATCGTATTTAATATTGCAAGGTCTCCGAACCGTTTCACATTTCAACCTAGTATCTACTGACTACTGCACAGTCGAGACTCGAGACTGCCCCCGCTCCCCTTATAGAGCCCGCTGTTACAATTATTACACAAATTTATTATTCACATAGGTAATTAAAAAAAATGAAGACTCGTTTTCTAGCAGATATACGAGTATGTACGTGTATACTTTTCCAAATCTAAAATTTACAATTCGCTTAGATTATCTAATGTGTATGAATATGCATAACGATCTCGTGTGAAATTGTAATTTTATTCTTACCTCTTACGTTTGAAAATTCTACCATCAGTTCTGGTGGGTCTGCGACTTCACGCCAATGCATTGCGCGGCTCGCAGTCGTAGCGGCACAGTGAAAGTCGTCAAATCGATCTTGACGAGCTTCGATCTGCAACACTTTCGTTTCGATAAATCAGTTGTAATTCGAGGGCGATCCTCACGTACGTTATCCCGCCTCTTTGCTGGCGCTCTACCGGCAGCTCTACTTTCTTCAGTCGCTATCCGCTAAGACAAAGAAGTTGTACGAAGCACTCGCACTGCGCGAGGCGCGAGGCCGATACGAGGCCCCAAACGGACGCCTCACTTCCTGACATCAGTTTAGCGGAAGGAAGCGGTATTATTATCGTTAAAATTGGTGTTTAGCTTTAATTAATGTAACACAAGGTCCAGCTTCGCGCACTTGTGCAAGGCGGCGGGCTCGCCCCGACTCGAGATCGCATTTTTTGCCGCGTTCGCTATGAAAATAGTGGTGTAACGAATGTTTGAATTTTCACAATTCGCGAAAGCGAATGCGTATACTAATATTATAAAGAGACATAGTTTGTTTGTTTATTTGAACGCACTAATCTCAGGAAGTACTAATCCAATTAGAAAAAAACTTTTTGAATACAAAAACATTTTTTCTACCGGGCTATCTAATAAGATAGCCTGGTTATTGAGGTAGGCTATAGGTTATACATCATATTGACTTAACTTAATTTTATTAACAATTAGTTTAGTTAAGTCTTATTATTTTATTGTTAGAAAAAATATATAGTGGAATGGAAAATTATAATTGAAGCCAAAGGTCATATACATTTTGTATACTAGAAGTTTAATTTTGGTTCAAATATTTTTTTTTGTTTTTTGTAAAAAGTAATTGAAAACTTTATTTAAAAATATTCATTATAATCTGTTAAATAAGTATACACCTTATATAATTCTAAAAAGACTTATTAGACCTATCTAGGTCTAATAAGTCTTATTATTATTAATTTGATTAAACCTCTCGAGTTCTGATTTTAACAAAAGATATTATAATTTAATAATAATACCCACGCTCACACCCACTCACACATGCACACACACTCATACACACAAACACACACACACAACTGCATACACACATGCATGCACTACACGTCATACAATTATGTAACTTCTTTTCACTTCGTTCGTTCGCATTTTAATTTTTAACTACATATATTATAGCCTATGACACTCGCGTTATCCAGACGAATCGTTATTCTTGACGTATAAATTATCAAAATCGTATTTCTCTATTCTTTATATTTCTTCTTCTCTATCGTATTCTCTAAAAGGCCACATAGGAACAAACATACATACATACTCACATACAAACATATATACATACATACATAGATTGACACATTACCCACCTTCGCGTCACTCAGTCGGGTAAAAAATAACCTGAACCTACCGAGCTGAGCCGAGCTACTTATTCTACATATTTATTTATTAGTCCATTCGTCATTCCTTATCATTTTTATGGTTTTTATTCGTTCTATTATAGGAGGAGTGTCTACACTCCGTTTTAATAATTTACGCTATGAGATAGTAAATTCATCTTTACGTGTACGTCAAATATTTTTAAGTTAGTCTTGCCTAAACTTGAAAATGTACGGTACCTACATTTCTAAAGCTAATATAAAAATGAGGGGTCTATGGACCCCCGGTCGGAACAAAGTTCCTTTCCCTTTTTGGTAGACGTTTGCTGTACAGCCATTACAATTTATATCATAAAATATCAAGTTGATAGAGTTCAATTGAAAAATTTACGATAAAATATATTGGAGGATCTTCTCAAAATGAAAAGTTTCTCCCAGTCTTTATAATAAGCGAAATTTTTCGTACATAATTAATTACTCGGAGTTTTTAGTCTAAAGTACAATTCTCTATCTTTTTTAAAAAAAAGGACTAACAACTTGAATAAATATTAAAAAAACATATAAGTAAAAACTTCGTATGCGACCGAGATTCGAACCTGAACACCTGTGATTGTTGATCTCGCACCTTTGCCGCTTGACCACGATGCTTATGCCCGAGCGTGCAAATTACCGACCATATTTTGCGTGGAATAATGCAAAACAAAACTGCATGAAATCTCGAAAATACGCGTTTTCTCAGACATAAGACAAATCTAGATCGATTTATTGCCCCCGAAACCCTCTGTACCCTAAATTTCATGAAAATCGTTGGAGCCGTTTCCGAGATTCAGATTATATATATACTTTAAATATATTAGATTACAAAATAAACACTCATCTTAAATAGATAACAAATGTTTGCACTTCAAGTGCGCGCGAGCAATGCGGCATCGCTTCAGCGATCCTAACTAGCTAAGTTAATAGCGACATCGGCGGCGCTCTTTATACATTTTCCAGCGTCGTAAGTACGAAATATAGGCTTCTCTTCAAGATCCTCACCCCATGTACTTCAATCATGTTTTAAGTTGAATGTTGTATGACAAATATTGAAGTATATTTTTTTATACAGATGCATTTTCAACCGACTTCTCCAAAAAAGAGAAGGATCTCAATTCAGCTGTTTGTTTTTTTTTATGTTTGTTACCTCAGAACTTCGTCATTAATGAACCGATTTGTACAATTTTTGTTTTGTTTGAAAGTGTATACTTCAAGTTGGTCTCATTTTAATTTGAAATAAACATAACATCCCTAAGGGTGGAAAAATAGCTAATGAAAATGTTACCTACTTCTAATTATCATATAGACTTGAAACTTTGCAAGTGTTTCTATTTTCGTTGATAGTGCAGTGGTTCGATATCATCGACCTGATCTGATGATAAGGCCAGAACGTGGATAGGTGGAACTCTTCAACGGCTAATAGTAGATACCTACTTTGAGTTTGGGCTTATTTTGTTTGATTTGACAAGCCTAATACCTACGTTAGAATTGGATTGGAAAGACAGATTTATTAATGCGAATTTTAGTTTGTCAGTCTTCATATAACAATAGGCATTAAACTAATTAAACGGCCTAAGCGAATATTTTTTTTAAATAATTTCTTCTTACTTTGCTACTGCTATGTTTACACTGTAGAGGAAAAAATAAAAACCAAAAAAAAACACTTCAATTTTTTTTACCAAAAAGTAAAAAAATGATAGATTGGTAGTTTTCATTTACTAAAGATCAAATACCCTAATCAAATATTTTCGAAGTCGGTGCCAGCCGATACAAATCAAAGCACACCGACTTCAAAACATCTGATTAGGTATCTATAGTAAATGAAAACCACCTATTGTATAAAAATAACTTATTAGTTATTTTTTAATTTTTTAATGTTTTTTTAAAGTCGTTTTTTTTAGTTTTTATTCTGGCAGCTGTAGACTATATACACCTAAGCTGCAATAGCATTGAAATTTTTACTTTTACGACAAAGTTTCGGGCGAGTTTGATAGTTGTTTAAGATACTGTCAATTATACTAGTTGAGTATTTCCAAATATCAATAACAATATTATATTTATGGGCTGTCGCAAGTTAATATAACTATTAAAACCCTTGCCTTGTGCTCGTTTGGTAACAATTGACAGCGTAAATCGAAAAAACATTTCCAACGTGCTGCCAAACTATACATAAAATTAAAATATTTTTTGCATTCGTAATATAAAGGCAACATAATTTTGTTATCATACCTACTCAGTAATTATCTATACAAATATTATAAAGAGGAAAGGTTTGATTTTTTGTTTGTTTGTTTGTTTGTATGAATTGAATAGGCTCCGAAACTACTTGGCAGATTTGAAAAATTCTTTCACTGTTGGAAAGCTACATCATTTCTGAGTGACATAGGCTATATTTCATTTTCAAAAAAAATAGGCATCCTTACTAAAATTACGATAACGTAATCCAAGGTGTGAAAAAAATATCAAAAAACTACCTTACATCGCGTGCGCTGCGAAAACTATTGATGATAGAACAAAATGATATACTACATTTTTTTAGAACACACCATTATC